GCTTGGCTGCTAAGACTAGAGTTTTTCACACTTAGGTATAATACTACTTTAGCAAGTGTGGTGTAATTCCTTGGCATGTAGGCCAAGGATCTCACACAGGTGAGGTCGGAGTAACGACCATGCTGGCTCGGTCCGTGCTTAGATTAGGGGTAAAACGACGCGAAAAACCAGCGTTATCCATCTCTCCCCCTTAAGAACAACATAACATGCGATATCAATCTACTGTCCGTCACCTGCGGCGCTTAATCACCATAATATGTGGAAGATCAGGCCGTATTTCAATTTGCAGCCACGTCCACCGCCTTGCACATGTCAACCAGAATCTTGACCTGGTTGTCTTTGTCGTCCGTCAACGCTTTGAAGCCTTGCTCAGCACCCTCACCCGGCCGAATGATCTTGGTAATCATCCCGGCGGCCTTCAGTCTCCCAGTATGCAGGGCATCGATGACCTCCTCGAAATCGCCGCCAATGTGGGTGGCGACTATGCTTGTCTGCGAGGACTCCTGGGATAGCGATATCCAAACTCACCGCTCATATAACGTCGTTCGCCGAATATGAGAACATTCGTATCTAATGATACTCTCTTGCCGCCCCGGAGCGCAATATTGACTAGAGCTCCGGGTGGCTTCACCGCAGCCATACCATCGTCGACTCCTATTTGGACACCGGCAGCGTCGACACACACGTCAACCTGAAGACGCAGGTCAGCCGAGAACAAAAGGCTTGCATACCTGACTTACTCCCTGGCCGTTAGTCAGGTCCTTGGTCTGCAGCACGACATCGAACTCATTGGGATCAACGGTATGGTGAGCGCCAAATGTCCTCGCAAATTCACGCCTTTGTCGACAAACCTAGGACAGGTCAGCCGAGCGTACAGCAAATACAGGGCTGGATCAGGCTGGCCTCAGACACAATGATGTTCTCGCAGCCCTTCGTCAATAGAGCTAGGACGACTGCAAGACCAACTGGACCCCCGCCAAGGACAAGTACGCCGTCTCCCTTCTTGTAGGGCGAGGTCTACGGCTAGTGGCTCGACCAGTCGTCCTCCAAGCTTCAGAGCCATGTCGTCGGGAAGTTTCTTGCGCAGATTCGCTGGGGCGCAGGTATACTCTCCCATTCCACCTCCTCAGCCGGCAAGACCTATGAAGCCGAAGGAATCGCACGAATTCGTCAAGCCTTGTCGACATGCTCTGCAATCACCATCATGAATCGTGGGCTGGATGGCCACCTTGTCTCCTTCCTTAAATCCAGACACACCGTCTCCGACCTTTTCGATCACGCGTGAAAATTCGTGTCCCAAGGCGATTGGTGGGGATTCTCCAGTCGTTCCATGCGGCTGTCCATTGGGGAGGAATTATATGTGGTCCATCAAAGTACTCGTGCAAGTCGCCATCGGAAAGTCAGCCGGCTGGCTCTTCAAGGATACGACGATGTGAGGAACGATACCTTCCGCAAATTACACAGAAGACAGGCTTGATTCGAAGCCGACCAGGCTTTACCTCAGGAATAGGCACTTGATCGACTCGAATGTCTTTTCGCTGCATGGAATCTAACAGCCTTCATTTTGCCTGCCATCTCCGTCATTCAGTACAATTCCGCGTGAACACGGCAATGAGTAGATTGCTGTCATCTTTGCAAGTAAGATGAAAGACAGCATACCTGGACTACGGATCGCCAATAGCTCTATCAAGCTTGCTCGCCAAACATGCCATTGTTCAGGCAGGCTGAGAGGTTGCCAATACGAAAAGCGATAATGTGGCGAGCTACTTGTTCTCGCGTACCTAGAGATCTACAAAGGATTTGACTTTACGTGGCTGAATTGGGTAAGACGGAACGACAGCGGAATCGCGAGCTCACTTCATGCAATGTACGTGTTCTCGAACACCTGGAGTGCATATTCTGGGGCTGCGGGGCTCCACGACGATCATGTTTGAGTAAACGACTAGCGACTGCGAGTAGGGTATATATGGGCATGTCGAAAGGTAAGCAATCACAATCATCTGAACCTCATCCACCCTTCTACACCCGTTCTCTTTGTTTGGTTCGACGGTTGTTCACCATGTCTCCAGCAGCTGTCGACGACCGCGTTAAGCAGGCTGAGCTCAAGGAGCTTGACCTCGCTGACTCTCTCGGCGCTCCAGACGTCTACATCGATGGCGAGAACGACACCGCCTGGGCCCATTGGACCGGCTCGATCTACGTCAAAGTTTTGAGAATGGAGAATCGCAAGGGCAACTATATCATCAAGCTGAAGACTGAACCACACGCCGAGCTTGGCAAGCACCGACACCGAGGTGAGGTCAGGGCTTACACCATTGCCGGAAACTGGGGATATCATGAGTACGTTGACCCCGAGCCACGAGCTTGCATTCATCGAGGCTGACGTACGATCAGGTATTCGTGGAAGGGCAAGCCGGGCGACTACATCACGGAAATGCCAGGAACCATCCACACACTCTGGATGGGCGAGGGCTCCGAGGTCCTCTTCGATGTCACAGGCTCGATCGAGTTCTTCAACGACGACAATACCCTCCGCGAGACGATGGATGGCTTCAGCTTTTGGCGCCTCTATGTTGAGCACTGCGAGAAGCACAAGGAGAAGGCCAATATGGGTTTGTGGTACTAGGATTGTCGAGATTACTTTCATTTCCAAAGTTAGCCCGTGTGGAAAGTACTGATTGCTTGCTTGCTTGTTTGCGTCTCATCACTCGCGCTATTCAATACGGTCACATGAGAATTCAGCACGCATCGCCCGTGATAGTAATCTTATAGATCCAGGACTTCTCACCCTTCTCCTCCCCGCCACGCCCAACCATCACGTCCCTCATAACAAAATGACGGCCTCAAGCCCCGACAGCAACCCCACCTGCGCCTTCTGCAAAAAATCGTCTGAAAACCTGCTCCAACTCCAATGTGCCCACAACATCTGTGGTGACTGCCTTGGCCACAAATTCAGAAGCGCACTCTCCGACCTCGCAGGCGACAAGAACAGTTTTCCACCACGATGCTGTTTTCCAGGAAATCCCACTCAACAAGGCCACACAGCATCTTCCTGATGAGGTGGCTTCAAGTTACAAAGACAAGTTGAATGCTATGGAAGAAGGGCGTGTGGTCAAGAAAGAGGATAGACTATTCTGTGCCGAGGAGTCGTGTACACGACGTTTGGGTCCCCGCGCGTTGGTGGGAGGAAATGGGAGTGAAGATAGTGGGGATCGGCAGATTAGAGACGATGAAGCGGGAGGACAGCAAGGCGATGACCGGGGCAAAGGAGAAGATGAGGACGTCGAATGTCCGCATTGCTTCCATTCTACTTGCCGGAGCTGTAGGAGGTTGGCGCATTCTGGAGGATGTCGCTGGAGACGTTGAAGCAATTGGTCGAAGGCGGCAGAAATGATGATATTAATCTACGAGGGAGAGTGCTACGTAGATGATGCAGTTTGCGATGGTTGTGAAGCTAGATTGGAGGTGTAACATGTGATACCCCGGTCCGTGCGTGCGTCAAACGAACATGCGTGCTAGATAAAGCCCGTATATCAGACTGGTAGCCTCTCTTCGGACAAGCGCTTGATCGTGCTCATCATGATGAAAGGGGGATGTTTGCCCCAGCAAGCAGCGTGCATCTCTTATACTCCACCAGATCGCATGGTTTCCAGGGACAGACCCACCGTCACAGTCCATCATGACGAGCAAAGAATCAACGTGCAACATGAGACAAAAGTGCGACGAAAGTGCGACTTGTCCAGCTTGTAGAGCAAGAATATGCATAGGCTGTAAGGGGCTCGAGCATTTTGGCCCCTGTATTGGGCAGAGCAGCACCAGCAGTGAGGATGACATGGGTCCTTCGCTTTGAGAGGCATGCGCTGGCAAGTCCCTTATGGAGTCAGAACACTAAGGTAGAGAACAAACTTGATCCGAATGAAACCTCATCAATCCTGTGCTCCCACACACAAAAAATGCCTTCGTGAGGGCGTCGCTCTCGGAGCGCCCAGAGCTTGCATGTGATGCCGTGGTCCGTGCGCATAACTCTTGGAGAGACGGTCTCGTGATTTTATCATGGCTAGTCACGAGACCAAAATTTCTTTGACGACAACATGCGTTCGCCTTTTGGTTGTGCAATAAAAACTTTTCGGAATCCGTGCTACCACCCATGCCGCATTCGGCATAGCCATGCAGGGACGAACGACTGCGCTGAGGCTGCATAACGCTCTTTCCCTTCCACATCGAGGTGAGTCCTCCTTCGGTGTCCAAACGACAAGATCCGACCAAAACACAAATATCTGCGGCCGAGGCGAGGTGATTTCCCGCGTTCCGCTTCGGAGTCGTTCTTCCACAGAAGCCTTATTGACTTCTCTCCACCGACAAATTCGCGTTACTGCTCAACATGAAGATCTTACAGTCGATGCTATTGGCCCTTTCCGTTGCGGTCGCTGGCGTGATTGCGACCCGTCATAATAATCACTTCCGGCATGCAGGAGAAGTGAAATCGAGTAATGACTATGTGGGATTTCGTCTTTCGATATCTAGCACGGGTCTCCGGGCTTCATGATGTCGTTCTCCAGCAGCAGCAGCACTTTGACAAATAGATTCTGGCCGAGAAGAGACATGCGAGGAATGGGGCCTGCAGCGCGTGGCCATGCTACGCAGACGGCGTAAACAGAGACCGACAGCTTCGGCACGATCATGGGAGCGAGCTGGGATCGATATATCAGAATCAAAATCCGCACCTGACATATGCCTTCATGGGTATCATACACACGTCACGTCACGCACCACTACCACCACCACCATCCTCTCCCCTCGCACTACCTCTTCAATTGCGCAAACCTCTTCTGCAACTCATCGACGTCCGGAATCGTGCCTCCAGGCCCGTCATCCCTTCTCTTCGCCCCATTGACATTCTTCGCCTTCGCCGGATCCGCCGTCTTATTCTTCGAAGGCGTCCCCTCCGGCGTACCGGGTAAATTGACCTTGGGCCTCACGTTATCCGTCCGCGGGCTCGGCGGCACCACCGAGACGGGACTCTTCGGGCCCCCCAGATCCCTTGGAGGGGTAGCCTTGCTCAGTTCCTCCGTCGTAAGCGCCTCTTCCAACGCAACTTTCTGTCCGCCAGAAGGATTATGTTCATCATCATCATCATCATCCTCATCCTCCTGTTCCCTCGCAGCCCTCTCCTCTTCCTCCCTCTTCTTCCTCGCCCCAGGCGGATAGTCCACCCCATAAGCCTCCGCAATAGCCCCCAGATACGCCTCCACCAACTCCCTCCCCGGCGGCTCGACCGCCAGCCTCTTCACCACCCTCTCGGGAACCTTCCCATCCTCATTCCCCATCGCCCCCAGCAGAAATTCCTTCCCATACTTCTCCCCCAACAACTGCCGCACGATCCCCAACTCCTTGACCCCTTCCACCCGCGGCGCCGCGTAGATGATACTCTTCACGGCCTCCTCGAGCCCCGGATCCACCTCTTTCGCCTCCATGAGCCCGACCCGCGCGGTCAGGAGTTCGCAGTAGAGTTCGATGATTTCGAGGAGTTCCGTGTTGAGGTCGGAGCGGATGATGTTCTCGACGCGGATGCGCGCCGATTCGATCTTGCCGGCTTCGAGCAGTTGCGCCATGTCGCGGCGGGCTTGTTTGGCGAGCGCGGCGTCTTTTTGCTGCACCATGCGGAGGCGCGAGATGGAGAGTTTGAGTTGGACTTTGAGTTTGTTGATGAGGGTGGAGGAGGGCGGCATGCTGGGCGATTGTTGGGGGAGGGTCGGTATGGCGTGGAAGAGGTGGCCTCGGAGGTACGTGCGGGTTGCGGTGGAGAGCAATGGCGGAGAGAGTTGCATGTGAATTCGTCTGGAGACGTGAGCTTGAAGTGAGGTGGGCTGGACCCCAGTCCGATGTTGCACGCCTCAGGCGTCAATCACCCCGCCTTTCCTTCCACGTGTTGGACCCGAATCCTTGGCAATGGGACTAACGGCGGCAAGACCTCACTTGGGTTGCATCAGTATATGAGTAGAGGGAAAATGCTTTTGCGGTTTAATGATCGGTGTTTAGAACAGCTATATAGGAGAGCTAGCACGCTTCATAAATTCCTCCAAGCCATCAAAAAGTCATCATCATCCTGCCAATCGTCACCCGTACGTGGCATGCCATGTTCATCAACAGCAAGCGCATCACAACAATCAAGAGACGCAGCAACCCCACGAGGGTATCAAAAAAGCAGAAATTCGTGAACGCAGCAAAGCGCGTGTACCTCCCGGATAACACGTTGCACTCACCATCCAATTAAAAAACGCTATGCCAAAGTGTACGTAAAAACGCAAGCCGATGAAAAAGTTCGTTCCGTTGGGGTATCTTTCTCGATCGTCCGTTCGCGTGCGGGCTTCGTCCGTGAAAAGCGTTGGTAGGGTTTGGTTCGGTAGAGTCGGCACCTTTGGGTGCTTCGCGAAGCGAGAAGTCATGACTCAGGTTGCGTGTCCGGCATTGGTATCATCCCGATAAACGTCGGTGATCGAGGTCGTCATGGGTCGTAAATTCGTGACATATAGGGGAAAAGGTCGGTGTGGTGGGTTGGCAATCTAGATTTCGTGTTCTGACTCAAGACAACGAGGGTCTTCTGTTGCGGTGTCGGTTTGAACAGAGTTTCGGTGTCGTTTCAGGCCATTGCCAGCTCGACTCCTAAGACCTGTGCTCCACGGCTCGACTGCCCTCACTGGTTGCGACAGCAACAAGAGCTTCTAGCTTGGCCATGTCGTTGTTGGGAGGTTTGCTGTAAGGGGCTTGAGCAAATTGTGGGTCATGACCAGACTGGAGCGCGTACGTCTGCGGTGGTGGCGCGGCTTGCTGCTGTGGCTGAGAAAACTGCTGGTAGCCAGAGTCCGTCCGTCCTTGATGACCAGGTGTGTAGTTCAGTACTTTCTGATCGTCAGTGATGGCCGTTCCGGGTGGGAACTCCGACGGTCCGTTCGCACTGATGATGACCGGATGGTACTCAGTGCCTTGGGATGTGGACGGTGTGGGAATGCCATCGCTGCTGCCAGAGTCTTCAGGCGAAGGGCGATGCGCTCCTCCAGCTGCCGGCTGTGCTTGAGACGGCGTGATTGGGCCGCCATACCAACCATGGCGCTTCTGTCTTTTCGGAGTGACGGGCTGCTCCGGCAGAGATGTGTGCTTGTATTGTACGTATTGCGGGGGCGCTTGATGTGTGAAGTAAACAACCTGCTGCTGAAGTGCTCCGGGGGCCGCTGGCCACTGTGCGTCGTTGGCGGCGGCAATATCCAATCTGGTCAACCCTTGCTGCAGGCCAGCGTCGACCGGTCGTCCAGAGCTGGAAGGCCGAGGTGATGAGTCGACCATCATGGGACTCGGTTGTTGGCGGACACCAGGAGGCGGAGCGTGGTCGAAGCTTTCTATACCGGGAAGTCGGGTCATCTGGCTCGCAGCCTGCTGCTGCGTGAATGCTGGGCGCGGTTCGTCCGGAGTCTGATGGTACGTCAACCCACTTGTCGCGGGCCGCTGGGCATACTGGGAGTTGCTGCTGGGGTGCCATGTTCGTCGCCGACACTCCATCTCGGATTCAGACTCTCGCCGTCCGTGCGAGAACACCGAGCTTGTTGGGCTAGCAAACACACTGCTATTTTGGGAGAAGTTCGCCGGCTGTCCCGACGGCATCGGACTGAAGTATGGAGGAGGAGGATAGGTTGAATTTTGCGCCTGGAATGGGTTCTGGCCAGACGGAACGGACAAGCGACGGCTTCCTGGGCGCGCACCGTTGTAGTGGGACGATCGGGACAGCGTTGAAGCCGGCGAGGCCATGCCTGACTGGAAGCGAGGACTCTGAGGGCCGGTCGAGAAGGTTGTCGACGTCGGCGTGCTGTAGCCAGTGGGCGACTGGTTGTAGTAGATGTACTGCTGTCCCGGACTTCCAGACATGCCATTGCTGTACGTCTCCAGCGATAGTCTCGCACGTGCAGTCGGATCATTGGCCATAGCCAGTGGCTGTGGCCTGCGTCGAACGTCTTCTGCAACGCCAACGCTCGAGGCAGTTGAGCCAATGCTCGAGGTGGAAAGGTTGCGGCTGTGGCCTCTCGAGTGTCCACCCTGGCTCCCTAGGGTGGATGCGCGAGACCTCCCCGTTGGCGGACGCACACGGTCCGTGCGAATCTGTCTCTGAAACCGAGTACTGGTCGCAGCCAGTGAATCTCCGGGTATCTCCTCATTCACATGGACCGTCTGTGCATGCTGGCGAAGGTTATCGAGGCGTGAGAATCGTCGAGAGCAGTGGCATTGGAAGGGTCGTTCTCCCGTGTGCTTTCTGTATGGATCATCAGCAAAGATCAATACAGACGATGTGGAGATAACTCACCTGATATGCCGAGCCAGATGTTCGCTCCTCGTGAAGCTGAGCTGGCATGGTGGAAAGTCGGTGCAGAAGAAGCGCTGGCTCTTCTTCTTCTTGGACGGCCTTTGTGATTCGCTCGTGACACTGTCATTGTCTGATTCATCGTCTTGCCCGCGCTGCTCATCGTCGTCGCCATCTCCCATCTCGACATCGTGCGACTTGATCGATCGATGCGGACTATCTCTTTTCATCGCTGACCCTGGTTCAGATGCCTGGTCCGTCGGCTGGACGGGCGTCAGTGGTTCGTCAGGTAGAGGCTTCTGACCGGGCAGACCTCCAAAGCTATGTCTTGTTGGGGTGTTGGGCGAGGACTTGTCGAGGTTGTCGTCCCGAGCGGCATGGTCGGTCATGTTCGCGTCGGGCTTCGGGGTAGCTGGAGCGTGCGAGTGGGTAGACCGAGCATCTTGGGGCTCAGCGAGACTGGCGTTGATGGCGGAGAAGGTTGCCATATGTCTTGCGACGGGGTGTCGAAGGCTGCGCACAGCTGGGACCGCAGGAGCGGTGCGACGACGGTGGTGGTACCCTCCTCAAGACGCAAGGGAGGCGAAGACGAAGGCGAAGGCGAGATGTTCGATGTGCGAGGCGAGTGTCTCGTTATCATGGGCGGGCGAGAGGCGGTGGAGCGCGACCGAGTGTTCGGGAAGCGGTGCAATATGATTGAGGTGGTCACCACGGTGGTGATGGGAGGCGCAGAAGCGGTGCCGGCGCCGGTGCCGCGAGCAAGGCTGGGGAGGGACTCGATGACCACATGCAGCGGCCGAGTGTATGGCGACGACGGCGGGAGGCGGGAGGCGGGAGGCGGGAGGCGGGAGGCGGGAGGCGGGGGGCGGGAGGCGGGAGGCGGGAGGCGGGAGGCGGGGGGCGGGAGGCGGGGGGACGGCGACAACAGAGGTGAAGGATAAGGGTAGCTAGAGTCGAGTCGAATGGAAGAATGAGACTTGATCGGCTATTGGTCAATGGTTCGTGGCCCGGTGTCGGCGGAGAGCCCGGAGAGCCGCAGCGTCGAGTGGGAGGTGCGGTGCGGTGCGGTGCGGTGCGGTGCGGTGCGGTGGCAGTGAAGATGCCCGGTGATTGTTATTAAGGTGTAGAGTTGGGCGAGTGCAGGTGCAGGTGCAGGTGCAGGTGCAGGTGCAGGTGCATGCGCTGATGATGAGGGTGATAAGAGACAGCCCAGTGTGAGAGAGTGAGTGAGAGAGAGGCGGCGGCGGCCAGGATTCAGTAGTCCCGCCACCACGCAAGCACGCACCACATCCACCCGTATGTGCGTAGCAGTCCCCCAAGGTACGTGTACCTACAGTACCTTACCCACGCAGCCGATTGCTTCAGATGTGCAGGCCGGTCCTGATGACAGACGACGCGCTCGGCATGCAACGGACGCCGCAGCCGCAGCCGCAGCGACGGGCAGGGAGAGTGCAGTACGGTGCGGTATGGTCAGTAAGGTAATGCAGTGGTGACCGGAATGTTCAGATGGGCGGTAAGGTAGCGCACGTTGGGTGCTGTGGGTTGTGGTGGGTGGTCGGCGGGCGGCAGGGCGGGGTGGGGCAAGGCACCGAGTTGAGTTGACACGCCAGGGCAGGGTGAGATGCACTAGAGATGCACTAGACGCGCGAGATGCACGAGATGCACGAGACGAGATGCTAGCCCGTTCGTAGGCTAAAGTCGGAACACTGCCCTGGGATAGAGTCTGTAGACAGACATGATACAATGCAGGTGGCCTCCTCCCACCTCCCGTCGCTATAGCAGGGCCTCGAGGATACAGTACATGTAGCATCGTCGTCTACCTTACACGCGCGTCGCAGTGTCGCAGACTCGCAGCATCACCGCCGGAAGACGTCGGGACGCGTGTGATGGGGACGATAAGGTAAGCTCGACGGCACCGATCACGTGGTGGATCTGGCGAGAAGCGCCCGCCCATCCCTCTACTCCACCACAGGAGGCAGGGCAGGCACTGCTCGCAACGCCCAGGTACACCGTGGACAGACATATACATACCACTCAATTCACCTTCAGGCACGGAACGTCACCAACGTGGACGCCGCCACGCACCGCACAGCGCACTGCAGAACGGCGCGCCAAACATGTCCGGCCGCCCGCATCCACCCTCGCACCTCGATTCTCCCCTCTCACACCCAACCACCCGCCAGCCTTGCCCTGCCTGGCCTGGCCTGGCCTGCCCTGTCCTGCCCTGTCCTGCCCTGTCCTGCCCTGTCCTCCCGTCGCCAAGGCCAACAGATTCCTGCCCGGCTTCGCGAGGCACACAGAGGTACGTTGCGCGGCAAGAGGTACGTGTCAAGGTACATGGCGCCGCTGCCAGCGAGGCCGCCATTCGCAAGCGCCATCTCATCACATGCCCGCGCGCGGGACAGCTAGGTAACGGACTTCGTTGAAACGCCTGCCCAGGATCCAGCTTCTCCTTCAAACGTCAGCGACAGGCGGTGACTGACTTCCTGCCTCCGACCACGTACGTGCCACCGACCACTACCCCCCACCACTGCACCCTCCACCGCCCTGCCTCCGCCGCACACCTGTTGCCTGTACTTCACACCTCCGGACTCGCAGCTGCGCACAATTCCTCCTCCTTCCACGTCAATAGCCACCGAGGCCAAGGATCGTCGGCTTAATGCATGCTGTGTGCATGGAGCTAGCCCTAGTCTGCTGGAGCAATCGCGCCTGCTGCAAGGGCAGCTACCCAGGTACATCTAGCCAGGTACCCAACACCATTTCCGCTCCCAAGACTTGGGATCCGATGCCAGAGCCATCTAAGAGGTCAGCTGATGCGTGCTGGCATCTGGTGTGCTGGCCAAGAAGACTCCAGGCCGCTTAACCGCACAACACGACATGCGTTCATTCGCCCGAGCAACATCGCCATGTCGGCGCTCCAAGAATCAGCACCGTCATCAGGCGGCCGTGGTGGTGTGGTGGCCCTGAGTCAGTGGAGTACGGCGGCTCGCTTGTACCAAGGGACCGCTTCCTGGATATGGCGCTTACTCGCCAACCTTAAACCGGTCACATCCAACATGCATTTCCCTGGGAGACGACTTCATATACCTGCCTCGCCCTGGAAAGAGAACGTACACGTACGTGAGCGACTGCAGCGACTGCACCTGACAGCGAAGAGGGGATCCGATCGAGAATCTCACAGACACTCCCTCATCACTTCTTTGACTTTCCGAATACGGCAGGAGCGGTTCGTCGCCTTGCGCGGATTGAAGCTCCGTACAACATTCGGAACCCTCACGGTGCTGCGCGGTCGTGGAACGATAAGCGCGTTCGAGTCGTGCTGTCGGTGTGCCAGACGGCCGTATGCGATATAACAACATGCTGGAATTTCAGCTACTGGCGGTCTCCCCATGTGAAGTTGGAATCGTCCTACAACTTCTCCATCGAAACTACGATCAGGCGTTCGCGCAAACCAACTGAACATCGAAAGCATAGTTTGTGAAGACAGCAACGTGGTGTGTGACCTTGAGCGGACAGAGCGGAATGCAAGATAACCGCTCTACGATGTACAGCATAAGTGCTCTGCAACTCGGGTGTCTGCAGACCTACAGCGCTTCAGACACCACAATATATCACGTGTTTCCGCATAGGCCCGAGACCACAGCATTTTCCGGGGACAAACCGCACTTTAGGATTCCTGACAATGCTCGTGGGAAGAAGGAGGCCAGAATGACCTTCTGGAGTCCGCCAGCGGGTTGCTCAGGGACCCCCATGGCAAGCTTTCCTTGCAGTCTCATCCCTTTCGACGAACGACAGAAGTTGACCGTTTGCTAGTAATGACATGGCGCCTGACATTTTGACCGAGAAAGGACACATCTACTAGATGGAGGTCCACCAGACTACGAACGTAAAGACCAGATAGCCTGATCATCATTTGAAAGATGTCCAGTCTCTTCTGAAATGCGGAACAAGATCTACTCTGACCTGCTCCTCGACCGTGAGTCCCACGCTGGACCACACGTCGGAATTCTTGGAGCTTCCAAGAAGCAGCATCTCCAAGTCAACAAGATGCTCCCTGGGCCTGATCACGAGATCCACCTGAAAATCCCAAGTAGGTGTTGATAATCACACCTGAGGCGCACTGGGCACAAGCCTCGGAACTTGACCATCGAATGCGATTTTGATGGTCTTGGGCGAAGTTGATGGGCCCCAAGTCCCCAATGCTATTGGATTCACATGTCGGGCATCTCATTATTACTGATCTTTCGGACGAGAATACAGAGTCGCATCATGAATAATGCCCCATGCAAACCGGCGCTTTCATGGACCGGAAGACACACAGTCCCGACTTTTCGCAAGGCGCTCTGATCACTCGACCAAGCTCCACTCTCTAGGTAGAGGATAAATACGAGCGGATCGCCTACACGTTTGACGTTGTTGAGAAACGATGCTGCGCCCTCCGCGAGATGTGTGCTTTTGCGAATCTTCGCTTTGCGGAGGAGCATATGTTCAGCAGTGTCGAATGGCTTCATCGATAGACAGTTGTGACTGGAATTGCTATGATGAAGGACCGCACATGCTTCAATACATCTGCGCAGATTGATCAATTGTGTGTGGCTTTCGATAGCATACACGAGATCTTGACTGATAGCGAAAGGAGTGCTGAGCTCTGAGAGAAGCGTAGAATGAGCTGAAGAAAGACTCAGCAGCGAGGAGGGATAGGTTGCATGCGTTCGCACGGGACAAGAGTGGCGGTTCACTTGGTGATACGCCGGCTAATTCGTTCAATACAGGAAAAGCAACAGAGTCCAGCTTCGTGATGTAGGTAGCAATTCTGTACGGACTTCCAATGTCATCTCGTGATCAGACGGTGCATCCATATCAGTTTTCTTGGTAGAGTGTAATAACGAGGAGTTCAAGACTCGTAATAACGATTGGCAAAGTGCCTTGTATGCCTCAGGCACCAACGTTGACGTTGCAACAGGGTCCTTGGGGTTTGGAAAACCACAGCTGTCAATACATGCGCTCAATTCCGACCACCTCCCCCCATTGTACAATCTTACCACAGAGCTACTCGGCTGTTGCGCTGGCCAGAGTCCAGACCTCTTTCTAGCGACGTCTTCTACTCCCACGTCATGCGGCGATAGCACCAGACACCAAACTTGCACCTCCTCAATCGACACCATTCCGATTTCGCGGCGTGCATGTAAAGCTTCCTGGCACAACCGCAACCGCAACCAACATCTCTACCTCTCTACCCTCACCCTCGAACGCCGTCGATATTACAATCGCACATTCCTCGGCGCCTTGGTTCAGCAGCAGCAGTGACTTGGGTAATCTGCTTCCTTCTGCGATCAGGGACAAAGCCCACTCCTCAATAACCCTCGCACCCTGCGAATAACAGGTCGGCTCCTTGAGGCCAGATCTTTCGACATAACCCACGATGGCCTCTCCTCAGCCACCATACCAAGACGGCGCGGAAGCTGCTGAAGGTGGTCAGCAATATGCTCAGGATGGCGGCGCACATGATCAACAAGGCGAGACATCAGCGCCAGGGGCTGCGGCAGGAGGGAAGAAGAAGCGTGCATACGCAGGACAAGCATATGAATTTGGTGTAGGTGGAAATGTTGGCCAGCCGCCTCCACCAGGCGGCCAATACCCAGGCCAAGCTGCTCCTCAGATGATGGGTGGAGGTGGATATGGATACCAAGCCGGAGCACCTCAACAACCTGCATATGGCATGCCTGCTCAGCCAGCCTACGGTGATCCCAATATGGGCAGTCCGGCTCCTCAACAAGTGCCATATGGCCAGCCTCAGCAAGCTCCTTACGGCCAACCTCAATACGATCCTCAAGGAGGCTATCAGGCGCCTGCTCCTGGATACCCAACTCCTGGAATGCCACAGCAGCAGGGAATGCAAGGAATGACACAGCAGTTCTCGCAAATGCAAATGGGTGGACACCCTCCTGCGCCGCAGCCTCAGCAGCCTGTTGCTGCGCAATTGAAGCTGAACTCGCTACAGCCCGTGGACATCAGCATGCAAGGCCAGCCTTTCCACGTCAGCGATTTGGACCAGCCACCTCCACCCATCATTCTGCCTCCAAACGTGAGTCTTTGAGTTTTGGAAATCCTTCGAACGCTTGCTGACCAGTTGCGCAGTCGTCTGTCACTCCCTCTCCGCACGCAAACTGCTCGCCTAAATATGTTCGGTCGACCCTCAATGCAATGCCTGCAACAGCTTCTCTGCTCAAGAAGAGCAAATTGCCTTTTGCGCTGATCATTCAACCCTATGCCGCCCTTCACGATGCCGAGGACGACGTTCCCGTACAATACGATCAAGTTATTGCTCGCTGCAGAAGATGTCGGACATACATGAACCCATTCGCGAGCTTCTTGGACCACTCGCACAGGTGGAGATGTAATATGTGCAATCTCACAAACGACGTACCTCAGAGTTTCGATTGGGACAGCGTGAAGCAGCAGTCAGTGGACAGATGGCAGAGACCCGAGCTCAACTGTGCGGTGAGCGAATTTGTTGCGCCGCAAGAGTACATGGTTCGAGCACCCCAGCCATTGATATACTTGTTCATGTTCGACGTCAGCTACGCGGGTGTTAGCAGCGGACTCTTGGCGACTGCTGCGCGATGCATTCTGGAGAGCTTGGACAGGATACCCAATACTGATCGGAGGACGAGACTTGGCTTTATGGCAATTGACAGCTCTCTCCACTACTTCAGCATACCTCGCGATGGCAGCGAGAATAACGATGCCAGAATGCTGGTAGTAAGCGATCTGGATGAGCCTTTCTTGCCAACGCCAGAGGACCTGCTGGTCAACCTGACCGAATGCCGTGCGAATATTGAGGCTTTCCTTGGCAAGCTCCAAGGCATGTTTGCAAACACCCAAAACCCTAGCTCCGCTATGGGATCAGCACTTCGAGCCGGCCACAAGCTTATCAGTCATGTCGGTGGTAAGATGGTCGTTCTCTCCGCAACTCTGCCGAACGTAGGCTATGGCAAACTTGACATGAGGGAAGACAAGAAGCTTCTTGGCACCTCGAAAGAGAACAGCTTGCTGCAGACGCAGAACAGCTTCTACAAGAGCTTTGCCGTGGAATGTAGCAAGACGCAGGTGTCCATCGACATGTTCCTGTTCAGCGCACAATACCAGGACGTGGCCAGCTTGAGCAATCTTCCGAGATATACTGGTGGTCAGACCTACTTCTACCCGGCTTGGAATGCTGCCAGGACAGAAGATGCGATGAAATTCGCGACCGAGTTCAGCGACTATCTATCTTCGGAAATCGGACTGGAAGCTGTCTTGCGTGTACGAACGACGACGGGCTTGCGACCAAGCGCCTTCTACGGCAACTTTTTCAACCGATCGAGTGACCTGTGCGCTTTCCCCGCCATGCCCAGGGATCAAGCATACGTCGTGGAGATCGCTATCGATGAGAGCATCACGAAATCTTTCGCCTGTCTGCAAGTCGGTGTACTCCATACCACTTGCAACGGGGAGCGACGAATCCGCGTGATGACGCTCAGCATTCCGGTCACGCAGAACATGGCAGACGTGTATGCTGGTGCTGATCAGCAAGCCATCACTGCCTACTTCTCGCACAAGGCTGTCGAGAGAGCGCTTTCAAGCGGTCTTGATGCGGCGAGAGATGCCTTGCAGGCCAAGATGATCGAGCTGCTGCAGACTTACAAGAAAGAGCTCGGTGGTGGCAATATGGGCGGCGGTGGCCTTCAATTTCCGGCCAACCTGCGAGCGATGCCGATGCTCTTCTTGGGCTTGATGAAGCACGTAAGTGAACGAAGTACGCAAGTCTTTTGCAGGTGACTATACTAACTACTCTCTAGCTTGGTCTCCGTAAATCCGCACAAATCCCGACGGATCTCCGGTCTGCGGCTCTCTGCCTACTATCAACACTACCTCTACCGCTGTTGATGCAATACATTTACCCGCGACTGTACTCTCTGCACGACATGCCGGACGACGCTGGTCTGCCTAACCCCGAGACTGGTGCCATTGTCATGCCACCTGCACTCAATTTGACATCCGGCAACATCGTCCCATACGGACTCTATCTCATCGACGACGGCCAGACCCAATTCTTGTGGCTCGGCCGTGATGCCGTGCCTGCTCTCATCAACGACGTCTTCGGCATCGAAGACAAGAACCAGCTCAAGCAAGGCAAGACTTCTCTTCCTGTCCTCAACACGGAGATGAACGAACGGGTCCGCGCTGTTGTCGAAAAGTCGAGAGACCACAAGGGCAAGGGATGCGGAAGTATTACCGTGCCTCCGCTCTACTTGATCCGGGAGGACGGCGAGCCTTCCTTGAGACTTTGGGCGCAGACGATGCTTGTGGAGGATCGGGCGGATCAGGGGGTCAGTGGGGCCATGTTCATTGGAATGTTGAGGGAGAAGGTTGTTTCGTAGAGGAGAATGTGCGAAGTTTTTGTTGAATGGGGTTGACGAGGAGCATCTAGATGAGGATGAGCATTTGATGGTGCGTGCAGTGGGCACTGACTGACTGAGGTGAGGATGTTGTTGTCAACTGCAGACGAGCTTCTTTGGAGCATTATTGTGGCTTTTGCTCGGAAGAGGAAGAAGAAGAATGAATGTAGTGAGTAAGTAAGTAAGTAAAGTAAGTAAGGTATACTAGAACGGCGAACTCGAGCTGTTTGTGACCCGCCGTTTTTGGAGTGGAGTGCAGTGGAGTAGTATGCAAATCAATGTCCAAAAAGCTGAGGGTTGAATTTTCTATGATATCCTTGTCGTCTTCTGTGTGCGAGCTATGATGGTTCTTGTTTTTTCTTGTTTGTTTGTTGCTCAAGGCCTGCAGGGCATCTGACGAGCTCACTCACTCACTGTTCCCTGTCTAGTCTATTCCTCGAGCTGTAAAGGCAACAGACAGCAACAGCAAGAATACCTTACCGAGAGACACACACACACAGCATCAACATGTCACTCACTCAGTCCGCCTCGCCTCGCCCGCCATCTTTCTTCTTCTTCTAGTCGACGTCATCTCTACCTTACTACAAAGCACTCACTCGAAGCGTAAAAGCGTCAACGGAAATCCACACACTTTATACACACCTCATATAACGCCTACTTTAAGCTCGGAGCACGAGCCACTCGCTACCTTACTTAGCGCGCTCTTTCACGAGCTAAAAATTGAAATGTTTAACGGGAAGGTCTACTACATCTTACTACCTATATCTCTAACGATATATATATATATATATATATATATATATTATCTCGGCTATTATACTCTATAATACTTATGCTCATGGCACAGAACCTCGCTAAAAAAAAAATTCCTAGAGAGGGGAGATTTTTAATTTCGTACGCTCTCTCGTCTCTCTCGTATTGCTCCTTCTCTACGGTACGGTATACGTGATGTCGTATGTGTATGTACATGTAGCTTGTCTGTCCCTGACATATTGTTCGGGATTGTGACTTGGCTGTCTGCTGGTTGATGGAGGATGGAATGGTACAAGGGAGAAGCAGCGGCGTTGGCGAAAGGCGGGAAACAAGTGTTCTATTGAATGCGAGGGTCAATGGTATCGAGAGACTGGCGATTTCAAAGCCGTAAAAGTCGGACCTTGTCTTTGGCAATATAGTCGAAATCTCTGCGATGACACTGGGGATGGATGAAAGCTGGCAGAGTAGAGAATACGTCGGAATACTAAACTGGTCATTTCGATCCATCAGCTCAGAGAATGGTTTGGTCCATCCGATGCAAAAAGGTGCGGCCAAACAGTTGTTATTCTGCCAATCCAATTCCATTTGAGTACCTTTGCTGTCTAGCTCAGACAACGAGATCCTACCCCCATCCACTGCAGTCTAATCCATCCGATGCCTCTGCGACACAGATTGCTATACCCACATCGTCAGCAGCTCAATTCCCACTCACACCAGACCAAAAAAAAAAAGACTCCCTTCCACTCACCTCACGAATAGGCACAAACTTCTGCATGGCAACCTGATTCTTGCGAGTCCATTTGGCCAGAAGATAGTATTCCGCTTTGCCCGGCGTCTTGGTGATTTTGCGGCTTCTAATGTGTGCGAGTGTTGTCAGAATCTTTCTTGAACAATCCAGAGAGAGAGAGAGAGAGAGAGAGAGAGGGAAAAAACAAGGAGCGGAGCGGAGCTTACTCGATGAAGACTACGTTTGGTCTATACCCGGCCTCGAACCCGTTGACGAAGTTGCGGATATCTTGCTCCATGGGCTGCAGCTCGCTGGCGTCAAAGCCGTCTCTGCCTAAGGTGTAGGAGATGACGGGAGGGTTCGGGGCCGTCATGGTGGATGAATGGTGGGATTGGTGTGGTGATGTGTTGATGCTTGATCCGGATAGATAGAGACGCTGAATTGCTTGGAGTGTGTGCTCTCTGCTGGGGGAACAGTCGATGGCTGTACTTATAGGGACGAACCATGTTGGCTTCTAAACAGTCTGGAACTTGTGCGCGATGCAAGGTCTCAAATCAGCTGGCCACGACTGTGATGGGCATTGCATCACGCGGCGATAGGCGATGCCTCGGATCATCGCTGATTCGCGAGTTCTGACAAGCAGAATACCATTCGCATAGCATTGAGGCGTCGTCTGCTGACGAGATGCAGCCGACGAGTGAATACAGGTTTTGCGGCCTTGCATGGTTTGTGGCTTGCGCTATCCAGAGACTTCGAAGCCTGTGCAGCCGCTTCTACATGAGTCTCAGCACGATATGGCTCCTGTCTCAGTTTTGAAGGAGCGAGAAGCATGGTGTGGAGATACTTTTCGGGGAGAGTCCCACTGGCGCAATCGATGGAGCTTTACAAGCCACGGGTCGGGGATTCTATCGTTTCGACGACTCTAGATCACATCGTCTTCAATCACCCAATTCTGCACGTCTCGTAGCGTGATGGCCGGCAGCAGCATGAGTTCCACAACTAAGCCAGCTTCGACCAATTCTCGACACACGGATTCGTCGACAACATCGCCGTCTCGTATCTCGAGTTCGTCCAGCTTATCGCTTACTCTGAGATCCAGATTTCGTGCCTCCTCGACATAGTCCTCTGCTTGGTTGCGCACGTCTGCCACAGACGATCGATCATTCTCAGCACTGGAATTGTACCGAGTGTAGCCCAGAGTGTCATATCCGATGACCTTGACTTCACTACCAGCAGAGGTGGTAAGAACGTCTTTGGTATGCGTGACACTTGCTTCGACGAAAAGGACTTCCACCGTGACCGTGATCCCAAACTTCTCCAGTTGTTTCCTGAAGGAGTTTGACCCACTGACGAGGATCCCAGTGTCGCCTCCAAGACGATACCCCGCCAAATAGTAGTCTCCGTACTTTTCGTGGAATGCCTCGAGACCGCCGAAATACTTGATCGTGCCGATTGCATCATAGGATAGACGAGGTTGCCTCTCGAAGAAAACCGAGCCTGCTCGGGTGCTGAAGTTGATGGATGTCTTGTTACTCTGAACACGAGTCAGTTGAATTCCATCATGACAGCTTGTTCGACGAACGTCTTTGTTCTCCTGAACGTCTTTACAGTAATCGCCATGAACCGTCACGCTCGCGAGGAAAGGAAGTCCCACGCCGACTCCGAAGCCTAGCTCCAGATGGTCGACGGTCTGTGTCGATCTACTCGTCGACCTCGACTTGAACGTGCTCTGACTTCCGTAGTCCCTGCCAACGATCATCGCAGTCCTGGCTAAGGAGCTCGGGTCGAATGGGGAGTTCTTCGCCCAGGGATATTCTTCGGACTTTTTGGTCGAGTGAAAGAAGGTGCCTAGAGGAACCATCTGCTTGGGGTGCCATGGGATGATCAAGGGGAGCCGAGCTTTCGTAAGTCGTTCTACCTCTGCGAAGGAGATCTCTGATAGCTCTTCGTAGCCCGGATAATTAGTCTTGTCCATGTCTGTAGAGTGGAGTGAACAGCATGTGAGAATTCCCACGACCTACTGGCAGACGGCTCTACATCACCCGGCGCTGCTTTCCTCTGTGATCGGGTGCATTCGGCGTTAGTGAACAGGAAAGGAGCTGGAACGGCCCAGCCAGCCACCGGGAGGGCGGCGCGCTCGGTCCGTTCCCGTGGCGTCGCACGTGGCAGCGGAGAAGCTGGAGACTCTAACACACACCATCTCCCGCACCAAGATCCAATCAAGACACCTCTATCCTCATATGGCCGCGGCTTGGAACTCAAATGCGGCTCGACGCCGGTCTCATTAAGCCACCTGTGTTCTGCTAATGCAACAGACCATGGCCACCTATGGCGCTGTATGCGCTTGTTGTCTCGGGGCCGCCGGTGGCTTCACGACAGTGTCGCGGGGACCATCGAGAGTGGAGATGTAGCTGTGGACTCTTGGTAGATTATTGATCAGAGCCGGCTGAAGCTGTGACCCAGAAACAGAGCAGGTTTGCTTGGGAGGTAGGAGGCATTATAAGCCAGGCAGCCCTCCTGCACTGGACATTCTCTTCCTTCAGGACAACATCTCCTCTGCTTTCGTCCAAGAAAGCCTGCCGGCATATCGCCCAGCTCATTATACCACTGACGAGCTAGTGCATCCCAACATGGCGTTCACTCTTGCTCCTTAGTAAGGAAATCGACAGTGTCAGTATCGGGAGAAGGAGCTAATGAGTCGACAGTAACAATGCTATGCGCTTGGGCCAAGGGTTGGTCATCTAGTACTTGCGCTCAGGAGTCTCCAAACGCTGACTTCTGGCCAGTTTCAACACCTTTACCCAGCAGATATGCGTAGACGATGCGGTCATTATCGATCAGACCAGGGCCGAGAATGTACTAACCAATGATGGCACAACCATGCGCATTCTAGTGCAGTCGTCTGGCAAACCCAGTGCTTGGTCTCGGCAGAAGGAAGTTGTGGCCAATGAAGCTGCTATCGATGATAAGCCAGATGAGCCAAAGAAGATTCAGCCGAGCCAGCCAAAGAAAGCTTTACAAGAGCCAGAGCCAACGAAGTCTAGCGGAAAGGGCGCCAAAGCTTCCAAGCCGACGAAGTCCGCCAAGGAGGATGAACCGAAGAAAGAAGGAAAAGCCGATGCGGTTGATGAAAGTCCTAATGAGGAACCTCTTGGAGGCTCTGATGAGCTTGTGGAAGCAGACGACGAAGTTTGTACTCCCATTTATCGATGGAATGATTTAGAGAGATGCTGACAGGTTTAAGCATACTGACGAGCCCGAAGCGGATGAGCCCAAAGCTGATGCTGCTGAGACGGAGATCGCTACTGGCAAAGCAAAGAAGAGCAAAACCACCAAGGCTGACAGTGCTCCCGAGCCTTCTGCGGAAGAGCACATTGCAAGCCCGAAAGCCACCTCCAAGTCATTAGTAGCATCGCGCGGCAAACCAGCTGCTTCTGCCGTCACAGATGCTGATGAAGCACTCGGTTCTAAGGTGGTGTCAGCAGGGGCGCCCGTCGCGGGAAGTACCAGGACCACTAGGCCTCAATCTTCGTCAGTCGGCCGAGCCTCTGCTGGGACCCCGTCTGCTCCAGTTTCTCGCTCAAAACAGTCTTCCAAAGAGGGCGATGGCAAAGTCGACTGGGATCAGTACGCTTCCCAGAGCTCTCAAAAGGTCGACTGGGACCAATACCGAGGTCAAGGTGCTGTTGATTCAGCGGCTCGCCCTCAGCAGCCTGCAAAGGGAGACAACGAAGCGGTTGACTGGGACCTCTACGCTTCTCAAAGCAGTCAGCAGGTAGATTGGAAGCAGTACCGTGCTCAAGATACAGTGGCAAAGGAGCATAAAGCAGATGAAGAGGCTCTTCTGAAGGAAGAACGGGAGAGACTGATGTACGCTCGTGAAGAGCGCAAAGAACGAGAGCGCGAACGCAGAGAAGAGGAACAGCTCCGAAGGCAAGAAGAGCGCGAGAGAAGGATTGAAGAGCGTCAGATGCTCAAAGAAGTCGAAAAGGAGCGTTGGGAGGAAGAAAAGAGACGCCGAGCAGTGGAGGTGAAGCAGCGTGAAGAGGACGCCGCGTACAAGCGTCAACGCGAGCAGAAGCGACAAGTTGAGGCGGATGCCAACATCGACGACGCCGCCAATATGAGAGCGTTGAGCATGGAAGAGATGGCTTCCATGAAGGCAGACTGGGACAAGTCTTTCGAGGAACGCACACAACGGTTCAAGGGCATGCTAGAGAACAAGAAAGAGTACGAATTGGACGATTCAGCTCTCGGCGGACCGAGCCAGGTATGCTCAACCTGGATGGAATTTGCAGACGATCACTGACATGACTTCTTAGGTCGTTACCTACACCAGCCGCTTCGTCGACAAACTGAGTGACATTACTGAAGACATGAACATCTCCGGTAGCCTTTCAATCAAGGCCGGCAAGTTCGGAGGCTCGGGTAAGGGCGCGTTCATCGATTCCGACAAGTTCAAGGAAGCGGATCTCAACTTCTACATCAGCGTGAAGGTCATCAACCAGACCATCAACTTCAAGGATGCCCTGGTCTTCAACAAGCTGCGATCTGTCAACAAAGACAACTTCAATCAAGTCTTCGGAGACGGCTTCATTTCTGGCTTTCAGGAGGGAGGCGAGTTCAATGCGCTCGTCAGCATGAAGATCCTGAACAAAGCGAAGAAGACAGACATCCAGGCTGCTGCGAAAGTAGCCTTCACTGCAGGGACTGTCGACATCACTGCTCAGGCCAACGTCAACGTGGCGAAGACGAACATCGAAACCAACACCGAGACAACGATCCAAGTCAGCTGGGCAGGCGGTGGGCACATCAAGCCTCGAGAGCAGCAATGGGACATTCCGAGCTTGATGCAAGCAGCCGCTCGTTTCCCCGATCTCGTCGCCAATTGCCCGCAACGTATCTACGCCATCGTCACAAAGTACGACAGCCTACGCAGCTTCCTCGAGGAGAAGCCGGCGGGTTATACGAAGCTGCAGTACGAGAATGCGCAGATCTATACCAACGCCATGATGGACTCATACATGTCGTACAAGACTTTGTACACGAAGCTCGGCTCTCAGATCTTCGACGTGCAGAACAAGACCAAGACGATTCAAGCTTGGAAAAACAAGAATGCACCGACTGACGCTGAGAAAGCTGATGGAGACAACGAACCCGCGGCTGATGACGATGGGAAGGCTGACGAGAGCACTGGAGGGGTCTCGAAACAAGGTGACGGCAATTCCAAGCCACCTTTATTCGACACTGGCCGCTTCGCTGCGACGGTAGCGGGCTTGGGCCAGGCCAAGAAGGCAATACGCAAACAGATGGCACTGATTGTCAACGAGGTCGATTCGATCGAGCAGGATCCGAAGCTGGCCACCGACGACAACCACTACGAGCCATTCCAGGATCCGGTCTCTTTCGAGGAGAGACTTCCCGTCGTGGAGTCTCCCGAGAAGCCCAAGACGACACTGCCGCTCGACGGTAAACTCATCGTAGCGAAGACGCAGACGGAGGAAGAGGCACAAGCCGAATCCGCCGAAAAGGCAGAGCTGATTACAGACCGAGCCGCGCTCTCAATGGACGAACAGTCTGCTATTGACAAGTTCCTCGCCGATCGACCGCATCTCGGACGAAACCTGCAACTGTCGCCACCGATTGGCTCGGAGACGAAAGGAGGTGCATTCAGCAATCTGGAGTTCTTGCAGCCTGCCTGGAAGCTGCTGGCGGTCAAGGTCGAGATCCACGACGGAGCCGTCTCCTGCCTCTGGCTGCACTACGACAACGGCCTCATCCTCACCCGAGGCACAGCCAAGGGTGGTCGCATCGTCGAAATGTCGGGCTTGAAGACCGGCGAGCGGATCATATCCGCCTCGATCCAAATCGGCAAGGGACCAGAGAACTCCTCCGTGCACCGCATCATCGCTCTCCAACTGCACACCAACCGTGGACGCAACTTCATCGGCCAAGCCGACGTGTGCTCGGTCGAGGACAAGGCCCATCTGCGCGACGGCACGAAGTACACCGACGTGCAGACCCGCTTCTTCGACGTCCCCCTCAAGTACGGCACCCTCAAGGGCTTCTACGGCCGCACCGACGACACCGCCATCTGGCGATTGGGCCTCATCTGGGGCGATCTGGGCCGCGACGAAGGCTTCGACGGGTTCACGGAGAACACGACCACGACCGCGGAATCCCTCGACCCCATCACGGAAGCCAAGATGCTGACCGTCCAGTCGCAGGAGAAGGTCAAGACTCTCACCGCGGAAAACCATACCCTGCGCAGCGAAAAGGAACAGTTGAATTCCACGCTGCAGAGCAAGCGGAACGAATTGTACGAAGAAGTCTCGAAACTCAACGAACGAGCACGACAACGCATTGCGGAGGTGACACCGGCGTGGGGCAATCGATCCGCCGCCTTCAAGCGTGGGAGAGTAGAGGTACATTTCGTCGTGTACGGAGGCAGAATCATCTTGGACGACGCGGTGGCGAATCGGATCCTTGACGCCATGGAGAGGAATACACAGTTCTTGGTGAATGACGAAACGCTGGGGGGAGATCCGTGGCACGGGAACAGGAAAGCGATGGATGTTGTTTATCGGTATGATGGGAAGGGGGAGATGAGATGTAGTGTGGGGAAGCAGGACGAATACGTGAGCTTTGATCAGCTTTGAATGAATACCTGAGTGGATAGCTGTCGCTATGTGCAGTGTAGTACTGTCTTCCATTGTCGAGCGCGCAGAGTTCTCTCACCCCTCGATTCACTTGACCATTCCCATTGGAATGTGCGCAGCTTTCCATCCTCTCTCATGCTCCATTCGTCATGTGCTGTCTCGTCCTTCCCACACTGTCATGCCTCGTGCTGGGCAGCTATCGCGCCGTGTCTCCTTCCTCATCCTCCTCAACACAACCGACATTGCTTTCAGAATCCCCCCTCCTCTTCCTCTCCTCTGTCCGAGCAGCGCTTCTCGGTCTCTCGAATCCAAAACTCTCCACTGCAGCAGCCTCTCGATCCCATCTCCTTTCCACAAATCCCACGTTTTCAGTTCAGTGGAAGAACCACTGCTGCTGCTCGCCGTAATTTCGCGGCCTACAGACGAAATCCTTGGCAATCTCATCGACGTCGGCGAGGGTGAGACCGCGTTTGTTGCCATCATCCTCCTCCCCCGCCGCCAGCCCGTCGGTCAGGATGTTGTCGACGTTGCGCTGCGCGAAGGCTTCGAGGAGGTTGTGCGAGCCGTACAGGGAGTCTTCTACGAGGTATCCAGTCACGCCCAACGGATAGGAGCGCTGCTGCTGCTCGTCAGGAGGGGAGGAGCAGGTGAGATTCAAGACGCAGAGCGTGCGGAAGGGCGTGCCGATGTGCAGGCGGATCTTGCGCATCTCCGCGCGCTGCAGGAGGCGCTGGACGCGCGCGCGCTGGGGTGGGCTGAGGCAGATCTTGCCGCAGTCCTGCGCGCGGGAGGCGGTTTGGAAGAAGCGTTTCGTGTAGCGGTCGTAGTTGGTCCAGATTGCCATGGTGATGGTGGCGTGGGTGAGGTAGGCCTGGGCGATCTCCGCGGCGAGCTGGGGGTATTGGCGGCACTCGGGGGGTTGGGCCAAGTCCTGGAGGTCGATGATACGGTCGGCGTAGAGGTGTGCGTAGAATTGCTGGCGCTGGGCGGGGGGTAATTTGGGGAGGAGGTGCTCGTCGGTGGCGTCTGTGATCTCGGGCTGGACGAGGATTCCCTCGTCGGCGACTTCGTTCTCCTTCTCTTTCTCCTTCTCCTCCTGCTTCTGCTTCTGCTTCTGCTTCTCAGGAGATGCGGATTGCTTGAGGCCTTTGGAGGCGGCGAGTGCTTTTCCGAGTTTGGCGATTGGGGAGGAGCTGGCCGGCGCTTCATCTTGCTGTGTGTCCTGGTTGGTGTTGATGTGCTTCTCGAAGGAGGTGAGTGGCGAGTCCTCGATAGTGTCCTCGTAGAGTTCCCTGCCGTCCATCATTCCGTCCGAGGAGGAGTCGGTGGCGGGAAGCTGCGGCGATGAAGGCGAAGGGAGATGATCGGGGCCTGCCATGTCTTCATCGGAGTCGGTGAAGTTCTGGTTGCTGAAGTATTCGTCGTCGATGCGCGGGGGGAGAGCGCCGCCGGGTATGGTGGAAGAGTTGGCCGATGAGGAAGAGTCTGATGAGGGAGACGCGCGCTTGGTGGGTCGTGGTGCAGCAGCGGCGTCGCTGGCGAGTTCGCGCTTGAGGCTCGACATGATTATCGGGACCGGCGGCGTGTTTGCTGATGCAGTGTGTTGCGGCGTTCCGTTTGCTTGCGATGTGGACGGATATCTGCAGATGGAAGTTTTACATGCTGTCTTATCCAGAGTGTTGGCTTGGGCCTTTGGATGATTCACGTGCTATTGTCCTCAGCGGTGGAGTCACATGTCGTCCGTTGAGCTGCAAAACACACCTTCCCTCCTCATCAAGCGCGCAGAAGCAGCATAGCAGCACTCTCACTTACCCCGACTGCCTCTTGACGGCGCAACCATGGTATGTAGGCGGTAGATGGTGTGCGTGGAAGACGCTCTCTTCTCCAAGCCCTCGCTCTCGGCAAGCAGATTGATGAAAAGAAGTCGCGACTCACGAAAAGCGCGTCGAAGGGTGTCAAAAATTCCTTGCCGATCCGTAGACCAACAAGAGCAGTCATGTTGATAGTTTTCAACTAGCAAAAACGCAATCTCGGACGAATCCTCACTGATATGCGTAATGCCCGTGCTGTACGATCGTTAGCATCTTGTTGTGGTGGAGGGCAGGGGCAGGATTCTTCACTTACCACATGGATGGGGAAAGAAGAAAAAAGAGGAAGAGGAATGGAACGCGAAGTTTTGTGCTTGCGCGGCGCACTGACTCATTGCGGGTGAGGCCGCAGTCGGCAGCTCCCGTACGTCACGTGATTTTGCTGCCTCAGGCTATCCAGAATCTGAACGTCGTCTTCTGCAGCATATTTGGGACTCCCATCGGACGTGTCGAGACGCTGTGATTGCAATAGATTCTCATTGGTAGAATTTGCAAGAGGGCGAGCGAGAAGGAAATATCTTTGGCGAGCCTGCTAACCCTAAAGCACGGGCTTTCGGCCCTCCGCACAACTCTGGCTTCACGCGTTCCCGTTCACGTTCACATGCAAACAATCTGAGCCCGAGCTAAGCCATTTCATTGCAATAACCAGCCCGAGTCGCGTCTCTTGCACGATGCAGAATCCGTATGTCCGGACTCCACTCCAGACCACATTGTTCTCCCACACTGACCCAACATGCCAGATCGCAAGGAGTCGCGCCCCAGCTGCTACCACACGTCCACTTGACCTCCCTCCACCGATTTCCCCAAAACGCGTCGCTCGGCATCGAGCAGGTATACCGATACCTTTGCGATGCCCCAACGATCGTCAAACAGGTTGCGCCGATGACATGGCAGTATGTTCAGGCACCGCAAGATGGGACAATCTGGCTGGAGTGGATTGCGCAAGAGAGGAACGACCAGATGTACCCTTCTGATGGCTATATCTGGGGCGACCCCGAGCAGAGCTTTCAACAAAACTTCAACGGGTACACAATCGAGATCAGGGTGCATCGAATCGGTTACAGACCTGGCCATGATCAGATGGCTTCGCATGCGCGCACGCGCTATCATTTCCTCCACAAGAGTCCCAACGTCAATGCACCCCCGCCGGACACGAGTCTCTGGCTGGTGCATTATCACCAGGCAGATCAGGTCGTTCCCGCTCAGACATTGCCCGTGGCAAGGGAAATGCAGCAGATCATAGCTCAACGGAGATGGTTGGAGAGCCAGGGACGTCTGGACCGCCGTGACTTCATGTTGCACGATCGCGAGCACTGGCCTACGCTTAACATTCCAGGTCACCCGCAGCAGCAGAGCCAATATGGTGCAGTGGCTATGCAGAACAGATACCCTCAGCAGGCCTACCCACAGCAAGCAGGGCAGCCTCCTTCGAAAAAAGCGCGTACTTCGGGTCCTGGGATTCCGCCTAGTTCTAGCGACGGCCAGCCCGAGACGACGATTGAGATGGAGGAGGACACTGCCCTCGGCGACTTCTTCGACCATCTCACTCCACGCGACATCAGCTTGGCGAGATACACACAACATCATCGCTGGATGGAAGAGGTCTTCTCATCGCCCTATGCCACCAGCCAGATCGTGCCTCCTGATCTTGGCCTGGGTCTCATGGGCGAGCTGAAGGGTCTAACTGATGGCATTCTCGAACCGCCATCACTGGACTTTAGGGATCAGTCGCAGGATCTCGCCAAACCTCAGAAGGCGAAAGAAGCAGAGCCATTCACCAACCTTAAGAAAGAGCAAGTCGAGGAGTTTGGTAAGCGCGTGCAAAAGCATCTGGAGGAGGGACAGGCAGAGATTGAGCGCATGAAGGCTGAGCACGCGGCCAAGATGCAAGATTGGAAGAAGGTCAAGACCCTCATGCAAGCGGAGAAACGGCTAAGGTACGCCACTTGGGAAGCAGCTGAAGGGGACGCGACAGTATTCCGACTGGAAGAGCCTGTCACAAACGGCACCGATGAGGGCGCGAACAAGGAGAACATGGATGATGTGGTCAAGGACGTGGAAGGCCTCCTCAAAGTCAAGATCGATTCGCATTCCGATGCTACAAGGATTGCGAGAGGTGGCTTAAGAGATCGTAAGGCAGCAGCACTTGACTACGACCAGCAAGCCAACCAGGAAGACGTCACAATGGCCAATGGCCAACAGCATTCCACCTCGACCTCGACACCAAACGGAGCAACAGAGCCTACAACGTACCACGAGGACCCGACTGCAGTGTCACAGACCGTTGGCGAGTCGTCAAAACTATCGCAACCCCCAGCAACATTAGATCACAACACGCCAGGGATTAATGAACAGGACCGCACGCAAGGACGTGACAACTCCGCTGGTGAAGCCCTGGAAGATATGCCCGGTATAGAGATGATGGACATGGACATGGACATGGGCAACGCAGATATCAACTTTGGTGAAACGAACACGCCGGATCTTGGGGATGGCGCTGCAGCACCGCCACCTGCTGAAAGCCAACCGCAAGGTAACATTATTTAAACTGCCAAAGTTCAAGCTCGATGCTGATCTTCTCCAGCTCCCGGAGCGACAGGATCGTCCGTTCCCCTATCGGCGCCTCCAGAGTCAACAGACCCGCCTGCGCCACCAACACAGCCCGCGCAAGAAGCTACTGCAGCCGCCGAGAGCGGACTCGGCGACGGCACCGGCGACAACATGTTCAATGACGATCCATTTGACGGCTTGACAAACATTGACAACGGCGACACCTTGATCGATTTCGATGGCGGCGGCATGGGCATGGATGACAGTGCCTTTGGTGACGCACTGCACGGTATGGACGATGGTCAAGAAGGCGAGGGCGCGGGCGGCTCATAGTAGAGGCGCTCGCAGCATTCGAGACACAGACTTGAATAGAGAGACCTTGCGCGGGCCTGAAGGATATGCAAAAAAGTGTATCAGTATTGCCATCTGATATCTTCCCGGTCTGATCTCCTTCTCAACGCGCATGGAGCTTGGCTTTTTTTTGGAATGTGCTACTCACTCACTCACTAGTAACAGGGTGGGTCATCGCTAGATGAAATGACAACCTGCTATACCATTCTGTCGACCACTGCGGCCTTTGCAGTACGTTTTACGACACCTGCACCCTCGGCGGTGAGTGGACGCCACAAAACCGGGACACCCCAGGCTTCGCAAGACTGGTGAAAGCAAAGCTGGAAGACGAAGGGGGAGGGAACAAGTAGTAGGTACCTACCTTTTTGAACAAAATTGAACTTCTTGCCCAACTCCTCTAGAGGCTCTCATGCCTTACCTACCCCTCTCTCAACATGCTACCCATTTCGCGGTTGGGAGACTGCTATCCTCACCACCACCACCTTTCCACCGGCCGGGAATAGCAACTGCGCGACGGCGGGAGGGGTCGGCGCAGTCGGGTCGGTAGCGGAGTAGATCACGCCTGGTGACATTCTGGCCGCTCTGTGTCGAAAACGCAACGGGGGATAAAACGAATTGCCCATCGTCTCAGTAGAAAGAGACCTCGAGACGTCGAGCTCGACTTTTCCGGACGGGCTAAGGGGGAGGGAGATGCATCATGCCATGCCGTGGGTGGGTGGGTCGGGATCGTGAATGCTGTTCCTCGGAGCCTTTGGAGCGGGTTTGAGGGAAGGGGTGATATATGGGTTGTTGTTGTTCTTTCAAAAGGTCGGGCAGGGGATGTGGTGTGGAGGTGCCTGAGCTCAGCATGCTCGCTTCTGTTTGAGGCGATGCGGTCGGTGTCTGGAAAGTGAAAGGAAAGGGAAGGGAGAGTCTCGATTTGAAGAATCTCGTTGACTGACTGAGTGAGTGAGACTTTTGTTGGGGATTGGGAGTAGTAGGTAGCTTTTGTTCTGAGACTTTTCTGATCTCACTTATAGAAGAGAGCTACCAGATAGACGGACTAGGACAAAGAGCTCTAGATCTCTCTGATGTAGCGATCTCGAGACATTACGATCTCTGCGACTCGCTGCAAGGTACATATATATATATATATATATATATATATACACATACACCCAATACGACGTCCAACTCAACTGTCCAATTCCCAGAACACCATCTTCTCAGGTTATCAGACCATGCCTCCTGCAACGAAACCCCAACAACGTCCCGTCGAGGAAAACGGCCATCTGGCCGAACAGCCCAACAGTAACAACCGCGAAGAAGAAATCCCACTCCGACTCCACGCAGCAACAACCCTCCTGCTGTCCCTACCTCCTCTTGAGATCAGTCAGCTGCTGGTCCTCCTCCCCCACCCATCATCATCGCCTTCTACCTCCTCCTCCTCCTCCTGTTCACGGCAACATATTCATTCCCATTCGCTGCCGACCTGATACCGAGTTTGTGTCTTGTTTACAGGGATCGATCTCGTGTTCAAAATCACAGGTAGGTAGGATTGATTCATTCATTCATTCTGATCCCAAGGGGGAGGGGGAGGAGGAGAAGAGAGATTTCTGGGACTGATGAGATGATTTTCTAGGGTTTTACTCGTTGGTAGAGGGGAGTATTGGGTATGATGAGCAAGGAAGAAGAAGAAGAGGAGGAGGATGGTGGTGGAAATTCTCATCTACAGGCTGTCCACGCTGTTGAGATGGATGGAAGGAGAACGGATTGCTTCTACATAGTGGCTTGAAGGTCGTTTCGAGACTTTTCATGTAGTTCAAAATCCATCCGGTGGAGAAGAGAGATACATTGGAAGCGAGGATTTCTCAAACCTTTTGATTCCCCAGCTCCTGAACTCCAAGATCCAAAAAAAAAAAAAAAAAGTCGTGAAAAGCTTGTTGAACTCAAACGCTATACCGCATCACTCTTGCCATTATGATCTGAAAGAACAGGTACGAATCTCGGTGAGCCATCCAATTCCGCTTCTGTAGCGCTCCCCGGCAGCTCGTGGTAGACTTGCTCCCCGTTTCCGCTCACGTGAAGACTTGGGAGCGCAGTGGAGCACGACGAAGTCGACGGGTAGAATTCTGTTCATCGTTATTAGCATTGGCCTTGATTTCGGGAGGAAGCGGGTACTCACTCGGAGCAGCAGCACCACCACCGCCGCCATTCGTCTCCCTCTCCTTGTATGCGGTCGTGTCTTGTGGCGAAGGAGCCACGGATGGACACCTCCATCGTCTCCAGTAGAAAATCCCAAACACCAGAGCTGCAAGCACAGCACAGCCACCTACAATTCCCCCCGAGATTGCAGCCGCGAGGGAGGAATGATCAGTCGTCTGCGGCGTGATGCCATAGGAGATCAAAGGCGTAGTCGTTGTCGCTGCCGCCGTCGTCGAACTGAACCCACTCGCGGCGGGCATATACATGGTCGTCAACCGACTACTACTACTCTCATCACCACCACCACCACCACCACCACCACCCATCTGCGCCATCCACGTCCAATTCAACCCCAAAAACACCTCCGCCGCGCCCTCCTGCTCAGAAAGACGAGCGCCACCCAAATATCACCGATCACACCCCTGATTCGCATTCCCATCACAGGCATCCCGCTTACAACAGCCCCAAAAACTCGGCTGCGTCTTCGCACAGGTGTAAAACTTCCCAGCTGTACATGCCTGGTCCGGGAGAGAACCGTACAGAGCCGCTTCGAAAGATGTGAATTTCAGGTCTCCGGCGGGACAGCCTGTCGTCGGGGATGCACAGGGCTTGGCGAGGCAGCAGCCTACGAATCGAGAGCCGGCGCCGCAGGCGTAGAAGGTGCCGCCGAAGGGACAGGTCATTCTGGGGGGCGGGGCTTTCGCCATGGTGGTGGATGAAGTGGACTGGTTGCTGCTGCTGGTGAGGTTGTGGAGAGCCATGGAGATATGGGATATGCGTCTTTTTATTGAAGTTGGTTGAGATGTTGTGAAGGCTCAGTCTTTCCGTCTGGGCGACCGCAATGACTTTGTGGATATGCGCTTCTGCACTTGCTCGGCTCGCAATCTGAGCGTCGTCGAAGGCTGTTGACTGAAGACCGATCCAGTCTCGCGGTATGGGGACTATTCGCCAGGTTGCAATCAGACCATGGGCTTCGTGGCGTCCAGCTGGAGTGTCGATCTTGTTGTCAACTGTTGTCGCGTTGCACCAACGCTGTGCAGACAAGGTACTTCGCACGATCACGAGGGGGAGGTTCTGTTCTGTCGTCGATGGTCAGAAAGAGCGACCTGGAAAGTGAGCCGAATAGACAGGGTGAACGTGAAAAAGAATGGAGGGATCAAACGTGAGCACACTTTGTTAACGTTCAGTGATCCGCGCAAAACGCATGTGACGAAGGAGAAAACCGAGTCAGGGGGTTCTTTTGAACTTCTGCTCAGTTGCATTCGGCATATATCGTCTCGATAGTAGGAAAAGCAACATCAGCCCGTACCAAAAAGACGCCTGTGATGCCCACTTTCTTCAGACGACTTGTCTCCCAGTCATCATCTGCCCATGCCTCACGTAACCAAACACAAACGCTCCTCCTTTATGCCTCGGTCTCGAAGGCTTCTGGGAAGCGGCGCACGTTGTACTCGATCGGGCCGTGCTTGCTGAGGAACTGGACGTAGGCACCGTCGACACGGACGGCGCCGGCCTTGCGCTTCTCGATGTACTCGTCGCGGTTGAGAGGAGTGAAGCCCCACTTCTTGGAGACGATGATCTTTTGGCGACCTGGGAACTTGTACTGCGAGCGACGGAGGGCCTCGATGGCGGTAGCGCGGTCTGTCAAAGCATGTTAGGGTCAGGGACAGATCGAGGCTGCTTTCTCGCGGATACTTACGGGAGTCACGCGTCCGGATGGAGAGGAGAATCTGGCCGATGTTGACACGGGCAACAGTGCCGTTTGGCTTTCCGAAAGCACCACGCATTCCGGTCTGCAGTCTATCGGCACCAGCGCACGACAACATCTTGTTGATGCGGACGACGTGGTATGGGTGGGCGCGGACACGCATGTGGAAACCTTCCTTTCCGGCGGTCTTGACCATGTACCTGGTTCCAGATGTCAGCTCCTCTGTCCTAATATGCGATCCTTCTTCCTCCTCTTCGTGACATACTTGTTGGCGCAAATACGGGCGGCCTCGAGGGCCTCGGAGCTCAGCTGCTCATACTCGTTGGAGACGAGGTGGACGCAGGTAGGAAACTCGTCGACGTTGGCACGCTTACGTCCAAGATCGAAGATTCTGATCTAGGGTGGATGTCAGCGTCTGCTGCGTGTATGGCAAACGGGCTGCCGCCTCTGCGATGGAGCGTACCTTTGGGTCTGGCACACCACGGTTGAAGCGCGACTTGGGGTACGGCTTGTTCTTGCAGTAGCGGTAGCAACGAGCTGGACGACGGGCCATTGCTGCGGTGTTAGTATGGGATATCGGGGTGGTGTCGAGAAGAGAGTTGGTGACCTCACGTCTGAAAGGAAGATCGAGCGTCGCCGCCGCCAAGAGTTTTGGTGGATTAGAAATTCAATTTTGCCTCAGGCAGCAACGGGCTCGCTTACGCGACCAATCACGTGCCGTGAAGATTTCAAAGCACAGAGAGAAGAAAGGAGCGTGGGAGGTGCAGTAACAGCTCTGTGATATTCGGACTACGATTAAATTCGCTATGACTCTACTGATGACTCTACTGAATCTTAACGTGGCCATGGTTCTAGAATCGAGGCTTGCCCGGAGCGAATCTTCACAGTGTCATGAAGCCCCAAGTCGAGGAACAGTCACTGTGAAAACGAATTGCTTAGAGAACCGCTTCAGCCCATAGGGATTAGTCACAGCAATACGGGTGAGAGAACGGACTTGAGCTGGCTGGAAGTGGCATTTGATCGCTCTGCGGGCTATCTATGATACCGACGAGCACCGGCCGACCTCAAGTCTTGGTGGCTCGCTCGAACCGACGGCGTGCCGTAGATGGCTAGACACTGCGGAAAGCATACAATGTGGCTCCATTTCTTCCCATGAGCGCCAGGCTGTGCGATTGATCATCTCTTGCTTCCTCCCTCCCATGACCCGCTTAGGCTGGGGTGGTGCTGAGGATGTCAGAGTCACCAGCGTCGAGAATGGCCATGGTGGAGCAACGGAAGAGCTTTCCGCAGGCAGTGCCGAGTTCGATCTGTGTGAGATGGGACGTCAGTATGTAATTCCCTCCGAAGCTACCCTCGCGGGAAGCTTCTTCTCTGGGCTCGAGAGAGCAGCACCCTCCAGAGCCTTGAGGCTCCTTCGCTAGGCGCTTGTACGGTATCAAGGGGGGAGTCTTACGTTGTTGCCGGAGAAGTGGTGGACAGCGGTCTTGGCCAACATGCTGTAGTCTGCAATTTCAATCAGTCTCTGCGCTCATCCCTCTCTTTCGCGATCGACGGAACGTACACTCGAGCTCAGACTTCCTCAGAGGAGGAGTGTTGCCGGCGATGATGACGAGCTTCGCCTTGCCAGAGCGCAGCGTCTTGAGGGTGGACTTGTAGCCAAGAGTGACCTTGCCAGACTGTCGCGATTGTCAGATCGATGTTCTCATTGCGCTCGCTCTCCGAACATTGCGCACCTTGATAGTCAGGGCAAGCTTGGCGTTGATGCTGTCCGAGGTCTTGCTGCTCTTCTTTGGTGCCATGGCGATGGTGTTGTCTCCGGCTATTGACCTTCTCTGACTGTCGAGCAGGAGGAAGCCATGAACTTCGCGAAGTTTTGGGATGCGGGCCATCGTGGGGCGCTTGGACCATGCTTGCCAAGAGACTAGAAACGGCTCCTGCCGCAGGACTAGCAAGTCCACGGTCAGCATCTTCCTCTCACCACCCTTGGAGATATCATTAAAGATCGGATCGCAGCGTCTTCGCGAAGCAGACATGACCTGCTCAGATGCTGTATACACCGGAACATTGGGTTATCGCGAATGCACGCCATATTGCGACAGACAACGAGATATGAGAGGTCAGCAAGCAGAGTCCATACGTCGTCCAAGAATTCTTTTTCCTCTGTGATAGTACACTGAACCACTAATACCAAATCTACGGGAACCTTCACTGGCCACCTCCATACTCCATCGGCTGTCCTCGGCTGCCTCCATACTGCATCGGCTGTCCTCGGCTGCCTCCATACTCCATCGGCTGTCCGCACGCTCCAGAATTGCAATTGGAGGATCCAGGAATAATGCCTTCTTTCCCAACGCTCACCTTGAAGCCCGGCTGGCATTCAGGGTTGCCGATCTGATGCAGATCAACAGCAGCATTGCCCTCCTCGTAAGCCTTATAGATCTTCTTGATCTGATTGTCGACGAAGTAAATCGCGATGATCCGGACGGGCAGTTCTTTTTCGATCTCGAGATACCAAGTGATGGAATCGCATGTATACGAACTGAAGAGCGTCTTGATGTCTGCGACAGGCGACCCGTGGTGCTCATTCAGGAGGGCTTCCCGACCTTGAGTCGTGGTGGTATTGAGCTGCGACGACGGTCAGTATGACATGGTCTGGAGCTCAGAGGACTACATGCTTTCTTACAGGATTCTGGTGAACGTAATTGACGCTGTCCGAGGTACAGGTGAAGTCCTCCGTTACGATTTGGGCAGCTTCTTCTTCGCTGCTGCGCTTGAGCAGGATATTCTTGAAGCCATCGAGCAGGCGATTGACCTCGTCTCCAGTCAGACAAGTGGCTTCGCATGGTGGCGCATAAGGTCTCCGATCGGATTGGGCCAAGGCAGTAAAGGCTAGGAAGCCGAGACAGAAGATGGCGGGGAACATTCTGATGCAGTGGGCAAGAGGCTATCCGAACCCGTGGATTTTGAAGGAGAACTAGAAGAAGAAGGAAGCGGTACGAATATCCAACCACTTGCTCCACGTCTGGTGCGGACCTTACATACACTCTGAAGGTGCCGCATGATCCGGGATTCCGAACGTGAAACGACTCTCGAAGAACCTCATGACCTCCAAAGCTGGCAAGAATGCCTATACGGCACCTCGCATATGATCCATCTGCTTCACAAATTGGGGAAGAAAGTCGGGAAATCTGACTCAGTAGCCCCGCGGTTGGCATGTTGCGCGACAGCTCGAGGAAGTTGGCCAAACACCTTCCTTGCCAGTGCTGACGGAGAAATCCGACTTGCACTCTGGGTTGCCCTGGTTTGTCAAAACTGCGCCGACATTCACCTCACGGTACGCCTTCCAGATCTTCTTGGTAGCAAGGTCCACAAACAGAATCGCAATGCCTCGGGTTGCCAAGGGTATCGTACCGAACTCGAAATACCATGTGACTACATCACAGGTATTCGCAATGAAGAGATCGGTCACGGTTGCTACGGCTGGAAGTTTCTTCTCTTGCTCCAGGAGCTCGGCTCGAGTACGGGTCATCGTGGTATTCAGCTGTCAAAGCTCCATCAGCGTATGACTCCACGCCTCGAGCCTCACAAAACATCCGCTCAACATACCGGAAGTCCATCGACGAAATTGACACTATCGGATATACTGGTGAAGTTGTCCGCTATGATCTCCGCCGCGAGACTTCCATTTACCGGATTCTGCGAGATGATGGCTTTGAATCCTTGGACCAGCCGCGTGACATCTGCATCTAGAAGACAAGATCCGCGGCTTACAGATTCCTCCTCCGTTGCCAGTGTAATACCCAAGAGGCATGGGAGAAGCGCAGACCAGAGCCTCATCGTCGAATGCATTCGAAGATACCCGACCGTATTGCTGGGGGGGAAAAAGGGACAGACCAGGACTGCTCGTATACGTCGTACTCATCGTGATGAACGTCGGGGCTTATATACAGGGCCTGTCCGCTCCCCCAAGCCTCTGCCTGGCTGCATGACTTGTTCCCTCAAAGTCAGCTTCTTCTTACTCGCGTTGTGCCAAGATTGCATCCTACGCAACCTCACGACCCACGACTCTCCCGCACGAGGGCGTAACACCGCAGGCGGGGGGGCCTATCTCCTAAGAAATGCCAGCGAACTTCTAAAAAGATTCCTGAGGCATAAATTTCCGGCAGGCTCCGGCACATTCGACCTATTCGGGAGAGATATAGCCCAAGGAACGGAGGACACTCGCTGAGACAAACAGGAACAGGGTTTTCTTCCATTCTTCTCAAACGAAAAGTAAAAGCTTCACCTTTGATGAACACCTATCATATCCATACACGGCAAAGTTTCTATCCACTTATCCATTCATGCATTCATTCATTCCTGCTGTCGCTCCCACTCGCGCGGGGGGCAAGTTACTCAGAATTCTGCTTGTTCGATTCTCCTCTGTTGGATCATCCGCGCCTCTCATCTGCTGCTCCGCCTAGGCAAGCTTTAGAAATTGTCACGAACATCTTAGCAGGTTACCCGCCGCCCAGAAAGCGCTTACGAGATTCATACCTTGAACGCCAGCCCCAAGGCGATGTCAGTGGCATCTCTACGCGTATACAGTCCCCCTAAATTTCAGAGAGGCCTAGAGGCATCTGAACAGGAAGAGAAAGCGGGAGAAGGTGAGAAAGTGGAAGGGACAAATAAGAATCAGCAGGGCGAAGCACCGTTACTCACCTTGTTGCCGGGCACTATTGCGAGCTAAAGCATTGATGACAGCAACACGCAAGTAAAGCTGCGTGGAGTCGGACGAGACTTGACGGAAATCGCTGAAAAGGCATCAAGTTTTGTACAAAGCCATCCTCAACAATGTGGAGACGGTAGTGAGTCCCCACCCGAATCAATCTGCGGCGACCCTCTGTAAGTTGGGCCCCGGTCGCCCAAACGGGATGTTTGATGGTGGCTCTGCTCTTCGAGCTTTCCTGGAGGTGATAGCGGACTTCATGGACCTTGCGCTACTCTTCGGACTAGCGGCGAGCGACGTACTACTGATGCGGCGGCTGTCCCTGAAGTTGCGCCAAGATAGAGCCGATGTCGATATTACTCGGCGCCTGCTGCGCTCCAGAACCAGCTTGCGGTTGCGCGGGCTGCTGGTGCTGGTACTGCCCATTCCATCCGGTATAGGCTTGCTGTTGTTGTTGCTGTGCCTGCGAGTGGAAGAACGCCGGGTTGACATATGCGCCAGCCGGCACCGATCCTGCAGGAGCCTGCTGGTTGTACTGCTGCCCATAGTAACCATATTGTTGCGCAGCAATTGCAGCTTGATTTCCGTAAGAAAGCTGGTTGCTACCGGTCTGGTAAGTCTGTGGCGGCGGTTGATAGAGTCCCTGTGTCGATGCCGGTTGGTGCGCGTTTGGAGGATTGGGTTGGTTTTGTGGCGCTCCTTGCGCACCAGAACCACTTTGACGGTCGGAGAGCCCGTGAGCATTTCCTCTGTGACCACGTCCTTGCTGGTGCTGGTGACCAGACTCAAAGCCGCCTCTTCCACCGCGTTGGTGGCGCTGCTCGAAGCCGCCACGACCCCGGCCACGATCTCCTCTACCGCGATCGCCGCGTCCACGTCCTCTGTCGCCACGGCCTCTTCCACGTCCGCGATCGGCGAAAGGAGGTTGCTCTCGTGGTGGAGGAGCTGACCCAGCCATGAGTTGGCTGAGATTTTCAGGTCGCTTCAATGGCTGATAGAAGTCGTCAGACCCATTATCATCGTAGCTCAAGCCTCCACCATATGTCTGTGCAGGTGCGTCGCTGTTTCCTCCAAAACCAGGTCTCGCTACGATGCGCTCGCCACTCTCAAATGCACTCCGTGACAGACCGCCGCGTCCTTCTTTCTTCGCGAGCTTCTTCTGCCTCTTGAATTCCGCTTCTTTCTCGTCGTCCGAGAATTCGAGTTCGTCTTCTCCGACCTCTTCGTCGTGAATGTTGGATGCGTCTGTGCCTTTCAAGTTCCGCAGCGGCTGGGTGAAGACGAAAGTGCTGTGGTCGTTGACGTAGAAGATTTTGGAACCAATCTCCAGCCCATAGTCCCGTACCTCTTCCGCGTTTGTAAAGGCCATGCTGTACATTGGCTCTTGCACTCGGCCGAAAGTATCTGCCACAGCGCCGAGGACTTTTCTGTCTTCATTGCAGAGAACAGAGCCTCCCTCTAGGACTTGGTACTCGCCCGGAGTTGCACCCTTGATAAGTACCATTTTCTCCACGATATTCTCTACCGTACCCAAGAACGTGATTGGCATCTCAGGAGTGATGGTGATGTCAGGCTTGGGGACTATCTCTTCCTTGACCTCGTTCTGAGTTCGTGGCTGTCGGTCAACGTTGGCTCCCGCGCCTTCACCTTCCTCATTCTTTTCCTCGGCCATGAGAATCTTGGCTGCAGTCGCAGGGTCGAGCATTTCATAGTCGCCCTCGCTGCCGCTGTCTGAATCGTCCGATGAATCGTCAGGGTCGGTTGTGTCGGAATCTGAAGAATCCTCGTCGGAGGTATCGAACTGCCATTCTGCATTTTCGTTGCTCTTCTGTGCTGCAGCTGCTTGCATAAACTCTGCGTCCTCGGTGGCTTTGAGCCGACTCTGCGCAGGCTCGACATCAGCCATGAGCTGATCTAGGCCGCCATTCTGTGCATTTGTCGCGCTCTTTTCCGCCTCCGATCGCTCTTCCGTCTTGGCAGCCTTCCCTAACGCAGGCACCGTGGGTTGGACCTCCGCCTCGGTCGTCTCCTCCATCACATCGATGGAAGCCTTGTCATTATTCTCGAGTGGTGGTTGAGGAGGCGGCCCAACCAGATCATCACCTTCAGAGATAGCCTCTGGCGGTACGCCGTCCGGCACCTCGCTCTGCTTGCCATTTTCCGGCCTGTCTTCCGTCACTCCGAATTGATGCTCGTGCGGTGCGGAGGGCAATGTGCTGGTTGGGTCGGCGTCGGAGACTGGAGCTACGCCGCCGTCTGTGTTCGCGCTGGTATCGCCGTATACATCGTCCCAGTCATCATCGTCGTCCATGACTTCTTGTTGTAAATCTTGGGTGACGGTGAGAGGAGCGTCGAGTCGCGCGCGCTTTGGTGGGCGCGCCTCGTCTGGGTTCTGCAGGTCGACAGTCGCGTTTGGATGCTCACTCATAGCTACAGGTCGCTATACATTCAGATTAGCAGTATACCGTCCATAGAGTATCCACGGGACGTCGAGCGCTGTGTATGTAACGCGCGCGAAATTTTGAAGGTGGAAGCTTCAAGTGGTGACGTGCAGGCGGAGCTCGGTCCTCAGCTGCCGAGCCGAGATCCTCCCTCCTGACTTTCACTCTCCATCCCGTCTTGCACCTCAATTTAACACGTGAAATATCATGCCTCCAACAAAGCTCAAAGATGCCCGAGATGCTACTCGCCCGCGGAGAGCGTCGAGATCGCCTCATCGGCCGACCAAATTGCCGACGGGCGCTCCGTGAGCATGCCATGGACAGCCGTATCCGCTTCCATATCCGACTGACTCGCAATCGCAGATCCAGACAACAACAACAACACCAACAGTTCAGCGTGCAGCCAACAATCGCGTTCGCCGTCTTCCTCGCAAGCCACGTGATTGCCGCACTGTATAGCCCTCTCCAGGACTGCGATGAGGTCTTCAATTACTGGGAGCCGACGCACTACCTCAACCACGGCCACGCCTTTCAGACTTGGGAATACTCTCCGGAATACGCCATTCGATCATGGACTTATGCGGGACTCCATGCCCTGGTCACGCCGTTTGCCCGATTCTTACCCTTGACCTTGGCCTCCAAGGTCGCCGAGTTCTATTTCCTCCGTCTTGCACTCGGCTTCGTTTGCGCTCTGTGCGAGACCCGACTGTTCTCCAAGCTCACGGCGGTCTTGAATCCCCGGATCGCGCTGCTGTATCTTCTGATCACCGTGACTTCTCCCGGCTCCTATCACGCTAGCGTTGCCTACCTTCCCAGTAGCTTCGCCATGTACTTCGTCATGCTGGGCTCGGCCGCTTTTATGGATTGGCGCGGTGGCCTCCGGACAGCTCAGGGAATCTGGTGCTTTGGCATTGGTGCGTGCATTGGCTGGCCTTTCGCAGCAGCAATGACGATTCCATTCTTGCTCGAGGAGCTTCTCATGGCCTCCGTGAGCGACCTGCAAGCCTTGACGAACCTGTTCTGGCGCGTTGTCGATGGTGTCGTTCGCACCGCGCTCGTGCTTGGCCTTCAGGTTGCCCTAGACTACTTCTTCTTCTACAAGAAGTTTTCCATTGTACCGCTGAACATCGTCCTGTACAACGTCTTCAGCACCAAGGGACCCGATCTCTACGGCACCGAGCCATGGCACTTTTACCTCCGAAACCTCTTCCTCAACTTTCACGTCTGGCTTCTGCTGGCACTGGCCTCTTTACCACTGCTTCTCGTCCAACACTTCCTGCGAGCCAAGGGAGCCACCCGATCGAGCTATCTGCGAGGCATCATCTTTCTCACGCCCTTCTACCTTTGGCTGACCATCTTCACTCTTCAGCCACACAAGGAGGAGAGATTCATGTACCCGGCGTATCCAATGCTGGCATTGAATGCAGCTGTCGCCATGCACATTGTGCTGGCCAACTTGGGCTCTACCGACGCCAGAGACCTCGTCAGCAAAATTCCAGTACAGCTGCGCTTGACCGCTATTCTGGCATTCGTCGTGCTTGCAATGACGATCTCTGCTTTTCGCACGATCGGCACCATCACCGCTTACGGAGCGCCACTCTCCATCTACGCACCGCTGCATCGGACCGGAGTTGCGAAGCCCGGCGACGCAGTGTGTCTGGGCAAAGAATGGTACCGCTTTCCGTCGCACTACCTGCTTCCGGAGGGCGTGCGTGCGAAGTTCATCAAGAGCGAGTTCAAGGGCCTACTACCTGGAGAGTTCTCAGAAGCCAAGCAAGGCTTTGGTCTGTATCCAGGCACCTGGCTTGTGCCGCCGGGCATGAACGACGAGAACCGAGAAGATCCCAGCAAGTATACTGACGTGAAGTATTGCGATTTCATTGTCGATTCGAATCTACCGAGCACTGCAACAACGGATCTTGAACCCAGCTTTATCGCCGACGAGCAGCATTGGGAGAAGGTCAAATGCTTGCCGTACCTTGATGCGTCTTCGACTGGAGCACTCGGTCGTCTGGGCTGGATCCCGGATCTGCCATTTGTTCCACCTCGATTCAAACGAGTGTGGGGCGATTACTGTCTGCTGAAGCGTCGCACAAAGCAGACTGCGCAAGAGGCGAAGAAGCCGCTGCCGAACATAGAGACATTGTTGTAATGCATAATAATTCACTGCGTCTTGACGAGACCTTGCAAAAAACGTTTCAGAACCGGAATGGCGTCGATATATGGTGCTCGCCCAGCTTGGGTAAAAGAGAGAGGTCCACTAACAGCTACCTACGAAGAGGGGGTTGGCCTATCTGCTTATCGCCTTACACGTGCTACAGTGGCTGTTGTACCTCATCGCCTCAGAACCTCTGATGGCTCACGAGGACGAGACAGGATCTGACATTACCTTTCAAGACCAGATCTCGTCATGGAAGCTGCCAGTGCTTGGATCAGAGACACCTGCGATATGCAGAAATTGCAGCGCATAGGAGATGTAATCCGGGCAATTGATCTGTCTGCAAATCCACTGTCCAAATACGCTGTTCTGGCCTTGATATTGGCGCTGGGATACCTCCTCATCACCAGACTCTCTGGCAAACAATCTTCATCAAGTCAATCCTACTCTTCAGACCCCGAAAAGCGATCGGAGCGGCTCAAGCCATCTGAACGGAAACCAGGAAGTAAGCGACCTCTCTCTCAGTCTTGTCCCTCCACGTAACTAACCATAAAATCAAGCATGGCCGCCCTCCACCTTCCAACGCCCGCCCGCCTCTCCATACCCCAACTGGTCCGTAACCGACACCAAACCATTGCCCTACCGTCCCTTCCGCTACGGACCCTACCACATCACCATGGGCATCCGCCCCATGCCCTGGGACGAATGGATCGAACTCGACAACCACTACCGCCGCTTCCACGCGGACAAGAAAGCCCGCATCGCCTCCCGGGGCAGCAAATGCAGCCGCACCGCACCCGAGGCCCTCCCCGCCGCCCTCGAACTCCTCCAAGACCTCGCCGCCTACCTCCCCGAACGCTACCCGTCCATGTTCACCCGAACCCCCGACGGCGGCGGCATCCGCAACACCGTCACCAACGAGGAAATCTCCGTGCGGGAGTTAACATATACCGACCTCTCCCTCCCCTCCTCCTCCTCACCCGCAAACCGGTGGCAAGAGAAGAAGACCCCATCCAGCTCGCCGCCCGCCTCATCCAAGACGACCTCGCCCTCCTGCTCGAATCCCCCCCACCCGACGGCCAACCCCGCCTCCTGGCCGGCAGCATCCTGCTCGCGGGCTTCTGGCGCCTGTCCGACAAATTCGGCCTGCCCCTCTCCGAAATCCACACCTCGGGCGCCGTCCCGCAATTCACTCAAAAACTAGAAAAGGGCATGCTGAAGTTCTTCCGTCGTTTGAAACCCGAGAAGCCCGTCGTGCGGAACAATTACTTTTTCCAGGTGGATTCCAAGCTCGCTTGGAGCGAGAGTCTCGGGGATGAGGATGCCGCGGAAATCACGGGTTGGAAAGCTGCCGAGGGAGATAGGAGGAGGGCGGTTGAGGCGCATTTCTTCCGTTCGGAACGCCAGTCCTTGAGAAGGCTGCCGCGGACGGGCGCGGTGGTGTTTACGATTCGGACGTACTTCCATCCGATCTCGGAATTGGCGGAGGAGTGGGGCGTGCCCGGGAGACTGGCGAGTGCGGTGCGGAGCTGGGGGGAGGACGTCGGTAGGTATAAGGGCCGGGAGAGGTATGAGGGGGTGCTGTTGGAGTTTCTGGATCGGAAGCATGCGGAGCAGGTGCGGCGGGGGTTGGATGCGGAGAAGGAGGAGGAAGAGGGGAGGAGGTATCCGTGGTAATTGGAAGTTTTGGTGTTGTTGTTATTTTGGACATTTACGTGTTAGAGTGCTGTGGGGGGGTATCTCTTTTTTCGGATCGTCGTCAACTAGTATATATAGATCAGCAGGAGCAGAATGGACCAGCTTTTAGCTTGCTGTACACCATCATCATCATCATCAATCATTTCAACCCCTCAGGTCGTCTTCTCCGAATCAGCAGCAGCCCTCCTCACCCTCGCCTTCCGCCCAGCCTCCCGATCCTTCTCAATCCGCCATTCACACTTCTCCGCAAACTCACACATCTTACACTTATAGCTCTCTTCCACATCCACCCCCTTCGCTTGCCTCTCGCCCTTCCACCACCGCATCTCTTCCTGGACATAACCCTCCAACACCTCCGCGTCGTACGCGAAACTCTGCCTCCCGATCAGGACCCCGGTATCTGATTTTCGGAATTCCGCCGTGAGGAGCGGCGAGATGCTGGAGGAGATTGCGTTGACGGAGATGGTCTTGCTGAATTCGGAGATCATGAGGGCCCAGAGGGAGCTGCACGTCTGGTGTTGGAGGACTTCGTCGAGAGCGTCTTGTTCGGGTTGTGGGTTGGCGCAGAGGGGCTCGTCATTTTCGTCATCTTCTTCGTGTTGTGGGGGTTGAGTGCTCGCGGGCGTGTTGAGATCCGCGAGCTGTGCGATGAAGGAGTCGCTGAATCGTCCATGGGGATCGACGTTGTAGCGCTCAAAGACAGGTTCTGCGTCGACGTTGTTGGCGGCTAGATCGTTGAGCAGACGACGGTAGAGCATCAGCTGCATCCTCGTAGCTCGCATCTGCCCTTCCAGCTTCGGCATGGATTTGGATCCGCGGGTTTTGATATCCGTGAGGTAGATGTTGGCAGGTCGGCGGCTTCGCAATCGGCCGTGTTCGACGTCCAACGTCTTGCTCTGCGCATCTCCTCCAAAGAAATCCGACATCGTCGTTTGGTCCGCGGGGATAGCATCCTTCTTCTTCCTCTTCCCGCCCCTACCCAAATCTGCCGCCTCCAAGATCTTCTCCTCCAGCGCTTCGTCCGGACACGTGTACGAGATCTCATCGATAACCCCAACCATGACCTGCCCATCCACCAACCCAATGACCTCCAGCTCTCTCGTCAAACCCGTAGCTCGCAGCGTTCGCAGGCCTCCGATGATGTTCCACAACCTCAGACCAAGCCGATCCTCCTTGGTCGTGATTTCCACGGGTACCTCGACGTGCACTTCCCGCTCTTTCTCCTTGTGGATCTTCGATCCCGCCTTCATGGCCGGTGTCTTCTTGACCCGGCCATAGCGGGTGAGGGAATACCAGTACTGCAACTCGCACCACGCGGGCGAGACGATATCCGTCACGGAGAGTGGTTTCTTCGGCTTCGTGCGAAAGCGCTCCAACGGCGATCGGGTGTCGCTCGTGGTCATCGATTCCGGCTCCGCGGATCGTCGTGGTGGTGATGGCTGCTCGGGAACAGACGGTGGTCGTTCGCTCTTCTCCTTCTCAGGAGGAGGTCTTATCCCTACCAATCGCTTCTTATCAGCGCGTCAGCCTCCCCAAAAGCCCTCCAGCACATCCCCCACAGCAGAGCCTCACACAGTACATGTACTCACCTGAAAAGGAACCCCGGTTCCCCTCGTCGCATTCGACTTCCACCTGCTGCTGCTGCGTCCTCGCAGCTCTCCATCCGCCGTCCCTCTCCAATTCCCTCGAAGTATCGTCAAGCCCCGTGATGGCCCGGTCAATATTCTCCCGAATGCGTGCAAGCCGCAAGGAGCGAGTCGGCACGTGTTCGGCATCATCGCGAGGCAGGACGGGCTCTTCTAAGCTCGGCAGGACGGTGGGGGATTGGGAGAAGAGGTCGTCCCACGTGTCCGCATCCAGATCGGAGCCATAGTCGCTGGACTCTGCCGTTTCTAGCGTTGCGGACATGGCGACGTCATGATTCTTCGAGGGTGGTGGGAGTGGAGGGCGGGAACGGGAGAGTGGGAAAAGTCGACGATGTCATGTCGCTGTTCACATTAGAGACGCGTGCGGCGTCGCGTATCCTGGTGAACGCGAGGTCAGCTGCCCACTCAGAGCACGCGGGGAGGTCACGATATATATCTCGCCATATATACACCATATCATGGGATTCGAGGTGGAGTAACGATGAGTAGTGTTCTTTTACTTCTCTTGAATGCCATCTGCTCCAACGCTATCTACTTTCACAGCGAAGCCCGGCTCTCGAGACCAACATCAGGCTTCTTTCCCCCAGCGCTCTATACTTCTATGCACAATCTTCAATGTGTCGGGTGGTATTGCGATCTCCCACAGTGGGCAATATCACTCCCCAATCCACCATCGCCAAACGCCACGCTTCCCAAAATCAACCACCAAATCCGACACCACCACTACGCCTTCATCTTCCTCTGCTCCCTCACTCCAACCTCCCTCTCCTGATTCTTATCCTCATCCATCACCCCCTTCTCCGCCCTCCGATTCAACCAACTCAGATACGTCTGCCACCCAATCGCAATAAACCCCGCAAAAACACTCCGATTCTGCGGCCGGATAAAAGTAAAACTGAAAGCCGTCACAGCAGGCCAGAGTTTCCAACTATTCATCCAGGAAACCGGCACCGTCTTGATGACCCTCTCCTTGGCGTCGGGAAAACTCCCGCCCGCAAGGAGCGTCTGCATGCCGAAGAAGTACGTGTTGAAGAGCGGCGTGAAGAGCATTTGGGAGACGAGGATCTTCACACCGAGGGATTTCCAGTGTTGGGCGTAGTTGAAATGCCTGATCATCAACAACAAAAGTCAGCCTCTCCATTTCCGCTGCACAGCTTCGTTTTCCCGCGCTTTCCGGTATCAGGAACTCACCTCCCCAACCACAGGAACCACTTGAAGCTAGGAATACTCATGATGCCTCCAATCACCATGGCTCTCAACCCTCGAATCGGCTCATACCATCTCCCTTCTTCTTCTTCTCCTTCTCCTCCGCCTTGCTCCTGCTGCACAATCTGCGCCGCCAGATCGCCCAGGAAGTATATCACCAAGGTAGTCTCCCACTGTGTCAGGAGAGGACTCCGCTCTTGCATCCGTTCATAGCTGCGAAAGGGGATCTTGATCGGTTCGAGCCAGGCGGCGAAAGCCACCGGCTGCTGCTGCTGCTGCTGTACAGCCTTGGAATTGGCATTCGACGGTTTTGTAGATTCGTATCTTCGCCCATGTTGTTGTTGATCGAAGCGATGGCGTCGGAGAATGTTTCTCTGCACTGCTCGTTCGAGGTCGCGTATCGTTCGACTGCTTGCGCCGGTGAAGAGGGAGGTCATCGCGCTGGTCTGAGGAACATGGGATATGAATGATTAAGCAAAGGATATTGTGTACTGTGTGTCTTCGTGTTTGGCAGCATTGCGAACGCCGGATGGTGTTCTCGAATCAAGAAGTTCGTTCGGAGTTTGCATCTTGCTATCGGGCTCGGGTGCCGGCTGTTGTAAGTTGTCATCAGACGCGGCCGAGACCCTCGCAGATCCGACCTGCCCGGCGCATCTCAGCTCTGCCTTCTAGCATATCAGTCGAATGCGAAAGCACTTGCACTGCTTGCTGTATTACGACTACATAAGCTGGGTTGATGTTGTGCTCGCCTGAACACTCGACCGCTGGAATGAGATGCGCGCTGGAAGTCGCGCAAGAAACACAGCGAGGCAGTGCAAAGCCAGGAAAGGCAAATTGCGCCCGGCAGTCGAGGGAGTCAGGAAATGGAAAGGTGGAACGCAGTTGAAGTATGATCAGTGGCATTTGAAAATGCCATGCATCATTGTCATTATGATACATTTGCATGATGAGAGGCACCCAGCCGCCCGGCGCACCGTTGTGATATCTCGTAAACCCCATTCAACCCATCTTGATATCAGTTGAAAGCCCCAAACGCCATGACTGGTAAGTGTGATATAGAAAGCCCAAGGTCACCACTGCCCGTCACCAAAGCTACCCATGTCGTGGAGTGTGCCGAAGGAGGTCGAAGTGGTTACTGTTGTCCAGAGAGATGCTGAGAGAGAAAGAGAAGCGACGCTTACGAGCGCTCGCCACGGAGGCGGCGCGCAAGCTGGATGTCCTTGCTCTGGATGGTGACACGCTTGGCGTGGATGGCGCACAGGTTGGTGTCTTCGAAGAGGGAGACGAGGTAGGCCTCGACGGACTCCTGCAGGGCACCGATGGCAGAGCTCTGGAAGCGCAGGTCGGACTTGAAGTCCTGGGCGATTTCACGGACCAGGCGCTGGAAGGGGAGCTTGCGGATGAGGAGCTCGGTCGACTTCTGGTAGCGACGGATCTCACGGAGAGCGACGGTACCTGGGAGAATCTGTCAGTGACTGTGACTGTTGGAGTGGTGATGGGAGAGGTATCGGGTGCTTACCTGGCTTGTATCGGTGAGGCTTCTTGACACCACCGGTGGATGGTGCGGACTTGCGCGCTGCCTTGGAGGCGAGCTGCTTACGTGGGGCCTTGCCACCAGTGGACTTGCCTGTGAGAGGATGTTAGCATGTTGTCGTGAAGTGTCATGAGCTCGTGCAAGGCCGAAGAGGCGCGATGTCGTTGTTGTGGAAGGCGGTCGCGGTCAGGTGGCGTGAAGCCGAAGTGACGCGGCGGCGGCGGCGGCGACGACAACAAAACGCGAGCGGCGGCGGCGATGATGTCGAAGGCGACGGTGAGGTGGTGGTGGTGGTGACTTACGGGCTGTCTGCTTGGTACGAGCCATGGCAGATGGTGTTGATGGATGTGTTGATGGAAGAAGTGTTGTGTGCGGATGGGTGGTTGGAGATGATGATGTTTGTGTGTGTGTGTGGAAGAGAGAGTGTCAAAGAGAGCGGCAGATACAGGTGGCTTTGAGCGCGGATTGCAAGAGCGTGACTTACTCCAGATCACCACTCACCACTGAGCCTGAGTGCTGCGGAAGGCGAAACAGGCTTAGCGCTTGCCGTCGAGGTTGATTAAAACGTGCACGGGCCGCCAGGAAACAGCAGCAGCGGCAGCAGCAGCAGCAACGAAAGGCAGAAGCGGTGATCTGACAGGCGCGTTGTCCCAGCTCAAATAGCGCCCCTCCTCCGCTTACCTTGCTTGCACTTTCCACTCAACTCTCCACACAACACAACACTGCATCATCCACCAACGCGCATCAGCTCATCCCATCAATACATCCCACTCCATCAACTCAACACTTCTCCACCACATCCATCAAAATGACTGGTCGTATGTCTTCACCATCCCCCCCCCCGCCCCCCCCATCACACAAAATCCATCATACTGACTTCTTCCAGGCGGAAAGGGTGGCAAGGGCCTCGGAAAGGGCGGTGCCAAGCGTCACCGAAAGATCTTGCGCGACAACATCCAGGGTATCACCAAGCCCGCCATTCGTCGTCTCGCGCGTCGTGGTGGTGTCAAGCGTATCTCTGCCAGTAAGTTCTTCCTGACTCGATCCAGCTTCACCACCAACATGTCCTGACACGCGTCACAGTGATCTACGAAGAGACCCGTGGTGTCCTCAAGACCTTCCTCGAGGGCGTCATCCGCGATGCCGTCACCTACACCGAGCACGCCAAGCGCAAGACCGTCACCTCCCTCGATGTCGTCTACGCCCTCAAGCGACAAGGCCGTACCCTCTACGGTTTCGGTGGTTAAGCGCATCGCCTGCCTTCCGCCTCTCCCGACTTTTCCACAACAACTTTCTTGCATGGTTTTACGACACTCAGAGATATCCATCAGCACGGTGCAGCAGCTCAGAGATAGCTGGCGATGGATGGGCGTATGGATGGGAATGCAGGCCGCTCTCGGCACTGCTCTGCTTTTTTTGATGGTGTAACATAACGGCATCAGGCTCGATGGAGTTCACGGAGGCTAATCGAGCTGAATCAATGACAATTGCGATACCAACTTCACTGCTCTTCCCAAGACCCTTTCTTGCTCCAGCGCGCGTCCTGCGTGTGTGCTCTCCAGTCGTCTGTTTGTTCCCGTGACCTCGTCGACGCGTTCTCCGGGTAGGCGTGGTCCAGCACGCGGTGGTCCTTGCATTGTTTTGATGACTGATTGGTGGTGGAGGAGGGGATGACGATGGTTGGTTCGGGGACTCACAGGAGAGCGGAAGCAGGTGAAGTACGTACCGATTGAATTCCGCGCACAGACGCCGCAAGCCCGCCCAACTAGGACGAGTTCCTTCCTCAACATGTCGAGGAGCACCTTCTCTACGTGATATGCACCAACATTTCGTCGTGCTGGTGCCAGAGCGCGATAGATGACGATATGAGCGGGTTCGGGACGGATAAAATTTGAAGGGATCAGCCAAGACAACACGCTCAAAGCCACTCCGCAAGCTGCCCGACTCCTCCGCAACATCGAAACCCCGTCACGCAGGATATCTACATGCACGACTTGAGAACACTGAAGAGGACTCGCGGGAGAAGCAGAGGGTCGTAAGGAGGTCTCAGCAACATCATCCGGCTTATTGTTCAGGCAGTTCTACTTGCACATCCCTTACGCCGAGGTCGCCGTTCTCAGGCTCCTCAGCCTTCGGGTCCACTATGAGGTAAAGGTAGGGCGCTGTGAAGCATCTACTTCTTTCGTAGACATCTCTCGTACGGGGTCATCTCTAGCTTCCACAGCATACAAGACCAGCCAACGATACTGCTGACTTCAGCAGGCTTGGGAAACGCAACGATGGCACTGCAGAGTCCTCGGCCGAAGGCGCTCTTCTTCGATGTCTTTGGAACTTGCGTCGATTGGCGAACGACGGTAACGGATGCGCTTTGGAGCGCAGCGAGGGAAGCACTCAGCTCGCCGGCTGCTTCGCTGTCGAGTCGGATACGCATTAAAGCGTCAGACATGGTGAGAGTATACCGTATCACGGCTTCGACGTTGCCTCTGATACCCAGCAGACATACGAGCAATGGGGAGAAGTGGCTCAAGAATGGCGCAACACCTATCTCCAATTCACGCGAGCAATCGCGCGAGATCCCAGCATTCCATACAAGACCGTCGACCAGCACCATCTGGACGCTCTGCGCGACATACTGGCCCAGCGAGAACTCATCTTCCCCCGACAGGGCGACGTCCCGGATCCTCTGGTCCACGACGGGTCGCTCTGGGACGAGCAGCAGATCCTCACCCTCAGTCTGGTCTGGCACTACCTCGCCCCGTGGCCCGAGACCAACCGCGGTCTGGCCCTGCTCAACACGAAATTCGCCACCTGCACCCTCAGCAACGGCAACGTCGCCCTGCTCACGGACATGGTCGCGCACGGCCAGATGCCCTTCACGCACGTCTACTCGGCGGAAATGTTCCAGTCCTACAAGCCGAGTCCGAAGGTCTACCGGGGCGCGGCGGAGCGCATGGGCCTGCAGCCGGCGGAGTGCGTGATGGTGGCGGCGCACCTGGACGATCTGAAGCATGCGAAGCTGAACGGGCTGCGGACGGTCTACGTGGAGCGGCCGCGGGAGGAAAGGGTTCCCGAGTTGAAGGCTGAGGGCGTCGCGGACGTCTGGGTGGGGATGGATGAGGAGGGCTTCGTCACGGCTGCGCGGAGGTTGGGGATTGAGGTCGATTCATAAGATTTCTGCTGCCTGTAGGTGGCAATGAGGCTGTTTGTTCTTCCTTTCGTCCCTGTGGCGTGTGTGTCCTTTTTCGCTGGTCGTCGGCCATCCGAAGGGTTTAGTAGTGCTTTGCCGCGGTCATCATGGCCTTGCATGCCGTATCTGTTGACTAGTCGCTCGACGCTACAGTTCAATCCGTTTGGAGCTACGCCGTCTCGATTCTCGCACCAAGAAAGCCCCAATCTTTGGGACATTCTTATGTCCTCCATGTATTCCAATCCCGTAGGCCACGTAGCCTCAGTCAGCGTGCTTTTTGACAGCCCCTAAGTGATTTTCACATTTCTGGCCTGCCCTTCGCAATCAGGAGATGTAGATAGATAGTCAGACGTATCCTTTCATTTCAAATTCGATCCGATCCGAAAAGCTCTCTCTCTCTCTCTCTCTCTCTCTCTCTCTCTCTCTCTCTCTCTCTCTCTCTCTCTCTCTCTCTCTCTCTCTCTCTCTCTCTCTCTCTCTCTCTCTCTCTCTCTCTCTCTCTCTCTCTCTCTCTCTCTCTCTCTCTCTCTCTCTCTCTCTTGCTCTCTCTCTAGTTCCTCTCCCATCTCTACGATATGATAATCAAACCCACGAAAGAATTCCAGCCGATAGTATAGTTGTAATATCCAATCACCTCTCAATCCCGGAAACAAACCGCCCGAGACTCAACACGGGTTAGATAACGAAGTATAAAGAGATGGAATATACTATAGAGATGGAAGAAGAAGAAGAAGGAAGGATTATATGTTCATCAGAGAGATACGTCGTCGTCGTTGTCGTCGTCGTCGTCGTCGTCGTCGTAGCAGATGATAGGTGATGGTCCCAGGAGTTTATGCTACCCCAAGAAACCCTAAGCAATCGGAACAACCCTAAGGTAAAGGTAAAAGGGTCTGGGAAATAAGGTAGAGGGGAGGAGCGGAGGACGGCGGAGTCAAAGTCCGACCATACCCACCCGCGACGCACATACACACACCCGCGAAGGCGTGTGGACAGGGTTTTTTTCCTATAAGCAATAGCAGAAAGTAGGTACTGAGGTAAGCTCCCCAAACTCGTCTCCCTTCGTCTCTTCTCGAGACATTTAACAACCAAAACACCAGGTAAGGGCTAGAACAGCGAGTTTTAGACAGCGCAACCCATTCAGCGATAGCAGCCTACCTACCTTACCTTACCTACCTACCTGGGACCGAGAGATAGATAGATAGCAAGGGACCTCCGTTACACGTATGTATGTGCAAAGACGCCGTGGGCGTAAAGGAAGAATGTATCTGGCTGGACCATGCAATGCAATGCATCACAATTTTCACATGGCATAGATGGCAGCATCTATCGGCCCCTGTGTCGCCTGGCCCTGTGGAAGCAGTCGAGTCGTTTGTCCTGTCCTGTCCTGTCCTGTCCTGTCCTGTTCTGTCCTGTTCTGTCCTGTCGGAGCTAGACCTAGACCTAGATCTACGGACAGAACATGCACGGAACTGTGGAAGGAAGGATATCAGCCGTTCGGTAGAGGACGCATAAAATGGACAGTCGTCGACCAAGGACACAAGGACAGTAGTTGATCGGAGAAGCCCCGTTAGGTATTCCAACTGAGCAGCCAGACACCAGAGAAGCGACATTGACATTGACATTAACAGACAGACAACAACAACAACACGCGGTCCGCTCCAGCGACGAGAGACCGTTTCTTTTTCACCGCGTCGCCGCCTTCGATCGATCCCCACGGAATAAGTATTCTCGATATAATCAATAAAATAAGAGGCTACCTTACGGTACGCTTCCACAAGCCCCAAGCCCCTCCACACTCCCTCAACATGAAGCTGTAAAGTAACATGAGTAACACGAACGAACAACCCTCCATTATTCAAACAATGTGCATTATTGTGCATTGTTTTCCCGCCAACGTTTGGCTTTCCGCCCCCCCACACCCCGCATGCATGCTTGCTTCATCAGTCCCACGTCGTGTTTCATTCATTATTAACCATTCACCCACATACCTCTAATAATAAGTTACGCGAACTGCTTGGGAAGCGATCCGAGGCGGCGGCGGCGGCGTCGGGCATCACCATCGGAACCAAAGAATTGTGTGCAGATAGATATAGATACAGCAGATTATTGTGGATGCAGGACAGGCCGGCGAGCACGGCGTCACACGTCGTCGGGCTGATTGACCACACGGAAGGGGGGGGAGGGGGGGGGGGGGGGGGACGAGCCGGGCCATTTCTGCTGTGTGCTGCGTAGATGGATACTAGAGGGGGCGGAAGATGTCCATTATTCGTCGTTACACCCGGACAATCGATGGGACTGTGGGAGCTTTCGTGATGATTGAGGACGAGGTTATGGGATCGCGGAACGGCATCCTGTCTCCAGAATCTCATCTCATCTCCTCCGCAGAGGTGGCCGGCGAGTGATCTGATGCGAGCGAGCGACACGTCTGTACGCATGCTCCAGTGTTACAGGCGTTCACGTCCTATGCCACGAGTTGGCAACGGAGGACATGTCGAGAAAGAGAAGTCATCAGCACCTGAAGGATTGAAACAAGGCCACGCTCTGTGCAGCCCAAAAGACAGCCCAGGGCACGTTCTACATACCTTACTTCTCCACCTGCGCACCTCGATTCCGACCGCGCTTCCTCCCGTCTCTTTCTTCCTGCGATCACCACGCCCCTGCCGTCTTGTGCACACAACACACATCCATCGAACCAGCCCAAAACGTGGGCTCCATTGCTCTCTCGGCGATCATCGGGCCTTGCGTGCCGGACGCGGGCCCACCCTCGGAACCGATCAACTTCCCGACTTCACGGCACACAACCACCACTCGCCGAGGAGGTGGAGGCGACGTACGTGCGACAGCGGCTAGTCGCAGGCGGCTATTTGTTGCAGGTCGTACAGTGGAAGCAGAATCCTCGGCGACGGCCGAACACTCGATGTACTCTACAGGTGATATAGCCAAGTTTTGGTGCCCAAGCCTCATCCTTCTCGTGTCTCCCTCGCCTTATCTTTCTCGTGTCTCCCTCGCCTCATCTTTCTCGTGTCTCCTTGGAAGTCCACTGCGGCCGCCGCTTTCTGTGGGAAGCATGCCGTCCGCGTGCCTGCTGTGCAAGACCATGGATCACAGAAGGCTCGTCTCCCCGGCACGAAACGTCGCGGGCAGAGAGCGGCGCCAGCAGTCTCCGACTACCTCGCAAGAGGCGTACAAAACAAGTGCCTCTGCTAGGTATGCAACGTGATTGCTTTTGCGAGTCTTGCAAGCGGCAGCGCCTGCATCAATAATGATAATCTGCGATGGCATATGTCAACGAAACGTTGGCGAATGTGCTACTCCACGCGTGGTGGGCGACACCCCACGCGCAGAAGTGATGTCTCGTGCTCGAATGGGGATGAAGGTGCTTGTCCGCTCGCACTGCATAGCTCCGTACGTCGCACCTGGGCTGCGCGAGGACAGCAGACAGCCCCGCCGCCTTGTCTGGGACAGTCTGAAACCGCAGGCTAGGCGGGAGAGTGCTGTCATGCCTTCTGTTCTGATTCCTTCCCGTCGTGCATCTCCTACCCTGGCCCGCACCGCAGGGCAGCATTATTGTCAGCTCGCGCGGATGGTGTCGTGGAAGGGGTTGTGCTGGCGACGTTGGTCCATCGCGACCATGGCGGTAGGTTGGACGGGCCGTGGACAGCTTCCTTCTAGCTGGGAGAGCTACTACTGGTGGCTCGACAGGGTCGAGATGCTGGAAGCGATGGCCAGTGTGTTGAAGCACAGGGAATGCGCGCTGGTAGGGACGGACTGTCAGTGGTAGTGGTAGTAGGAGTAGTAGTAGTAGTAGTAGTAGTAGTAGTAGTAGGATGCGGGCGCAAGTTGCAGACGGAAAGCGTGCAGTGCAGCGTCTGATGAGATGAGATGCGTTGGATTGCCGACGCATGCATGCAGGACGGCACTCGCTTGATGAAGGAGATTGAGATGAGGATAATAATGTGTGCTGCAGTGCAGCGCACACTACTGCAGCCGCGCACACGACACCGGTACGGCGGCGGAAGATGATGTGTGTGTGTGAGTAACTACTAGTAGTGAAATTTGCACGATGGATGATGTGATACACCGCCCCGCTCTTTGTCATATCATATTGACTGTCATGTCATGTCGACTCCCGTCCGCTGCAGTGCTTGACACCTGCAAGCAAGACTGGACGCTGCCGTGTGGATTGGATTGGGTGGACTGTGCTGTATTGTACTGTACTGTACTGCACTGTACTGCACTGCACTGACTGCACTACTGCACTGCACTGTACACTGCCACTGCCACTGCACTTCCCTCCCACACCCTCTGCAACAACACTGCAACACTGCACCGAGCCAGCTTGAAAGGGCACTCCCACCTCCAACCCTCCCACATTATTATTCTTCCCTCTACTACTACTACTACTACTACTACTACTACTACTCCTCCTCCAACTGTGACCTCTCCCCTCCCCTGCCCTGCGGATACATCCCCTGCCCGCCCGGCCCTGCCCTGTCCATCGCATCTCGCGACTTACCGGGAACCTCGCCGCTGGTGTGGTCGACTTTCGTCACTGCCATCTGAGCTTTGCCCGCCGACGTGGGACTTCCTGGTCTCATTGCACGGTGATTGCACCCAGCTAGCCCGCCAGCCCAGCGGCGTTGCACCCTGCGGCAGGACAGCCGTGGTGGTGGTGGCACGGTGGTGGTGGTAGTGGTGGTGGTACTGGCGGTGGTACTGGCGGTGGTACTGGCGGTGCTTGTCACCTTGCAATCCCTTCCCTTCCCTCGGCCCATCGACTCCTGCGGCGCGGCAACTCATACAGTAGCTACTAGTCAGCGCGACGGCATCGCCGCGCCTGCTCCCGAGCAGTCCGAACGGCCAGCCTATCGACCCTACTGGACTACGAGTTACTACTACCCACCGCACCCTACCACACTACCACTCTCTACCCCGTCTCCCGGAGGTAGCAGATAGCGATAGCAGCACCCCAGCTACTGCCACGCCCACTGCTGCTCTACCTTCTTACAGTACTACCATACCACCCTCCACCGGCCCAGACAGGCGGCGCTAGCCACACCCGCCTACAACTTCAACTCGGTCAAACCCCGCGACAACCGGTCCGCACCACCCCAATTCAACCATCCTTACGCCGTCTCCTCGCTCACTGCTGCACGTCCGCCTCCGGCCCTCAACACCCTCCGCACCGCCCTCCCCTCACCTCTCTTTGGCGCGGCATTATCCGAGACACGCTGGCCTTGGCTGCCGCTGCTGGTGTGGCCTGGATTCACCCAAACCCTGCCCACTGCCCGTCGGCTCGCTGTCGTCCGCGATATACAGCAGCGCAGGCTAGCAACCATCCCCCCCCCCCCCCCTCCCGCTCATTGGCTCCCGCTACCACTGCACTTGCATGAAGAGGCACAGTCGACCCGCGAGCGTGTTGGACAATACTAGTGCTCTCCCGCCTCTGCACGAAAGACGCCGCCGGTCTACCTCCATTCGTTTTCTTGTGCGCAGCCAGCTCTTCCAAATCCTCCCCAGCTCCCCACCTTCCGAGCAATTCTCCCGGCCGCCATCATGTCTCACGGGAAGATGACGTTGTATAAACTCGTCGTGTTGGGTGACGGTGGTGTGGGCAAGACGGCGTTGACAATACAGGTGCGCACAACCCACTTTCCCACCCCGAGGAAGATTCTCCAAAAACCCCCCCCAGACAGTCCTCCCTCTGACATGCTCGCAGTTATGCCTGAACCACTTTGTCGAAACGTACGACCCCACCATCGAAGACTCCTACCGGAAACAGGTGCAGATCGACGGACAGTCATGTATGCTCGAGGTGCTCGACACTGCTGGCCAGGAAGAGTACACGGCGCTGCGGGATCAATGGATAAGAGACGGTGAAGGCTTCATCCTGGTATACAGCATCTCCTCGCGATCGTCCTTTACGAGGATACAGAGATTCCACCATCAGATACAGCGCGTCAAAGAGTCGGCCGCAGCGGGCTCACCCACATACCCAGGCTCCCCGCTCGCGCAGACCATGGGCAATGCGGCATTTGGCCCCGCGCCCATCATGCTGGTCGGCAACAAGTGTGACCGGGTGACGGAGAGGGAAGTCTCAACACAAGAGGGACAAGCGCTCGCCAAATCCCTGGGCTGCGAATTTGTGGAGGCGTCGGCCAAGAACTGCGTGAATGTGGAGAGGGCCTTCTATGACGTGGTGCGGCAACTCCGCCGGCAGCGAGCCAGTGCACCGGCACGGCAGAGCACCAAGACGTCCAATGCGGATCCGGCGCCGCGCACACCGCGCACGAATGGCGGCGACTACTACTCGGATCGGGAGAAGAAGCGATATCGCAGATCAGACAGGAACAGAGACCGAGGCAGCAAGTGCGTGATATTGTGAATGAATGAAATGACAGCGAGAGACTTTGGAAAGAAATCACAGACAGCTCCTACCTACCACCAGCGAGCACCACACGCAGCCAGAGCTCCCTCCAGCGCCGGCCGCACGCACGCCCGCCCGCCCGCACGCATGCGAGCTTTATCCAACACCAACCCGGCGCCAACAGATGACGTCCTAGGAGGCAAAATTTTCCCAGCTGTTGCGAGCGGAATTCCATCATCGGGCCTAAACGAACTCCATGCATGGCCTGCACGGACTCGTGGCAGAACGCAGGCATGCGATGTTGCTGCATCGGTTAAACAAGCTACCGGGAAGAATCGTGCAACAGGGCAACCCAACGACTGCTTTCGTGATGAGCCCACTCCGACGGCACGGTATCAGCGGCTCCGCACAAAGACGGCATCTCTCATGTTGGAACGAGGATCATCGCATGGTATAGGATCCACCATGTGATTCCATCGAAGTTCGTCCGGCTCGCTTGCCTGGCTGGGCAATTTATCTCGAAGCGAAGCGAAGCCAAGCTGGACCCGGGCCACGACTAGGACACCGCACCGCTTCCTGCTGGCAGCGCCGATTGGTACCATCACGTGGAAGAGTGGATCTGAGGGATATAACTGGTGCCCCAACCCTAAGGCCTGGTGGCATGGAATAGCTCGGGCGGTGAGGAGAATCGAATTGAGACGAGAGGATAAGCCTGTTTTTTTTTTATAAAGAGAGAAGAGAAAATTTCAGGACATATTTTGACAGGATATACCCAACCCACAATGCAATGGAACGGCAGATTCATGAAGAGAGAGAGAGAGAAAGAGAGAGAGAGAGAGAGAGAGAGAGAGAAAAGTAAAGGAAATATCACCATATCTATCATATCATATCATATCCTACCAAAGAAAAGTGCGAACGTGGATTTTTTTTGTTTCAAAAGGATCAAATCAGAGGTTTTGTCTTTCAGACAGACGTGTCCGTCCGTCGAGATTGTCGTCGTTGCCCTGATTCTTGTTCCTCTGCTTCCTCCTTCTTCTTCTTCTTCTTCTTCTTCTTCTTCTTCTTCTTCTTCTTCTTCTTCTTCTTCTTGTCCTTCCTGCTTCTGCTTCTTCTTCTTCTTGTCCTTCCTGCTCCTTCTTTCCAGTTTCCTTCGTCCGTCTCACACATGAACCCGAGCATACCAATCACCAACCCACCCATGCGGCGCCGAATTCGCCAAAACCTTACCTTACCATACCTTACCTTACCTTACCTTAGGGCTACATCTTAGGGTTTCTTGGGGTAAGTATAAAACCAACTAAACTCCCGGGACAGACAGACAGACAGACAGACAGACAGACAGACAACAGACAGAGATGGGCACCGGCACGGGCACCGGTATTTACTACACGCTATTGCGACTTCATCGTGGCTCGGCTCAGCAACGTCTTTCATGGATCCTTTTCAGAGCCAAGGGTCTGTACCAATCGAAAACACCCCAAGTTCTATCCGCGTCACGAGGCCAGCATGGAGAGCGATTGGGAATGATCTTCTTATAGTCATGCTCATCGGATGCATACAGACATGCTACTAATATGATATGGAAAGTGCATTGGCAACGGCAGTGTCACCCTATTAGGTACACTCACAATCTGGACTGCAGTGGGCACTGCTTCTTACTTCTTGCTTCTTCTTGCTTCTTCTTGCTTCCTCGGTCCTGTCGAACCAGAATAGCACACACACCTCGCCTTCATGTCAACTCTTACTCATACATAAGAAAGCCGCTTATTTGGCCTTTGCGAGGCCGACAGCGTTGTTGCCGAGGTCGTAGACGGAGTACCACTTCCTCAAGAAAGCATCACCAAGGATGGCAAGGGGGCCGGCTGGCTCCGGAATGTCGAAGCCCATAAAAGCGCTGATGCAGCTGCCCTGGACCTCCAGGATGTAGTCGTATGGACCAATGGTGAAGTTGTGGCCAGTCAGGGTGAAGGTGAGGTCTGGAAGAGAGTCGCGCTTGCTGCAGTCGACGGTGTACTGGCCGTTGTAAGACTTCTTGGCGCCGATCTCCTTGTTCAAGAGCTCGGCAAGCGTAGATGGAAGAGCGAGGAGCGATGTGCCAGTGTCGAGGATAGCACCAGTGGCATCGATCTGGGCGGTCTGGTCGCCAAAGGTGATGGCGTCAAGATCAACCTCCCAGTAGGCCTTGCGGCGGAGAGGAATCTTGGTCATCTCCCCGGTGTAGTGGCTCTCATCCACACCACCAAAGACAGCCTCAGAATCGTCGCCCTCGTTGGTGTCGCTCAAGTAGAAAGCAAAGACGGGCTCGTCCAGCAGGCCCTGATCGATCATGTTGTAGAATGGTGGTGGGATACCGTTCACGGAGATGGTATCATAGCCCAACCCCATGATGCCGTCGAAGCGGCCGAATGCGAAGGCAAGGCCTGGCTCCGAGGTGGCCTCAGCAAACAGCTGGTCCTTGATCTTGAGGTCTCCAATCTGCACGGTGTCTTTGCTGACGTATCCCTCAAGGCTGCCGGAGCCGTATCGGATGGCGAAATCGGAGCCATTCTTCTTGTACGAGCTCGAGGAGCTGTGGTCGTACTTGGAGTGCAAGTAGCAAGCGATGGATCCGCAGTCTTGGCTAGGCACCCACAGGTTGGAGCTGCCGGTATCCAGCACCACCTTGAACTCTTGCGGTGGGTCTCCAATCGCAATCTCGCTGAAGTATTGAGCGTTCAGGAAGTTGGAGACGGCGACTGGGTGGCCCTTCTCGGCGTGGACGGATGTTTCCTTGAACATCTCGTCGAGGCGACTCTGTGGGCGGATGCCCAGGTACTTCTGGCCGAGGCGCTGGACATGGTCTTCGATGCTGAGACCCTCCTGCGAAGCGCTGTCAGCTGCGGGATCAAGCGATGCTGTGCGATGGATGGCTTACGAGCTGCTCAGAGAGAGGGACCTTGTTAAGCCTGGGATAAGGTCAGTTTGCCATCGCATCTGACGTCGGTGCTTTCCATGACGCACTTCATCTTGTGGATGCCGCCAGCGGAGGCGGTGCCAGCCGCCAGGGCGGAGGCGAACAGCGCTGTACCCTTCATGATTGCAGTGATGGAGATGGATGTGAGAGATGATGTTTGAGAGGGAGAGAGAGAGAGAGGTGTTTGTAGGAGACAAGTGGTTCGGTCCGAAGGTGAGCTGGGAGCTTGTCAGGCGGCAGACACGACGCATGCACGAGGCGGGCGGTTGCTGGGGGTGAGTGCCTGAATCGGGGAAGGCGCTATCCGTGATGTCACGACACACAATCTCGACGACCACACGCGATCACTCTCATCTGAACACGTGATGCAGTCCCTCTGTCTCTTGTGTGCTTGTAGTAATGTTTTGGTGCACTTCCAAGAGCACACCTGGCGGAAGTGTTTCACACGACATCCGGATTCGAGGCGCAAAGCCATCACGCGCCGCAAACAGACAGCCTTCAAGACAGTCTCAATGTACTTTGAACGGCTGTTAATGGGGGCTGTTCATTCCTGCACACCCCCAATAATAATAATGCAAGCCTCAGCACAGCCAGCATCGCATCATCGGGAGCTTCTGTTGGTCCAGAGTCCGAAGGCGTGCGCACATGCGGATAGCTGGCTGCCCGCTCTCCGGGGTGCTGGTCGCCGCCCATCAGCAGTACTATTCCACATTTCCATCACGATGCACACCCTTCCGCCACCTCCGTGCTCTCCTATAAGTTATCGACTGCCTCCTCCTCTCCTCGGCTGTCAATGTCTCTTCGCGACTGTGCCAGAACCACGGCGACGACTGTGATGGCGACAGGGGACAGAAGCTTACCCCACGGGAGATGAGAGCTGAGGCGACACGCCGGTCGCGTGCTCTCCAGCTTGCTCTGTGCTCTGTGCTCGGTCCAGCAATTTTCGACCACGTCTGTGGATCCTCAGATTGAAGCTCGTGTACACCGGCGCAAACGAAACGTCGCTCCGGACGTCAGATCGAACGGTGTCGTACTGTAGCGGTAGGTCGACAACGAGAGGGACCAATATTGACAGCAGCAGGCAGCAGAACCTACAGACAGCACGAAAGAAGGCACCCATCGGCCCGCCGCACCAGCATCAGAACGAGCTCGATATGCCTTGGGTCAGATTATGGCTATCAGATCTGATAGGGCAACAAGACATGGAGGCCGAGCATGGCATTCATTGTCCTGTCGATTGCGGCCGCGAAGAAGAGCGACACAAGAGTGCTCGACCACGGGACGGCGGCTGAGGGCAGAGACGTGGCAGCTCGGCGTCTGAGGCCTTGGTCCTCACCGTCACGTCACGAGACGAGACGAGACGAGACGAGAGGCGAGGCGGTGGGTGTCTTGTGTGTGCAGGCTGTTCCTCGTTGGGGGCGCGCGACGAACAAGTGCACGTCGGTGCAAGCGAGGAGAAATCGCCGCAACGGCCTTTGAGGCTCGAAGACGACTCCCAGCGCCATACGAGGAGGTATACCGCTGGCGGCACCATCACCATCTCACGAAGCTGGAGCTCACGAAGCTGGAGACTGGTGGTTGTTGCGAGGACTCGGCGTGTGATTGGCTCAAGCCGCCAAGGCTCGAGCGTCTGCACTCTGCAGGCACCCGACCGAGCAGCAAGTTCAAAGCGGCGTCTGTAAGTCGCGCGCGCGAGACAGGCGCGTTCTGACAAGTTGTGACGTGTGTGTGTGCGGCGGCGTGGAAGAGTCGCGGAATTTCCACGTCGCACACGGCTCAACAGCATCCAAGCACAAAAGGGCGGCGGACAGGACATCAGCTGCTCAGGCGGCGCGGACCAACGATCTTCGAGGGATTGGACACCTGGGGACTTGGACCGCGGGTTGTGGCTGCACGTGGGGAAGGTGCTCTGCTCTGCCCTGCACACTGCGCCTTCTGCTCCACAGCTCCCTGGCTAACCCGATTCTCTCACAAGCGTCTACTGTTACTTTGCACCACCGCCCTCCAGCCAGCGACCCTCCGCCGACCCTTCGCTCCCTTTGGGGTGCTTCCTGCTTTCATGCACCACTCACCCATGCGCTGCACCGAATAGCAACGCCGCTTCGCCTCCCTCCCATCGCTCACCATGGCCGCGACTCCATACGTCTGGACCACCAGATGCATACCCGCCTTCAGCATCTGCCTCGTCGCCGTCCTACTCGTCTTCTCCTTCCTCATCAACCCGTACGGCAAAGGCGAGGCAGGCAACCACCATGGCGAAGCCACCATCGCGCAGACCATCCTCAGTGTTTACACCGTCCTCCTCCATCTCCTCTCCATCGTTTTCCCCGCCAGAGTGTGCCTGTCAATGGCACACGTCCTCAAGAAGACGAGGGAGACACTTCAGGACCTGCCTAGTGGTCGGCGGCCGCGTGTCCAGAGCGTTCAAAATGAGGAGAAGGCCGTGCAAGTTCCGGTGCCTCTGTTCGCAATCATCCTGCCAGCATACAAGGAAGAGATGGCAACGTTGGAAGAGACATTACGGGTTCTGGCATCACACACACAAGCTCGTCAAAGCTACCACGTGCGTCAATCTGCCACTGAGAAAGCCAATTCGGCTGGTTGTAATGGTCTTGCCGCCTTGCAGTGCGTGCTAACGTACGTACCTAGGTCTACCTGGCCATGGAGGAGAAGGAGGAGAAAGCAGCCTCCAAAGCTGCAGCCATTTGCGGCACCTTCGAGAAGTCCTTCTACCGCATGAGCTACACTGTACATCCTTCCAACATCCCGGGCGAGGCTCAAGGAAAGAGCAGCAATGAGGCTTGGGCCGCGAGAGAGATCATGGAAGACTACCCGGATGAGCTGACCAGGCAGAACACAATCATCACCACCATGGACGGTACGTCTGCCACGATGTCTTCTCTTGTTCGTTGGCTTACATGTCTCTCCAGCCGATACACATTTGTCCTCTCGCTATTTCTCTCAAATCGCGCGCTTGCACACGGAACACGCCGAGACTAACGAGACGACAATCTACGTGCCACCACTCGTCTTCGACAGGAATTTACACCACGTGCCTCTTTTCGTCCGGACTGCTGATCTCATGTGGGCGGGAGCTGGAATTTCCAGTCTGTATGAAAGCTCCACTGTGTGCATCCCGACATCCGTCTACTCACTTCCTATGACCTTGGTCGAGCACGTTGGTGGCTGGGACACCGGCCCTGGGGCGATTGGCGAGGATATGCACATGTACCTCAAGTGCTTCTTCGCTCTGTCTGGAAATCTGACTGTCCAAATGGTGTTTGCTGCTGCCAGCCAGTGCAACGTCAGCAGTGGCAGATTGGGCCTCCTTGGCTGGTTTGAAGGGCTTCAAGCGCGGTACAAGCAGGCACTGAGACACATGTGGGGTGCTCAGGACACTGGATTCTCGATTCGAGAAGCCGTCAAGATGGTGAAGAGACATCGCGTGGCTAGCAAAGGGCAGAAAGATGTGCCTTTGAGCGCTTCCAAGTGAGTGTCGCAGACTTATTTAATGTTGTGATTCAATGCTGACTTGACGCAGTTCGAACTGGACCGCTTTCTACACCAGCACCGGACTACACAAATCTCTCATCCCCAAACTCGCAGAGAACGAGCACGCGCCACCGAAGCCGATCCACAAGATGAACGTGTTCACCCTCTTTCAACGATTGTTCGAAGCACACTTTCTGCCAGTCCATCTCGCAGTCATCCTCACGACATCCAGCATCTACACGCTGTTCTACCCAAGCTTCCTGGTACCATCCTTCCTCAAACTCGCTCTCGACATCTCCGGCTTCTGCCGACTCATCGGTTTCTGCACCATGCTGTGCTTCTTCTACCTCTACGAGCGCTACCATCGACTATGCGTGGGCCTTCGGGAAGAGGAGATGCGTAGAGCGGGCATGCTAGAGGACATGGAAGAGCACGATGGCTTCACGCCATACGTGTTCCAGTTTGCGGGACTTTTCGAGGCTGCAACCTTCCCGATAGGAGGTTTCATCTTCGGCGCGATACCCGCTCTGCAGGCGGTGTTGAGCCATTTGTTCACTGACCGTCTGACGTACGTTGTCAGCTTGAAGCCGCAGCTAGTTCTGAGGCCGTGGAGGGACGTGAGCCGGATGACACCGTGAGACACCACCACCACCCTTTTTTCTCGTTTGCACTGCACGTATTACCACCGCATCACACACACACAATACCCATATAGCTGTTGGCATTCCGTGCATAGCGTTGGCGCAGTGGTGAGACAGGGATCTTGTACTCCATTTTATGCATATAGATGCTAATGTGTAATTTTCTACGCTGAAGATCTAAACCGGGCTTCATGAAGAGATCGTCGACCGCGACGAATCATCATCGTCACGCCACAACGAGCTCCGCCGAGCCGCCTGGGAAAAGGAGAAAAGCGAGTGCGAGCACGCATCGACGGCGCATATCAAACCTTTTGGTGCTACGATTTACCGAAGAGGACTAGATTAATACTTTGCATCTGCGGGCTACCGACGGGCAAACTGTTTTAGACTTTCGACACGTGAAGGAGAGAAAAACGAAGCGATCCAACCAGAAACGTCAAACGGTGGTCGTGGTCGGGACTTGTACGAAAGTAGGTTGAGATCCCGGCGGCGCTACAACAGCTACCTGCGGATGATGGAAAGGTTAGGTCGCGATGGGATGACTAGCTGGATTTGGTGAGAGGTCACGAGGGCAAGTAAGGCTGGACTCCTGGACCTCATCTCCCTTTTTACATATTCAGGAGGTGTATTATTGTGTCTCTATGATGAGGCACCGCAGCTTATCAAGGAGGCTTGTTGCTGGGCAAACAGAGGTCGTTGTCAGAATCGGCCCCGCTATCGTGCTACCTTCCTTCACCAAACGACTTGAAGATAAGATAGGCCCGGGGCGGCTATTTTATATCCACAACGACCGCTGTGGATCGGATGATTTTATTAGGGGCAGACGGGCTACCCCTAGCGATTCAAGCTTTAGTCCTAAGCATTGATAAGCTTTCCAGGCGAAGCTTCTACAGTACCAAGGCTTGCCAAGGGTCCCACCACAGCCACAGTCCTGTTCTGTTCAAAGAAGACTTCTCTGTATCTACTCTCGGAATTGCCTATCCTTATCTTATCCTCCTGTCGCGCACGGGAGGGAAGGGGAAGCGTCCAAATCAACTTCCGATCCTTCCATTACTACTTCCCTCTCCCTTTTCAAATCACTAACCTTTCCTCGTCGTCGTCCTCCTCTAAAAAATTGCCGCTATAATACGCACGAGAGACAGGACAAGCTTCTTCCTTCGCGATCGCTCGATTAATTAACGTCTTATTAATCGTCTCTCCTGCGCTGCAATATTGTATATTATATATTATAATAATTTCCCTCCTCCTTATTAAATCCCTCTGCTCTGCTCTGCTCTGCTCTGCTCTGCTCTGCAACCCTGTTAGGCGTTGGCTTGGCATGGCTTGTCTCGTCTCGTCTTACTTGCCGAGAGGAGAGCCTGCCATCATCGCCGTCTGTTGAAATTCATTGATTGCATCATTACGATTAAGAAAAAACGCCCTGTAAACCTGACGTATCCACAGGTGCTTGGGCCGATGAGGAAAGATGAAACCCTCACTTCGTAGAAAACCGTTTTCGATTCGGACTCTTGAAGCGAAAGCGAAAGCGAAAGCGAAAGCGAAGTAGCCAATTCGCAGCTTTGCACAAGGCACTACTACTATGCATTATCGACGAGATCCGCTGTCGGTCAGATATCATAGGCATGAATCGCCTCTTCTAGAAAAAAATCTCGCTCTCCAGATTGATGTCCGTGTCAGGAAGAAGCGCAAGGACCTTCGCAGCACGGGGAATAATGTAGTTACGTACATGTAGATTTCCGGGGCCATGTCGCAGAGCTCCCGTGAAGACGGAGTGAGTCTCTCGATTGGTGTATCCCTCCCTATACCGTTACCAGGGCAAACCAAACTGCAAAACGACAAATCGACAAATAAAAGCAAACAGCAGAAGTAGCAGTACTTGCACGTTGTAATAACCGTAAAGCGCAATCCGAAGAAGAACGATATTACACCGCATCGCCATGCGCATAGCGCTCGCTTTTTGACACGTTACTCCCTCCAATCCCATCTACCTGAACCTACAAGTGGAAGCAATATCCAGTCGTCCCAAAGATGAACGACCGCCGCTCCCTGGGTATCAAGATCCATTCTGTTCGTTTCATTTCGCTTCAATTCGTTTCAGTGTCGTCGTAACCGTTGCCGCATTGCTGCATCGGCATTCGTTCGTGTCATAATGCATGTATCCATTCCTTTCCTCACTTGGGTTTCCTAATCCATACACCCCCTCTGCGGCGTAATCAACTTTTTCAGAATTCTTGCTCCACGGCGTGGTAAAGCGCCCGATCCAAGTAATGCTTGTAGCGGTGTCCGTGGTGATGCTCGCTAATCAATCACGAACCTGATCCTTGGCAAGCCACAATTAGCAAACAGGACTCCATTTCTCACGTGGTAGGTCCAATCCAATACACTCATTCCCCTGCATCAAATTGTGAGGACTCGCGGGAAGCGACAGCAGGTGCAAGCAAAAGAGAGAAATAGAGAATACGGGCGCACCTCATTCAAACAAGGCATCATCACTTACTCGTCGTCGTCTCCCCATCGGCTGGTCTCCTGCTGGTCTCGACAGGGCGGCTTGTTCGATCGGTCGCTCTGGTGCAGTACGAAGTCAAGAATTTCGCTGCGCGGCTCGACGAACTGTCGCAGACACCAGCCTACCGGAGCGGCATAGACCTTCTGCTTGCCCTCTGCGTCCAGACACGAAGATCGGAGGTAGATGATCTGGTTCTTGGAGTCCTCGCGTTCGTAGATCTTGTCGGAAGTGCCGAAAGCTATCAGACGAAGTTTGGCGGGCCGTAAGGAGTCAGAGGGGGTAGATTGGTTGGTGTCGGCATCAGAGTCTTCGTCGTCGGGGTCTGGAGGCGGCTGCGGGATGCTGAGCGAAGGATGTGTGCCAGCGGCCAGCTCGAAACCTCGCTGCGCCAATGCTTGCAGCATAGTCTCGTAGATGGCGCGGGGGAGAAGTTGTGTCGAGGGCTTGTTGTTTGGCCATGTCGTGATGTGGAGAGTGACCAGCTTGCGCAGGTTACCGCATGCATTTTCGAAGGACTTCCACTCTTCGCTCGGAGACCGAATCAGACTCGTGCTCGGCCATGCGCAGGATAGCTGCTCCAGGTCGGTGCACGCCTTACAGATCTTCTCAAAGTCGTCGAAGTCCCAAACCAGCTCATCGCCGTCACAATCGGGTGGTGTCATGGTCGATGAATGGTTGCTGTCCTGCGTGCCGTGCACGTTCAGAAGCTCGAGCGTCTTGGCGTGTCGGGCGATGCCGGCTGAAGCTGGCAGAGCCTTGGTGTTCTCCAAATCGACGACGAGATCCTTGATGCCGGATACAAGACATAGGAAACCATCTAAAGCTAGAAGAGCTTCATTCTCGGTGTTGTCGCGATGTTGAAATTCTAGTACCTTGAGCTGCTTCGGGAGATGGGATGCCTTCGATAGTTGACCGAACAGCGAGTCGGCTCCAGAACAGTGGTAGATGCGAAGATACTGCAGGTCGTGGAAGTTAATGAACTTGCACCAGGTGTCCGCGCAATACCTCAGGCTGATCCTGTGCAGTCGCAGCGACTTGAGGTTCTTGAACGGCTCACACTTGTCGAAGGGCGTCATGCAGCTGAAGATGGTGTTGGAGACGAGACCTGGCCCCGTAGCTGAGTCGTTCAGCTCGCGATTGCCGAGGGTCTCTCGCTCCCGCTCACCCAGCGATGCAAAATTGCAGTGTACGATGAGCTCCTCCAGTTGCTCCTTAGTCTTCTCCACGAAGAAACCGCTCAGATCGAGCGTCTCCCGATTCTCCGGATATAGAGCCAGCTTCTTCGTGTTCTGGAACATGGTAGATGTCAGACGGGTGTCCTTCTTCAGATCTGGCAGAATGTTGCGGTCCAGGTCCATAACCTCGAGCCACTTCATCTTGCGCTGCTTTCGGTAGAGGAGCAAGAGGTTATCAGCGGAGAAAGGGCGCCACGGACACCAACTATACCAGTTGTTAGCATCGTCGCTTTTCAAGACCACTTCCATACAAGTATATGATTCACCCTTCTTCATCCCTGTGGTCTGGTGGCACCGTAGCATACCTGAACTCGTCGAGCACATCCTCGGGCAGAAACTCCAGCAGCATGCGTGTCGCGAACTGAGCCTGCTGCTCTTGGTTGCATTTGTCGTAGACGGTCGCGAGGTAGAGGCGCAGCTGGCGGATATGCTTGAGGCCGATGTTCTTGGGGTTGAGGAAGGAGGAGAGGCGTGTATCGCTAGGACTGCCGAGATCGAGGGCGACATTGCGGTAGAGGAAGCGGACGGCGATTTCATGAAGCTCTTTGTTGACGAGGCAGACGTTCTTGAGATCGGCTGGTCGGATTATCTGTGCCAAAGTGGGTTAGCATGTCTGCGGCTCATTGCGTTCTGGCGTGACGATATCGTGTGACCCACGCGCTCGACGAACATCTCCTTCATCTCCTTGGGGACCGTCTGCCATGTCAACTTCTCTTTTGGCTCTGTGGGCGGCTCCTGTCGCGATGTTTCATGCTTCGGGGTTTGTGGTGACGAGGTAGCAGGAGTGGCTCCGGTGGAGGCGGTCATGGTCGCGGTGTGAGTCTCGACCAGCGTTGCCATGACGAGAGCTGGTCGTCGGTGGAGGGTGGTGGTTGTACAAGTGATGGTCGGTGGAAGTGTGGTGGTGAGAGACGGTTCCTAATGTTTCTCTTGATATCTGTCCCTGTGTCAAGAATGATGGTCGACAGGGAGAGTGTGGTCGAGATGTAGAAGGCAATGAAAGACTAGCGGCGTGCGAGGGTTTGACATGTGCAATGGGCGAGAGTATGAGTGTGAGTATGAGTTGTCATCTACAGTGGATCTCCCCGGGCAGAGGAGTGTGGAGCGCTGCGGTGGGCGGGCGGCAGCTGCCTGTCGGATGTTGCCGGGAAGTGAGAGGCCGGCTGCAACGATACGTGCATGTGCATGTACTGTCCCGTACTGCAATACGTGATGAGAGAGAGTGAAAAGTGGAAGTGAGGCGGGAGTGCATCTGCATCATCTTGTACAGTGCACCAGCTCCGAGCTTGCCCTTACGAACTAGGTAGCTTCTAGCGGGGCCACACCGGTACGGCGGCCTCACCCCATCTTCCAATCATCGCCAATCGTCCCCATTTCATACACTTCCCACGCCAGCTGGGGCGTCATCAAGGCAACAACTGTCCACTACATGTATGCCAGCACAAGCCGCTGCGACATCTCGAGATGCCATCATCCATGGCAGCCGACGGCGGCTACAGCTCTCACATGCACAGAGCCGTCTTCTGTACTACCTGCCACCTGCCGACGACAGACGCGAAAATCTCCTTCACATGCAGGGATTCACTGGCTTGACGCGCTGATATTTCCAGTCTCCTGCCATTGGCGAACGTTGCCAGAGCAAGCGCCAAGGTAACCGTGAAAGCCACCACCGCCCCGATTCTCTGGATAGTAGTTCTGTCACGGCTTAGTCAGACGAGGCCGTTCTGACCCAGGTCAGATCATTGAGCACCTGTCTTGGCAGCCCCAACAGAATGGATGGTCTCGGGACGATGCCATGACGAAGGTGCGCAGATTGCTTGCTATTGCGAATTCTGCGCCCAGTGGTCCGCGATGGACTGTGATGCGCCCTGATTTGGACACGAACGGCGTCAAGGGCCGTTTCATCCGATGCACCAAGCAATGGAACTGAATCTCGGGTTCGAGCGAGGATGAGGAGGTACAGACTTGTGTTGCGGAGTAGTAGCAGCAGCAAGAGATCGTTGAAAGCAGATGCTAGAGAGCTCTGAGCAGCAGAGCCCAGATACTTTTCAGGAGTAGAGAAGGCAGGAACACGAGGAAGACTCGTGTTTTGTAAAGCAGGATGAAGCGGTGATTTCGAGCAGATTGTACTCAAAGCAGGAATCAAATATGCATTTGAAAGCGGAAAAAGGCCAAGGGAGACGACCGCAATACTTCATTGTTTCGTATTACCATTGAGACGGTGGGAAATCTTTGTGGACGCTGCTTGAACGTATATGATTACTCGCAGGACGACCTATGGGTATGCTTGAAGCCCATCAATTGGAGTGATCGTTCGGAAGGGTAAGGCATCGACGAAAAGTTGGAGGGAGCGCCAATGGTGAGCATTAGGTGCGACGTGCAGTAGCCACAGCTATCACGAGATGGCCGGGGAACACTCTCCAGAATGCGTCCGAAGCCCGGGCATCGGAATCGCCGTACGCAGAACGCAGATCGTGGGTATAGTAACCAGAAGCTAACTCAAGACACGGCTCGTATCATTCACTCCTCCATTTCCTCACTCAACGAGCTCCCTTCCTCCTCGACGAAGGCCTCCACATCCACCACTGACTCCAAGCTGATCTTGTTCTTCTCCGCCCAAGCTCGCACCTTGCTTTTGTTCACCACAATACTCCCACTGGCAGTCTTCCTGTTCTCCAGTACATCCATCTCCTTCAACGCAGCCACAACATCATCCGTCATGATCCATGTGTCCTCGCTGACCTCCTTGATGCTCACTGTCTTCTGCTTGGAGCAACCAAGTATGTACCTCGCAACTTCTCCACACCAATACGTCAAATATCCTTTCCTTCCCAGTGTGCTCAAAGGCCTCTCCGGTCCACCGAATCGTCCTTCTCGCTTTCCAAGCACGTACGAAGCGCTCATCAGCACTTGACCTAGCCCACGACGCTGATATGGAGGGAATATGAGTATGCAGGCGAGATTGTTGTTATCCCAAGACATCTTCTCTTTGCTGAAGAAGCCTGCTACTTGGCCGTAGGGACGTTCAACTGCGTTGGCGGATTTGAGGACGAGAGTGTAGTAAAGGAATGTGGAGGCATCGAAGAAGACTGACTTGGTTTCGAGGAAGAGCTTGGCAAAGAGGGAGAGGTTCTGGCAGTAGAGCTGTACTCTGATCAGTATGGAGCTTGTGTGCCTTATGGAGGGATCTTCACTTTGTACTCCTCTCCATCAACCTTGTGAATGACAAACTCATCTTGCTCGTATATCACCTCGCCGTACGGAGCTTCGTGCTTCATCGGGCAGACTTTCTATCTCAATCAGCTCTCATCCTATCCAACGCTCCTATCCGGGGGCCTTTCCACGTACGCAATGTGCACTATACTTCATGATCTCCGGCGTATACTTGAAGCACCATTGGCAAACGTAGAGCCAATCTGTTTTCCTTCCTCCCACCAGATCTTCGGGATAGAAAGAGGGAAACCATGGCGTGATGTGAAGGTTTCCCAGCACGACGTTCGCGACGTTCTTCGTCATTGGTTGCTTGTTAGGTGTTCGAAGTGGTGATGTTACTCCTAGTGGCGCAGTCGCGACGATATCGTCGGTGACGGCCATGGCGGAATGTCGCTGTCGCGCGCCTTCCCGGCGCGTTTACATGCTTCTGCTCGACGCGTGCTGTTGACGCGAGTGGTGAAGTGAGGTTGAGGGGTGAGAGTGTGACTAAGCTGCATAAAGTTGTGAAAGGGGGGTGTCGCTCTTCCTTCGCGCTTCTCGTCTAGCATTCACTTGACATTGGCATCACATGCTTAGTCGAAAGCGTCCCAGAGATTCTACCGTACTTCATCCCGCGGTCAAGTCTTGCATGCTGATGTCTTGGCCTGACTTGCTTTACCTTTAGATATGACTTCCTCGGCAATTCATACCGTCTTCGGGCGAATTTACAGGTCATCGTTGTTCAGGAGTCTCAGAGTCTATGGAATACGTGCTGTGGATGATGGATAATCCTCCCAGAGACGTATCCACGCCTCGTTGACCAGACTATGCCAGACTTCTGTTCCGCGAGCATCACCCTACCAGCTCGGTCTGTCATCTGGCCAGCTCACCTGAGAAATGCTTTCCACAATGGCAGATTACCGTATCGGGTCCAAGATTTCCCGGCATCGATAGCATCCCAGGAATCTGAAGTTTTCGACCATTGACCTCGCCCGATGAGCGCTACATCGCTAGAAGATTACGTCCTTACTTATCTCGTTTCTCCCATCCAGGTAGTAGAACGGTTTACGGCGGATATAGTTGATTGCAATGGAAAGCATTACTGCATGAGTTTATTGCAAAGCTTGCGTTTACACGATCGGATGCAACTTCCGCCGCCAGACGGTTTCCAGGATCGTGCCCCTCAATGCGACAGGAAGAGTGAGAAATTATCGAAGCCACAAGGACTGATCCCAGACGTGTAAGCCTTGCTACATCGGTAGCTTGGACTGTCAATGCACCGCATATAGGAGTCAGCGTATCCGTTGCCATAAGAAGTGCCCTCTCTCCGATATAGAGCCTCGCAAGGTAGATCGAGAACCTCATAATGACTCCACAGGTCTTCTTCGTGACGGGCAGCAGCACTGGCTTCGGCAACGAACTAGTCAAGAGAGTTCTGGATGAAGGGGACGCCGTTATCGCTACTGCAAGACAGTCATCCAAGCTCCAATTCCACAATGCAAACAAGAACAATTATCTGGCCGTCGACTGCGATGTGACAGACGAAGCGTAAAGCCGCCTTTGAAAAGGATCACTGAGACATTCATCTACTGATACTGCCAGCTCCATCGAAAATGCCTTCTCCAAGGGCCTTGCTCACTTCGGCCGAATTGATGTTGTTGTTAACAGTACACAATCTGATACCTTTACAATGATCTCCAAACATCCCAACTGACGCAGCAGTAGATGCCGGCTACGGCCTGGTCGGAGCCTTCGAATCCCTCACCGACGCCCAAATCCGCCACGAATTCGAAGTAAACTTCTTCGGCCTCGTAAACGTCACGCGTAAAGCACTTCAAGTCATGCGTGACCTTAACAAAGAGCCCCAAGGAGGCAGGATCTTGCAAATTTCGAGTATCGCGGGACATGTCGGACTCCCTATGACGAGCATGTATTGTGCTTCGAAGTGGGCTGTGGAGGGCTTTACGGAGAGTGTGAGGAATGAGATACTGGATGAGTATGAAGCGCTTCCAACAGAGGAAGACGAGGCGGGAGCTGAAGACTGATTTGGTCGTGGCAATAGATGGAACATCCACTTCACTCTCATCGAACCTGGCAGTTTTCAGACGGATTGGTTAGGGCGCAGTATTGTCATGGCCGACGAGCACCCGGCCTATCCACACCTGCCAGCCCGCCAAGTGTGGGCCGACATGAGAGGGAAGGAACCAGGTGATACAGTCAAGGCCGCCAAAGCTTTCTGGGATATAGCAAAGTTGGAAAAGCCTCCTCTCAGGATATTGCTAGGCAGTGATGCGGTAGCTTTCATGCAGAAGAAGTTGAAAGTTTATGGAGAGTGGGTTGAAGAATGGGGACCGTTCGCGAAGGCGATGGACAGGCAGAAGACTGACCAGAAAGCCGGGAATCCGCTGGATTGGAAGATGATATAGAGAGGAGATGGAGGTGATGTAGAGGTGAAGTCGAATGAAGGACTGAGGCGGAAGCCGAATGCGAATCGCAGTCTCCTCTCTTTCTCTATCCCTGAACAAAAGTCAAAAGTACAGTGGTATCTTCGCCATCTTCCAGATGAACGCCTGGAAATGCTCAACCTCTTCCCATCCGTTTTTGAACGCCGTTACTGATGCAGATCGGTGACATCGTCGCAAGCCCCTACTGTTCTGTAGTAAGTACCATCTTCTCTCTTTCGCTACGCCGCTTCTGCTTGTCGCGAGAGTGCTTCCTCTCACTCTCCTGCCTCCTCTTCAAAGCCTTTAGTTCTTCTGATTTGATCTCACCGGCCTTCTTTACCACCTTCGGTACATGCCTGTGTCTAGCAATGCGGTTGAGCTCCGGCATATGCTTCCACTTTTGCTTTAGCGCTTCATCGTATTCCCTCTTTTGCCTCTCCCGAGCAGACTTGACGCCGCTTCTCTCGCTCGCATTCGCACGCCAGATGCGGACATTACCATCGTCTGAGCCAGAAAGCACATATGTAGAGTCGCCGGTGAACGTACACGAGAAGACACGCTGCATCCGCTTTGTGTGATAGATGTCGCGACTGTGACCTGATCTTTGCGGATTCCAAAGACGGATGCTGCGATCGTAGGAGGCCGAGACGAGCTCCTGACCGGTAGGGCTAAAGTCGACATCCATGACGGCTGCAACATGATCCTTTAGGACGTTGAGAGCTCGCTTGAGGTTGCGAGTGTCGAAGAGGTAGATGTTGTGATCCTCATTGGCAAGGGCTAAGTTGAACGGTTCGATTGGATTCCAGGCGATGCTGTTGCTGGACATCGTTAGGACGCTGCGGTGAAGTGGTGATGATGTTCTGAGATCGTAGAGCACAAGCGAGCGGTCAGTCGCGCATGAGGCAAGAAGTGAAGTCTCGGACTGATTGAACGCGAGGGCATTGATTGTGTCAACACTAGTTGGCCATGCGAGCGACTGCGTTGGTGTTGTCGAAGGCCGTGACAGATCGTAGAGCTGGATGGCGGACGCAGAAGCGGCAGCAAACGCAGGCTCATTCCGATGCAGCGTGAGCCCAGTAAAAGCATTCGATCCCAACCAAGTCGCAGTCGGCGGACTCTTTCCCGGCGTGTTGTATGGATCGAACAGCTTGACCGTCCGATCTGTCCCGCAACTCAGCAGCTTCCGATCTTGAGTCCAGCACATTCCCTTCACCAGATTCTCGTGCGCTTGTGTCTGCCATACCTCATCTCGACTAGGGAGATCCCAGACTTTCAGCACTCCGTCACCACTGCCACTCGCAAATCGGTCCAGAGCCTTCGGATCTCTTGCAATTTGGTATACTCCGTCGACGTGACCTCTTCCCAGTTGGGCGACGAACGGCGCCGCGAACATGCGCTCGAGTTTTACAGCATTCAGTGCTCTTGTATATTCTCTCGCCCGCTCGAAAGGGTGCAAGGCAGGATCGAGGTTCCTAGGTTGGCGAGCGACATCGCTGCCGGGAGTCTGTATCGAGCTCGACGAGCGGGATAGTGCTTTGATTTTCTGTTGAATAGTCAGTATATTCGTGAGATCCGGAGCATTATCGATACATACCATGTTGGATCCATAGGGAAGCAAAAATTGAGAATCGCAGAATCGCCTTCGAGAATTTGGTGGAGACGGATTTAAGCTCATGCGGCTCTGCGGATATAGCCGAGAGCTTGTCGATCAGCACCGATGAGATCGCGTGTGCTTTGGTTGCCTCCAGAAACATCAACCAGCACGCACCACAACCTCCATCTGCGGCCTTCACCTGCTCCGGACATCAGCAGAACCGTCTTCACTTGACAATAGATTGGCACGAGAATCACGATGGCGGCAGAGGACAATGCTAAGCGGATAGAAGAGGCGAAGAAGCTGGCCAAGGACCAGCCCAACAAGGCCGAGCAGATCTACAAGGACGTGCTATCAAAGCCACCGGGCTCCAACGACAAGGCAGTGCGGGAGTTCGAGAATGCTCTGATGGGACTTGGGGAGCTATACCGGGATCAAAAGCGAACACAAGACCTTGCCGACCTCATCCAACAAACAAGAGATGTCTTGACTTCGTTCGCAAGAGCGAAGACCGCGAAGCTCGGTATGTCAATTCGTGGTGACGAATGTGATTTCTATGCTGACTTGTGACAGTGCGCCAGTTGCTCGACCTCTTCACCACCATCCCAAACACCATCGAGACCCAGATCAGCGTCACCAAATCCTGTATCGATTGGGCGGTCTCTCAGCGGCAAGGCTTCCTCCGCCAGAACCTCGAGGTTCGATTAGTTGGTCTGCACATGCAGACACAATCGTACTACGATGCCCTCACACTCATCAACAGCTTGCTGAAGGAGCTGAAGCGTTTGGATGACAAGCTGGTTCTGGTGGAAGTGCAGCTGTTGGAGAGCAGAGTCTACCACGCGCTGGGCAACGTACCCAAGGGAAGAGCAGCGTTGACAGCCGCAAGAACGAGCGCAGCATCAGTATACACACCTCCACTCTTGCAAGCTGGCCTGGACATGCAATCAGGACAGCTCCACGCCGAGGATGGCGACTTCAACACGGCATTCTCCTACTTCATCGAAGCCATGGAGGGATACCACGGCCTGGACGAGTCTACCAAGGCTACATCCGCACTCCAGTACATGCTGTTGTGCAAGATCATGCTCAACCTCAAGGACGACGTCGACTCGCTGATGACCTCGAAGCACGCCATCCGGTATCAAGGCAAGAACTTGGACGCCATGAAAGCCGTCGCCCGCGCACACAACAACCGAAGTCTGGAAGAGTACGAGCAGGCACTGCATGCTTACCGATACGAGCTTGGAAGCGACCGATTCATTGCATCTCACCTTCGTCGACTCTACGACAGCATGCTGGAACAGAACCTCATCAAAGTCATCGAGCCTTTCTCGCGCGTCGAAATCAGCCACATCGCCCAAATGGTCGGCCTTGATGTCGGCCAGGTGGAGCGTAAGCTGAGCCAGATGATCTTGGACCGGGTCATCATTGGTGTTCTGGACCAAGGCCGCGGTGTGTTGGAGGTATTTGAGGAGACGGAGCGAGACAAAGGCTACGATGCGGCACTCGACACGATCGATAAGCTGGGCAGCGTTGTGGATGTGCTCTACGCCAACCAAGCAAGTCTGCTGGAGTAAGCAAGTCGTCCTCACTTTGAAGCGTCAGAAGGTCACACTAGCTGTCATGTACCATAGTGAGAAGCCTCGATAGAGCGAGCAAGCAGACATCGAATGTATGAAATCCAAATGCAGGACCTCGCTGTCACGTGAAGGGAGGAGTCGATTCGCTGGTCACTGCCACAAAGAGGTTAGTCTCGGCCGATGACGCATACCTCCGACCCCCGTGGACGGACCCGATTTGCCCCAAGAGCTTTATATTAGCTTTTTGTGAGGGCATTCAAACATCACCATCCCCACGGTCGCACAAACCTTTCCACCTACAACACAAGCTGTACAACTTTCGACCATCTCCAATCCATCCAGAACAACCACCGCATACCCTTCAAGAGACGATAAGATGTTCAAGCGAGTACTCGCCACGGTTCCTGCGCAGGCCAGCCAGGCCGTCCGTGTCGCCGCAACCAGCACCGCTCGCCCACAGTTCGCCCGCAGCATCGCGCCCGCAACTCAACAATTGACGTCGCGACGAAGCTACCACGAGAAGGTGCTCGACCACTACAACAACCCACGCAATGTCGGTTCGATGAAGAAGAACGACGTGGATGTCGGCACTGGACTCGTGGGTGCGCCCGCGTGTGGAGACGTTATGAAGCTGCAAATCAAGGTCGGAAAGAACGCGCAGGGAGAGGATCTCATTGAGGATGTTAAGTTTAAGACATTCGGATGCGGATCTGCTATCGCTTCGAGTAGCTACTTGACTGAGCTTGTGAGGGGTATGACTTTGGAGCAGGCGGGCAAGATTCGGAACACGGAGATTGCGAGGGAGTTGTGCTTGCCTCCTGTGAAGTGTAAGTTGGGCGTAGAAACAAGACGATGATCACGAGAGATGATTGCTGACGGTAATTGTGATAGTGCACTGCTCCATGCTTGCGGAGGACGCGATCAAGAGCGCCATCAACAACTACTACACCAAGAACCCCAAGGCCCGCGCAACCGACCTCGGCGGTACCGGCGCAGCCATGCCCAAGATTGAAATCGAAAAGGTTCCTGGATCGGGAGCTGAGGCACCTGCATCGGCGTAGAAAGCCGTCGGATGTGAGAAATGCGGACATATGTGGGAGGACGAGTTGAGACTGTGATGATGTTTGCTCTTTAGCGTTCTTTCTTTGTTGCACATATTCGGCGTAGATGGGGATGTATGAGGGAAAGATTGCCTACTGCCTTGTATACCTACTGGTCTTGAGGATGACATGTTGGGCACTTTCTCGCCTCCATTGGGACTGGGGAGGAAATGTAGACCGACCTGGTGAGTCGGGTTAGTTACACTATCGTTATGGTAGCTGGGAAGAAACGACAATCCTCTGTCAGCACTCCACCGACGTTCGTTGGTTTTCCGGTTTCCGATCAGACGCCGGGCAATAATGAGCTGGCCTACTGTACGCAGCAGGATGCGCCCCAACGGCCGGCATTGCAGGCGGTGAGGTGTGGGCCAGAACATCCCCATCTTCCCTTCCCCCCGCTCCCCTCGCAATACCTGCCCGAGTCGAGTCACCAAAGTATCCATGGCATTGGTGTCGTCCGTACTACTACTGCGGCAGCTACAAGAGGACACCGCATCTTCTATCTATCGATCTATTCAACCCTGCACACACACACACACACACACACACACATACGGGATAGAGAACCCTAACCCTTGGCTCTGCTGCGCTGCGTGCGTGCTGCATATAAGCCTTATCATGGCAATTGTGACTGTACCGTGACCGTACCATGTCCCCAAGACAGGAGACCAGGTAGGTAGGTATCTAGGTACCTGTAGGTAAGGCAAGGTGTCGAAAGCGGTAACCCGATAAATTATAAGTTACTTTGTCGAATGTAGCAGTCACCACCACTACTATGCTATGACTATGACTATGATAGATACATATATCCGTCGTCGGACCGATCTCTCATTTATCAGGCCACCACCACCTCTTTTTGTTGTAGTAAGTAATAGCGTGATAACCGAAAAAGGATACAGGAAATCTCCCCGCGTCCATGTATACTTGCTTACTTGCTTGTTTGCTTGCTCGGGGTTTGGCTATCATCCGGGGCGGAGGATGAGCGGGATGCTTCGGCGTGTCTTACTCACTCGGAGGATCGCGACGTGAAAGGGCGGAGTGCGGGCGTTTGGGGTATCGATCGATACCTACATGTACATGTATCCATTGACAATGAATTGACTATTAGGGGGGGCATGAAAATCATTATACAGAGGAGAGGGATGCATGCGGAGAATAATAGATACAGGTTTTGACGATGATGGTGATGGTGGAATTGCTTTCTCAGCCCATCCGCGGGAGAGGAGGAGAAATGCTTCTCTTCGATAGATAAGATAGCTGATAGCTACATCGCTGTTTCCCGTGTAAGAATTGATACCTCCCTCGAAACAAAAGACTTGCACGCCACAGAATTATAGTCCCGTTCATTGTTGGAGAGATCAGCAGAGTAGATTCCCGAAGATAACTTTACATGTACATCTGATAAAACGCCTTTGGTTGGTTGCCGTTTTCCCCCATTTCCGATGTCCCAGAATTAATTGAAATCACTCCGCTTTGTACGCCTTTCGTAGTCGTCGTTGAATGGTAGTGATGCCTTTGATTTGATGATGAGTCAAGAGTAATGTTCGATCCGAACTTGCACTGGCTGGCTTCCGTGACGAACCGGAAGCGGGATATCTTAAAAAGTTTTTCGTCTTGCTTCGCTTCCCTTCGCTTCGCTTTGCGTTGATGGTGATGATGATGGATGTCGGTCGATTGAGATTTTGTTTGTTTGTTTGATCGCTGTAGTATAGGACCGGAAATGCTCGAGGCCAGCTCGGTCTTTATCCCCGTATGCCGTAGACGGACGACGGTCTTGATTCTCGTGGAGAGGGAGGTGGAGGGGCGGTTTCGTCTTTGCTTGGTCTCCGTAGGGAGAGTTCGTTTCGGGGCTTGGTGGCGGATTCTTTGAGAGCCTTGGTGAGGTCCTCGGCGGAGAAGGAATCGTTGCGCGGGATGGGTGAGGTCCGCGGTGGCATGGGCATGGTGTCCGTCATGGTTGAGAGTGTGGTCTTGGTCTTGGAAGGAGGGGATGTGGTCGGGTGGAGAATGGGTCTGTTCTGTTCTCTTCGGAGAGCGAGACGATGATGTGAGGTGTGAGGGATGGCGTGTGTTGAGCAAGACGAAGAGAGTCGGAGGGAGAGAAAAGGGAGGCGTTCGGGTTAAGTAGCACGCTTGCACGCCTCGTATGCAACTCACTCACCTACCTTGCCTTGCCTTGCCTCAGCACTGACCGTGGACACTTGTCTGACCTTCCCATAAGGCATGGAAGCGAACGGAGAGCCGGGTTGGGGGAGGATGGACCAAGGAACGCGTCAAACGAGACACACACACCGAAATCTGGAGAAGAGATGTGAGATGCAAGCCACCTCCACACACACCCAAGACACCCACCCACGGGAACTCCTTCCCGCTCGCCGCGCGGTTGGGATTGGCGCCTCACTCCCTTGCTGGACTGGACAGTGTGTGAGGTGTGTTCCACGCCCAAGATTTCGTGACGGCGCTGTTGCCCCATGGCTCGCCAGCACTCACCGACTATTAATTTATCCACTTATCGGGAATCAAGATTGATTGAAAGTGCGAAATGTTGCAGGGTTGCGTGCATGAGATCTGCGCTCCCCGGTGCCTTAACTCCCACACCTCCCACACCTCCCACACTCCTCCCACACCGCACTCCCTCGCCTCGGGATATCATCAGCATCATCATCATCATCATCAGCAGAATGGACGCCTCAGCTGTCGTGCGTGAGATCAAACACGCCACGTCTCCTCTGCTGCTTGTCGGTCTGTCAGGCTCTGGGCGGCGGCACGAGTCACGAATCGCGGCCGCTGATGAGCAGGAGTGGGCGGAAACCAGTCCTGCGGCCGCACAAAACAAACAAAACACGAGGCGCGACGAGCATCTCCGTGTGCAAACAACCCGAAGACAATAAGGTAATAATCCTCATCACGTCGTCTCGTCTCGATAAACACTCGGCCAAGTTTTGCAGCCTCTCGGTCCGTCGTCTCCACCCCCACGAAGTCAATCGGCTTTTTGGCTTGCGGCCGGAAGCAAGGCCCCGCGGAGGCACGTCCCGCCGGGCCGGGAGCTGCTGCCACAGTTGGCATCCCCCTTCCTGCGTGTGCGTGATACGAACCGCCCATGTCGTCTTCGTTATTATTGATGACTCGTAATCAGCGGATACCGTTGTCCCGTTCGCCCCAGTTCGAGAACTGTTGACTGCACATCCCCAGTGGTGGCACCGCTCGGCGACAACACCGCACCGCACCGCCCAGATGCGGATCGCGAGATATACTATCGGATGCTTTTTCAGGACGTTCCTATGAATTGCTGTTTCGACTAAAGACGTTGGCGCACGTATGGCTGTCCACGGAGGTCATATCGGACTCCATTCCTACCTCTTCTTCTTACCCGCCGTCCAACACACACCGCCAGCAGCCAGGAACCATTCCTCCATCGGCTCCTCATCTTCGGCATCCACGACTCGCTCATACGGCCCGACCTGATACGTTCTCCTCTTCCTTGCACATGCTCCCTCCAGGCCCAACCTGGATTTCGGTCTCGCTCTCCGCTTCCTTCCCAGCTGCCGACCCGGGAGGCATGAGATTTCCCCGGATTCTGGAGAAGGGTCTTCCTGGTCGAGGGCCTGGAGCCGGATTGCGGTTGCTGATGATCGCGATGCCTCTTTTCATGAGACACTTCTGGCCATCGCGTGGTGGCTGGTGTGTCATCACGCCTGGGCTTGGTCAGCCGCAAAGCAGGTTTCCAGTGCGACTTCTTGCACCTTTGGTGTCGAGGTGAAGCTGTGATGTGTCGGTGCCGAGATTAGGCTTCTTGATGCCGTGCGCGATGGTCTGCTGACACGGCTAGACCATTCTCGGGAGCTTTCGCGAAGCCGATGGTGGTAGCATTTCTGCTCCTCAGGCAGCTCGCATCCACGCGTCGATTCTCTGCTCGATGTTCGGGTGATGGAGCCAAGACATGTCGTCGTATTGGCCTTCTTTGACCTTGCCCTCTGCGACGAGTCTTTGCCTCTCAGCCTCGGGTAGTCGGACCACATTCGCGGAATTCTCAGTCCAATCAACGACGGCATCGATTCTTTCCTGGCGCATCTGCTGCCAAAATGCAAGAGCTTTCGTCGCGTCATCGCCTGCCTTCAAGGAAGAAAGCAAGTATGTGATGGAATAGACGTCTTCCAAAGCCTGGTTCACACCTTGGCCCGAACTAGGAGGCACAGCGTGCGCTCCATCGCCCACCAATATCACCCTCCCACCTTCACTAAACCATCTCTCCAGCTTTGGCATCTTCAGGAATGGCCAAATGTACAACGTCTCTTTGTGTTTCACCACACTATCGATGATCTTCCTGGCAGTCTCTCCGTATTCCTCATAGTTCTCTTGAACGAAGCCCGCCAATTTGTCGCGGTCGCCTTGTAATGCTTCAAGGTCTTGACGAGATTGCTGAGGGTAGTGGAATTGCTTTCCTATCATCAGATCTTTGCCTTCGGGATCCTCGGCAATCCACAATATCGCTCCTGGCTTGGACTGGATCGTCGCGTTCTTTTCGTAGTCTTCATACGGCCATTCCACGGACGCGTAAGGGATATGCGAGAGGATGGCCATGAGACCGGTGTATTCGGGTCCAACGGTAGGCGCAACATACTTCCTCACAGAGCTGTAGATTCCGTCGGAGCCGATGAGGAGCGAAGCGGTCTGCTCCTCATCATTGATTCTGAACGCGACTCCTCGCTCCGCATTCTCGGAGACGAAACCATTGAATCTGGAGCCATAATGCACCGGCACGCCCCGCTCCTTCAGCATCGTCCTCATCTCGTCGAGCAGCAGACTTCGCCAGATCCTATGATTCCGAAACCCATCCGGCCCGAGCTCGCCGTGTTCGACTTTCTTCGTCGTTTCATCCTGGTCGTTCTTCAGAATGCGGTGCGTGGGAACGTAGCAGCGGTCTTTGATCCGGGAGTAGATGCCCAGGTTATCCAGGACTCGGAGGCCGTTGGGCGTGAGGAGCACTCCCGAGGCGATGCCGCTGAAACCCCCCGGGGTCGTCGACTCCGGGCGTGCTTCGTAGACGGTGACGGGTATGTTCTTTTGGGCGAGAGCGATGGCTAGAGTACAGCCCTAATAAATGACACGACCTGTTGTTAGTTCCTTTGGTATCAAAAATGTCGGATTCACAGAGGTGAGTGCACTGACGCCGAGTCCCGCTCCGATTATGGCTACGTTCTGCAGCAATTCCGGCATGACTGATTGATTTGATTGATTGATTGATTGAATGAAGATGTGTGTGTGACCTCTCTCTCGAGCACCTCTGCTCTGCTCCGTCGAGTCGAAGTCTAGGAACACTGAGGTGAACGTAGGATGTATATCTCGAGAGGCTGGGTTTTCTTCTCCACGGAATGATGGAAGAGCAGAAGAATAAGGGCGTCTTATTATGACAGAGGTGAACATAAGGTATAGCTAGCTTCTAGCGCCGGATTTAATCGGCGGGAATTAGGTACCGTGGTACGAGACCTTCCATGCATGTACATGTATGCACATGCACTACTGACGTCAAGCGGGTGGGTAGATGGGTGTTTTTTTTTTTCGACTGCTTCCGATTTCAACAGTGGGGAAAGATTACTTGCTTTCCGCAACGAGATCTGCCGGGATGGAAGGAGGAATTTGTAGTGTAGAGAGACGGAAGTGAGGTTGACACTCGGGGAAAACATCGATTGGACGGCCGCCGGGCGAGGTGGACTTCACATGTCAATTCCACCCCGCGGCCCTATGCCGCCCTCCCACCTCCCCCTAAACATTCGTCACGAACTTCGAAGAGTGGTGATTGAGACCACAGAAGGACATGAACAACAAGACACATGCGAGTCTTGAGGATCAGGAACATGCTCCGGATGCCCATGTCAGCTGGCATACATACGTTTGACGCGCAGCGTCTGCTCATCACTCCCGCGGGTATCCACAGGGCAAGATTAAATACGGCGGATGTCTCTTTTGCGAAAGCTATCAGGTCGAAGCTGAGGGGGCTTTATAGAGGGTTGTTGCGCAAAATGATACAGAAAGATGCGGACTTTTGCATAGACTGAGTGGTTTTAGAAGAGACCGCCGGTATTTGGAGCTAACATCGCTCGCTGGCTCCTCACCCATCTTGTGGTCTGGCGGAGTCGCTGCTGCCACGTTACCTCCTCGCCACGAGGATACCGACGGCGGCCAATAATGGGAAACCCGGACGCGGACCTACAACCTTAGGAGGGTTTTCTTGCTTGCGATCATGATCAGCGTCGCAATCACGGACGGTCATTCATGAACATACCTTACCTGGCGTCCGCGTCTTGCCTGTGCTGGAGATAGCGGTGGACGTGCTCTTTGCAGGGGGCTTCATTTTCACTCCCTCCTGCTTCACGCGGTGATGGGATCAACAGTCGATGCAACTACTGTCTTTCGCACGCAACCTTCACAACTAATAGTGGCGGCTGGTCCAATTTCGGATTTTACAATCCTCACCGTCCAGCCATTTGCCCTACACTGCATATTCGGATCCGATAGAACCGCACATGCGGCGGAGGAGGGCCAAGATAGTGTCGCTCAATATCCCCCCGGAGGCATTAATCTCCTCGTATGCTTTTTCGGCGCCGTGACTGGACTTGGGACGCTGATACTGTCCAGCTGGGTTCTGCTACATCAAGGAAGAAGCCCTCACCAGTACGTACCGTCAGGCTTGAAGTTTCCGCTCGACTCTGTGCTCGTCGTCCAGGTGTCCGTCGCGCTCCTGAATCTGATCACGCTGAGAGGTAAGGTAAGGTAGTCTTCCAAGCCATCGTGAGCATGACTCTCATCGCCTTTGGCGGGACGTAGATTGCATGGCAGCCATCGCAATAGCACAATGCTTTTTTTTTCTCTCAGAACTCATCCCCCTCACCGCAGTTCCTACCTGTCCATCCGCATCCTCATCTGGCGTCGTCTGCGCGGGCCTCTTCTTCCCGCTCGATGGTAGTCAGGGAACTTCGGCCTTACCATGAACCAGTGAACGGAGCTAAGAAAAGACTTCGAAGAGATCTTGTCGAGCTCCCGAGCACTTCTGATGCTCAGGGCTATCGACGGAAAGCTGCGACAACGCCACCACGATGAAAACTACGGCTAATTGTATTGATTGTATCGCTGCAGTTACGGCAGTCACGAGCAGTGAAATCAACTCATGTGGCTCCTCGAAGCTCAATTTCGACGCGTCATGTCGAACTCGGCCGAGAAGACCAGGGATTCGACATCCAACAGCACTTCGTTCTAGACGTGCGTGCGTGATGATGAAAGAAGGTAGCAAGGCTACAGCGCGGTACTAAGTAAGTATCCAACCTTGAAAAGGAGCTGACACTTTGCTGAAAAGTTGCCAGTATGTTTGACTTGTTGTGGGTAAAGGCCGTCGACGGTCATGTTTCTCTTCCCAGGTACTCGCACTGCACGTACGCAGACGAGGAAGTCGTGGAGGTGGAGTCTTATGATCCAGGACAGGGCAGTACGCGCGAGCGAGCATGTCGGCTGGATGAGGATGAATGTGTGTGACAACTCGCGATTCGCACCTCCATCCATCCATCCATCCTCCTCTGTGAAGGAAAGAAAGGTGAGAGGAGCTGGCTTCTCGAAAAGCCGCCAGAAATATCCGCGATCTGACAACGAGCGACGCATTTCTCTACAACTTGACATTACTACTCGCATTTTCATTCCGGCTTGTCAACAAGCTGGTGACAAGTCAGCTAGCGGGGTTCAACCCGCTTTCACATGCATTGCCAAGTGATCGGCCCGAGATTCTGCCGATTCGACTCGACGCTGCCCTCAGGGGAGGCACACGAAAACCAGCTTCGAATTCCAAAGCCAGCCTAAGCAAAGATATCTCTTTCCCACGCTAGCAATTCATCTATCTCAAAAGCCTTCCATTCGAAATGTATTCCGCGACGCGAAAACCGCCGTTCGTTGTGACCACTTTCTTCATTCTAGACGAGTTGACAGTCAGAAGGTTGCGGACCTCGGCCAGTACCACGACGGCAAGTGGGGAATATGTCGTATATTGACGTGTCTATGGAGATGATGAGGAGGAGAGGCTAGAGTAGATTGATCAACGCAATGAGTACGTCCAACGTGGGGCATTTCCGGGAAACGACATTCGGAACTTATGTTGGACGCTTTGGTCTGGACTGTCAAAGAGGAGGACAAGGAGAAAAGCTGGATGGCGCCACCAAATATTAGACTCAAGGGTGAGTAGATGAGCTCGCCACACGCACGAGAATTTTGAAATGGAGCTCATAAGATACGACGGGCATTTCAAGGAATGGGTTAGCTTCCGTAGGTGGCTCTACCACGTAAGTAAGAGCACTGCGTTTCCGCCGATGAGGAGTGGTCGAGGCAGTCCTAGCGGGAAAAGATCTGCTTCTTAGACATTCGGCGCCGTGCTTAGGTCTGAATCCTTGACGAGTACGAAGAAAAGAGCTGCCAAATTCCACGGCTGACGATGTTCCCGATGATGAGATTCGACTTACTCGTTTCCACTGGTGCCCATAGCATACATATCGCCTGTTGCAAGAGGGTGGATGGCATCTCCCATACAAAAGATCACCAGTGATAATTGCTAGGGGTTGTAGAAGGCTCTGAACACGATGGATTGGCGCCTACGACTTGGTGATGGTGTGGGGTCTGGTGTTGTACGGTAGCTTCTCCGGCTTGTTCGTGATACGTCCTCATCCGGCTGGGTAATACATACTAGATGTGGGTCGAGACTGCAGGCTGAAGGTTGGGGCTATGAGACTTGATCGAACGGCATCGGGCACTTTCTCCAATACACCAATGCTTCTACCGGTGATGGTTTGCGTCCGAGAAGCCGGCCTTGGAGAAACGTATCTTCAATTTTCACTTAGACTATCTACATTTGTCGATATCCTTCCGCCTCACTGCAGCCCCGGCGTATCCCCAATCTTAAAGACATACTTAACTGCACTGGCCGTGCCATCCTTCAACTTCTCCAAAGCCCCCTCAATCCCCTCCAACCCACCCTTCACAACCTCCTGCGGCTGCGGCTTGAACCAGCCTTCCTCCAATCCTCTCGTGATATACCTACAAAACACGAACCCGAAATCCTTATTCTTGCCATGGACATCTCCGACTCTAGTTTCGCTCTTTTGGATCGAAGCGGGGATATCGGAGTAATCTTTTCCTGGTAGGACGAGGGTGATTTTTCCGCCATTGGGGTCGAGGACGCGGCAGATGTTCTGGTAGGAGTTCTTCTCGGAGACGGCGTCGTAGGCGTGGTGGAGTTTGGCGCCTTTGAGGGCGGTCTGGATGCCTTGAGAGACGGCGTCGTCGCCTTGGCGGTAGTCGATTATGGTGTCGCCCTGTGAGGGAGGTTAGCCATTGAGTGTTGGCAGATTCGGGGATGTTGGGTTTCGCATTACCTTCGAACGATCGATGAGCTTTTCGACGTGCGACTGGGCTCTACCGGCGACGCAGATGAGAGGATGGATGTTGGCTTGCGTAGCGAATTGGACGACGTAAGAGCCAACTGCTGAAGACGCTCCATAGACAACCAAAGGGATCGACTCGTTCGCTGGAGACCATGGCTGCGGGAGGTTGAGCCTGTCCTCCGCGAAGAGACCAAGAGCTGCGGTCAGAGCGGCTAGCGGGATAGCAGCACCGGCTGTGCCATATCAGTATCTTCCCATTGCAAAGTCCCGACAGGATTCTCACCTTCAAAGCTAGTATTCTTCGGCAAGAAGAACGTGGTATGATCCCAGCTTAATCCATATTCGGCGTACGATCCTCCCGGTTTCATCATCTCATGGAAAGCAGCCACGCGGTCGCCCTTTTTGAATTCCGTCACTCCTTCTCCTACTTCGTGTACGATGCCGGAGATATCGTCGCCTTGGTTCATTGGAGCGGCATCAGGCACCCATTCTGGGATTTTCCTGTGAAGCGTGATGATCAATGGGTGCTTGAAGAGTATCGTACAGCATTGAATAGTGCACTCACCAGTCCTTTGGATTGCTGCCAGAGTATTCGATCTTGGTCACGACCTGGCGCGGTCCTGGCTTTGGGATATCGACATGCCGGATGGTGACCTTGGGGCCTTTGTCGACGATTGCTTCCTTCATGGCGGATGTTTGTTTGATTTGTTGGTGTCTGTCAGGTCTGATGAGATGGTTTATGTAGAGTAGGAGGTTCGTAGAGAGAGCTGACAAATGTACTTGGCCTTTGTGCTATGCTTTGCAGGAGGAGTAGCTTTATTCATCAGGCGGGGACGCTTTCACAGCTTTGTGAAGACTTATTCACGGGGCATGGAACCGCATTGAACATTGATGAGTGGGAATGATGCCATCCGGTGGAGTTGAGCTTCTAGCTCGACTCGGTGCGGTTCGGCTCGGGCCGGACCCTAGGATGGTAGTATCCGCCATCACCAGCTCGAAGCCGGGACTTTCCGATACCAGATACCAACGAGGGTCACTTGACGTCTGTAAGCTCTTTCCACCTTTCTCTTTTGCTTCGGCTTGCGGCTCAGTCGACAATGGCGTCCGCGCAAGGCGTCCGTACTGATGAATGAACAACGTCATCCACAGCGCCAGCAACCGACTGCAATCGGAACTACATCTGACCCAGGATCGCCATCTCGGGATCCGTAAAACTCGCGCCCAGCCCATCATAATCATCAACTCTCCTCATCCTTCTCTACCGCCCGTCCTCTCCCGGTATACTTGGTCGTCTCAATCATATTCAGCTCATCCTCCTTCGCATCCAGCCCCCTCCATGTAAACCAAAACCCCGCGCCACCCACAAAAGCCAGAATAGCAACCGTAGCATAATTCCACGTCAAGAGCGGGTCTTCGGCGAGAGGAACCAATGCCTGTCCGATCGCGGCCGCAAACGCATTCTGGACGAGATTGACGCCCATGACGAGCCCGCGCATATTCTCGGGCGCTTTGGAGAAGGCGTATTCGAGACCGGTGATGGATGCGAAGATTTCGGAAAAGGCGATGAGGCAGTAGGGGACTGCTTGGATCCACACGTTCAGGGGGGATTCGCAGCCTGTGCCGCTGCTGACTTCTGAAGAGGGACAGGGCGAGGTTTGGTAGATGTAGTATTGGATGACGGTGGAGGAGATCATGGCAGCGGAAGCGATGAAGAAGCCTGGATGAAGAAGGTTGGTGACATATACGTGAGCCGTGAAAAGGTCAGAATGGGTTGCTTACCCCAAGTAATCCTCTTGATAGGAGTAAAATTAATGCCCGCCTTCCGAATCGCCGGATAAACAACCGCATCCATAATCGGGATAAAGACCACGAGCGTCACGGGATTCAGATTGTTGATCAAATCGTTGGGAACCCCATTGAGTTGCATCGTCGCGGACATGGAAGTGAGATTGTTCACCATCTGGTTGTAAGCAAGCCAGTACAGCGGAAGCCAGGTGAAGACCTTGCAAGCGTTGAAACCCCGAGCGACCTGATCGACCCAAGCGTCGTCGACGCCCTCTAGGAATTTGGGCGCGCTGTCTCCGAGACGACTGGGTTTGACTCGGTCCCAGAAATCGTCCCGTTTGAAGTTTTGGATTGTTTGGAGAGGGTTGGCGGACCAACAGCCTTTGCTTGCGAGGGCTAGTGTTTTGAATGCTTTCGAGAGAACGGACTCCGTTGGAGGTTGAAGTTTGTAGTGTTTCTTGCAGCCGATTAGGACGATTGGTGCGATTATGAAGAGGAAAGTCGGCATAGCATAGGCAAGCCAGAATCCAACATCTCGCTCAGCGTAAACCATTCCAATCGATCCAGCAAGAGATCCAAGGTTGATCATCAGGTAGAAGTATAGAAAGACGCGGGAGTAAGTGACCTGCGGATCCACGATGACTCGTTCTCCTTTTTTGGTAGTGATGACTTTCGGTCGCGTTTGCGGAATCTGTTCGGCGAGGAGGGGCGAAATGTTGGATTTGAAACCTCCAGTTCCCAGGCCCATGATGACCAGACCGACGGCAAAGCATCCAAGAGCACCTGATGGGTTGTCCATGACGGTGGGGAGAGAGCTAACGACGAGGATGATGTGACCGATGATAGCGAACATAACACTCCACTGAATGGTCGCGTAGCGGCCTTGTGCGAGATTAGCGTGTGCGATTCATTGGCATTGCGATGGGAGTTCTTACCGAGGTATGTATCTGCGATGTAGCCACCAGCAAGGGGCATCAGGTAAGCCCAGAATTGATTGAAAGTCTAATGGGAGATGTGAGTATCTCCAACTCTCGTTTCGATCAGCGTGGATCGACTCACAGTCAAACCAGTAGCAGCCCTCTGATCCTGTCCGAGACCACCGGCCTGTTTGCAAGAAGCCTCATCCCATCCCGGTGCAGAAAAACAATACTCGTTCGGTTGCCAATTTCCAGTCCGAGATCCATACGGTCGTGGCTGCTGAATGAAATTGACAAACACCGCAGTGGTTCCATAGTAGGAAAATCGCTCGCAGAATTCCACAAATGTCACAGTGTAGGCCTGCCATGGAATTTTTCCGGACACACGGCGCAATGTCTTCATCTCCTCCATCGTCGGTTCATCGTCATGGCTACCAGCTTCGGAGGCCGGATCATGGCTCTTCTCGCCGTACGTGGCGCCCTTCTCATCTACGACGATGCTGAGACGGCGGGCTTCCGCCATGGCGGCCAAGTCTGCGTCAAGTGGATTGCTCATGTTGACGAAGCAGCGTATCCAAAGGTAAAGTGTCGGCAGGGTACTGCAATAGCTCGGCGATCAAAGGCCGGCTCGGAGAGGCTGCCGGATGGAACAAGGGAGCAACGTGAGAAAGCAAGAAACCTACCGCCCTATCGCCAGCGGAGCTCAAGGTACATATCTACACTTTGCCAGGCACGACATCGCACGAGACCCTGTCGTGCCCGTGAAAGTTGAGAGCTCGGTCGGATCAGCAACCAGGATGGAAGCTATCACTTGGCAAAAGTGATAGCAGAGGCACGCGAGAGCCATGCCGCTGGTAGGCTATGAAGTCGATTGAGTAGGCGGGTGCGTAAAGGATGCCTTTCATCAATTCGGATGTTCCGCTCGCTTGTGTTCGAAGCTACACCAACAAGCGGCGTGTGTGGCCAAGGGGGCTCGGTAGCCGGGTAGTGGAGGTCAAAAGAAGGTGATGATGAAGATAGGGATAATTTCTCTCAAAGGGACGCCGAGACCCAAGCGCGGTTCTTCATGGTTGATAGAGGCAGGGGTGGACATTGGCAGACCTTGGCGGGAGAACAAGTACGGCGCTTCGCCGAGGCCTTCGGGAGTCTTGTCGACGGCGGCGGTCCAAGGGAATGCTGTTGGTATCTTTCTAGAATCTCGGTTGTGCGCATGGAAGGTCAGCAGGTCGAAGTTCAATGTCTTGGCGGTGGTGGTGATGATGATGATGATGATGATGATGATGAGTTTTGTTTGGGTCACGACGAGGCTTTGTACGAGTGTGGGGAGGTGCGATTTTGATCAAGGCTCCAAAATTTGATTGAGCTTACCTTAAGTTTTGGTGGATGACGAAGCCTGACTGGAGAGGCTTTTCATTCACATTCAGCTGCGAGCGATCTCGAAGCTTGCGAATTGTATCGCGTCAGGCTGAGCAGTGAACGATGGAAACGAAGTGCGGTGGTTGCGTGCGGCATATAGGCCTGCAGAAAGTGACAAGCCTCACGTGCGGAGTATGTGAGAGCTTTGACTAACAAAGAAGGTTCATGGCCCGGCTATCTATATAAGGTTTTGAGGTGTTTTTATATCCCCTCTGCTTGGCTGCTAAGACCAGAGTTTTTCATACTTAGGCATAACACTACTTTAGCAAGTGTGGCAATTCCTTAGTATATAGGCTAAGGATCTTATATCCTCCCTGCCTAGACTTTAGTACTACTAAAGCCCTTAGTAGAGCCCTTAATTGTCTGGTGAAGATCTGTGTTTCCTCTCTCTACATACTAGTATATAACTCCTATAAGCCTAGCCTTATAAAAGTATGTTATAAGCCTTAGGTAGTAGTATTCTGCTTATGCACAGGTTTCTTATTCCTCTGGTTTGTATAAAGACATTTGTCTCTCCTTACTTACATTTCATCACCTTTCTCCTGAGACTATAAACTTTGTCATGCTTTCATAACTCCGCCCATATATAACCTAGTAATAAGGCACGAGACCTGAAGTTATTGTGAAGGTAAATAAGTAAGCTTCTAGAAGCTTATATAGGTAGGGGTATAAGAACTTCTTCTCTACTCTTACCTCCTTCCTTCATTAACTACCTCTACTATCTCCTCCATAATAACAAAAGCCCTCTCTAAGAGGCTATTTATATAATAAAAGCCCTCTAAGAGTGCTGGCACATATATATTTTCCCCTTCTAGCTTCTAAGCTCTCTCCCCTTCAATTTCAATAATAACATTTATTAGTAGCTCTTATTAGAGCCTTTCTAGCTATAGAGCTACACTATGTCTCCCTTTGGTACGTATATAGCATGCGTGTTAGCCGCAAAGAGTAGTCGTACTAATCTTGCTAGCCTATCTTCTTTAGGGAGTAGTAGTAGAGAGCCGTGCTAAGGTAGCTACCAAATTTTAGACCTATAGTACCCTTGATAGAAAACCACAGGTTCAGTAGATTATAAAATGCTCTATAGGACTCGTGTGTTCCGCTATACTTCTATTACTATAGATCTAGTAAAACTTCTAAGCTAGCTCGTATTGTCTTTATTACTAACAACTATAGCCTTATCTAGCGCTAGTATAACATCCTTCTAAGCAGTTCTAGAATAGCCGGCTAAACATAACTCTATTTAACTAGATTGCTTCTCCTAAGGCCAACTTTAATAATAATCTGTAGTAATCCTAACATACGCCTATAGATAAAGCTATAGTTACTACTATCCTAGTAGCTAGCTAGAACAATTACTATCAATCTATATAGTAGTACTAGCTACCTACTTATAATTCTAGGTGCCCTACTAAAAAGGGGCTATTACTAACTCTAGTCCTCCTAAGTAGTCTCTAGATATAGAGGAAGATAAATAGAGTCGTTACATTTAGTGTGGCCCTCATAAAGGCTAGAAAGGGTAGGCTTGCTTTATGTCGCTAGATACTAGATAGTTAGGGTAGTTAGTTACTTAGAGGTGCCTGTACTAACTGTACTTAGACTCTAGGTCACAATAGATGCTCCCTGCTTAGGGAGTAAGTAGAGTACGCTCTAACTTAGCTTAGTCAAGCAGGTCTAGTAGGAGGCAGCCTAATTGCCCAGTTATTAATAGGAGGCCCTTTTTAACTAGGTATTAACTAATATCCGGGACATAAGGAGCTTAGATGCTCTTAGAGGTCTTATCTACTTTTAAGCCTAACACTATCGAGCCTACTAAGGACACTAGGAGGGTGTAATACTATCCCATTTAACTTTAATATTAATATCAATTAACTATAGTAGATTATAAGATTAACAAAAGTACGCCTTAGGTCGTGGTCGCTATACAGCTAATATAGCTACTACCCGGCCTTCGTTAGGATATAGGAGGGGATGCTAATCTAGTGTGGGATAAGAGTAACTCTAAGAAATAGGTCTTTCTAGTAAGGAGGGTAGTAATAAAGATACTGGGCTTAAGTTTAGTTAGGGAGCTATAAGGGTTTAGGGGTCAGTGGTTCTTCTTTTGCTTCTTTACTTTTAGGGTTAGTAGAGTTAGTAAGTCTTTTCCCTTTTCTTTAGCTATTCGCTAGAGCAGCCTATACTACTATAGGTTACTACTTATAGCCTTTCCTTTATATTATAGAGTACTAGGACAAGTATAGTCTCTTATTAGATTTAGTAGTCTTCTAATAATTATAGAAATTAAAAAAACTTATCTTAATTTCTCTTTCTAAGAAGGAACAGTACCTCAATCCCCTAGGGTCTAGGCCTTACTAACTTAAGCTTATTCTCCTTATATTCTTTAAGAAGAAGCTAATAGGTCCCTAGGGCTATAATCTCTTTAGAGAGGAGCAGTTATAGGAGGTTGTATTAGCTTTAGTTCTTCTTCTACTATAGAATTAGGGTTCTCTAGAGGGATAGAGTAAAACTGTCTTTAAGCAGTTCTTAGGTCTAGAAATTTCTTTGCCCATAACTAGTAGGAGAAGGATTGCTAGGCTGTTCCTAAGCAAGCCTAGCTAGTACTAGGTCCTCTTAGGATAAGGTAGAGCTAGAGATCCCCTCTATCTCCTTTGCTATATTCCTTTGTAAGCTTAGCTAGCTTATAGGCTAAAAGCTAGTTAGTCTTGTTAGAGGTTCCTCTGAGTCTGTTAAGTAAGGATTTTTCTTAAGCTTACTTATGCTCTAGATCTTCAACTTCCTCCTTCTGTCTTTTAAGACCTAATCTGTAATTTTGGTTTAAACCTATTACAGATTAGCCTCCTCCCTACTAAGAATCTGCATCTCTTACATAAACACGATGCTAGCTAAAGATTCCTAGTTAGGGAATTCTAAAGTCTCTTATATTTAGCCTCTCTAGAATGGTTAAGAGATTAGAAACTAACATCCTTATATCTCCCCTTATTTAGGATCTTCTTAATTTCTAGTAAACTTTGGAGCACTAGGCTTACTATTTAATATACTATTAGTGCTGCTTTTTTAACTAGAATTGTTGTGGAGCCCAAAGTAATAAGTAGAGATTGCTGACATTATATATTAAGCGTTTAAGGACTCCCTTGTAGGTCTGTAAGGCATAGGTCCTAAGCTAGTGTAGGCCTTCTTAATCTTTAAAATAGTCTAGCTACTAGGCTAAAGCTTTTAGGTTTAGGTTTATAAGTAGTACCTATTCCCTAATCCTTTTCCCTGGGTCCCAATTCTTCCTATATAATCTGTAGGTTTATTAGGCCTCTAGAGGTTGTACGGGTTTAGTAGCCTTTCATTAGTAAGTTGTCGTGTATAGCGCACCTTGTAATGCTCCTTTTGCCTCAATTATTAAATCGCGCCACTTATTAGGCGCTATTTATTTTTATCCTCTAAGATCCGGGGTGCTATCTATATAGGAGGCAAAATGGACTCATTTTAGTAGTTATATACTACCTATATCTAGTATAGAACAAAGCCTTATAAAGGAATGTGTCCTAATAGCGTATGTCTATACCTGAAAACATCTTAGTCAAGCATATTAAGAAGAGTGCTATTTAGGATTCTTGCAACCTTCCATTTGTTATTAGTAGTAGGGAGTACTAAGCTTATAGTTTGTCTTAAACTGCTTGATAAATAGGCTACAACCCTAATAGGAAGTTTTTCCTATTATTAGATAGTAGTTCTCTTAGGGCACTATAGAAGCTATATATTTCTTTATATAGGAAGGTAGCAGTTGTCTTATTATTAGTAGAGGGCACTGCCCTTATAACAGGCTAGCTAGTTGTATACTTAATAGCTGTAATAATATATTTATTTCCTTCTAAGGACTTAGGTATAGGTCTAATTATATTAATTGCCTATCTTTTGGGCCACAGTTACTGCAAATCAGATTATCCTCCAGTAGAAGGGATTCTCCTTGTTCTCTAGCTTGTTAGAAGCTGTTTCTAGGTTAATTTCACAAGTAGTATTATTGTCTGAATTCTCAAGGTCTGAGCCTTTTAGTTGTGCACATTATGCCCGGGTTTTAATATGTCTAAGGAGTCTAGGAAATCCAAAATAGCTATACTAGGTATAGATTCTATTAATAAAGTTATACCTCTTAGT